GCACAGCAATAACAAAAATCATCAAAAATCCATGCAGCAAAAGCAATATGAATAGCAAAATGCTAAGAACGGCCTAACGCTTGCTCATCGGTTGCAACAGGCCATCTGATAACAACAGCAGTGATAGTTGTTCACCTGTGCCACCTCCACCTTTGACTTATGAAATCACGGGCATGATAGAAAAGGCCACAAATAAAGTTCTGGAACAACAACAACGCAAAAAGTTAGATTATGTGGCTAATAATATGGTCAATGAACGTCTTATAATGGATCCGAAATTTCCTTCCGAAAACGAAGTGATGGATGCAGATAACTTAAATTAAAATCATCATGTTAAAAGTCAAAATTTTGGTGAAGAAGAGGAAGAGGATACGTTTAGTTTGAAAATGCCTGCATCGGTTGATACGAACGATGAGTTGTCTGTTGATAGCGATGAACCGGCAGGGAAAGCTAAAATTAGTAAGATATTGGATACTCTTGGATACGAAGATTGTACTGATCCTCTTGCCACAGTTAGTACCTTTGAAGCTCATTTAAACCCATACCAACATGGTTTTGCTGATTTAGAGGCTTCTGTAGAAAATGTTACTTCCCCTAATCAGCAGCCAAGTCAGCAAGCACAAACTCAACCGACGCAGATTATACAACAAACACATACTCAGCGCCATCAAGACCACCATGCAGTATATTTTGACTCAACAACAACAAACGCAGCAAGCTTCGCAAACCCAACAGCAACAGCAAACTCAACCGGAACAACAAACAGCGCCTCAGCACAAAGATTTTTCGTTATCGAACGAACATGTTCATAAGGCCATGAAATATCGTGCATTGAACGAATCCTATAGGTAGACGGGGAGCCGTATGTGATCACCGTCAGATAGCGGGGAGAGTGGGCAACCGAACGGTCCAGCTGCCAACGTACCCGTACGCGCTGAGGAGCACCCACCACACCGAAGCCTTTACGCCAACAGGCCGGGAAAGGGGCATCATCATCCACTTCCCTGAAAAACGGAGAATCTGTGAAGAGCCAAAATTTTCCCTCGTAATGGCCTCACGGGTTCTTCGTCTCTGAGGGAGGAGTGCTAGACTAAGGTTAAGAATTGTGATTAAGTAAAGGACTAGACGAACGACGGGAGTTTGGCGCGAGCCGTAAAAGAGATGGCTTCAAATAGTCCGTGTCGAGGGACGGACTGGCCCACTCGAATAAGGAAGTTAAAATGAAGTGAGAGCCGAAAACGACAAAAGATTAACTGAGTAAAGCCAAGACGGATTATTAGAATAATAACAGAAGAGTTAAGTTTAGGCGATAAGAGCCAATCAATTAAGTGGAAATAAATATCAATTCTATATCGGCCTGCCTAAAACAGACAATATAAATTGAAGAAGGCTAACCGCCACGTAAATTGATCATTTGGCATCGAGTTAGATCAGTTCGGAACGAATAATAAATTCAGCTAATTCACATTTGTTTAATTGAACATAAAGATGTAACCAATACAATAGGTACTTTAATAGGTTTATAAAAAAATTTGAAAAATTTTGAAAAGTCGTCGTCCTTATTGTCCGCATTTATGCGTATCAATATATATGGGAACATGGCATATGTAATGAAGTTCAAAGTATTGTTTATGGCTCATGCATGTTCAAGCATAGATTTTTTAGAACATACATACGTGGACAGAGAAGTAAGTGCGTGTTGTTTTATATTGGTAAAGGGTATTTTTTTCCATTTTCCTCCTACTATATATTACATTTATTATTTATTTATGAAATAGGAACATTTCCACATTTAACAAACATATAACAGTTATTTTAAATATAAACAAAAACTTCAAAAAGTTTATTTCAAAAATATTGCTTGTTTCCAGCTGGACAGTAAAATAGGCGTATATAAAAAAACTTAAAAAATAACGCAAAATATTGTACTCAAAAGTACTCAATTTAAGCAGTCAGTGGCCAGTATAACCACTACTGTTTTTAGGAACAGCTTTATTATGTACCATATCATATTATACCATATTTTTGAATACGTTTCAGAATTTTTTTTCGTTCTGTCAGGAAACATGACGCTTTCGTCCTTCCCAAATATTCTCAACTGGATTGAGGCCAGGAGAGTGACTTGGCCATTCAATAACATTCAAATCATGCTCCCGGAGCCACGCTTTCACCAAATTGGATGATTGTTTTATATCATTATCGTGCTAAAATATATATAGGTATGGTTTATTTTTTTTGGTACGCGATAACATCACAGTTTCCAACAAGTTTTTATATACTAATCTATAAACAGCGTTTTTTGAAATGTAGCAAACGGACACCCTCCCAAGAAAATCACTTCCATACCATAAGATTTCTTCCGCGATGCTTCACTTTTTTTAGTAAATCTAATGTGGAATCCTTTTCCTTCTGACCGAAGTACACTTCTTGTCGGATCACTTCCAACAAGCTTATTTTTGTTTCGGCACTCCAACGTATATTTCCCCACTTTTCTTCGCCTTCTAATTTGCCATAATTTTTATGGGCTAAAGTAAAACCTTTTCTCCTCTCCAAGTTGATTATTTTAAGCAAAGGAACATTCCGAGCTGTTCTTGACAGATAATAAACGTCGACTAACGGTTCGGGGTTATAAAACATTCCCAATTAAATTGGAAATTGCTCCAGACGATTTGAAGCGGTCACGCTTTGCTAAAGTTATAATACGATCATCGAACTACTCTGCGCCTCTCAACATTTTTTTAGGGGCTTAAAGCACTGCTGAGTAAGTTATGTGACCGATCCAGTTCCACCTATCTATTATCCTAACAAACATTAATTCATATTACATTTCCTCCTCAAGAAATACGATTTACCTTTACAGTCCACGTTTACAGCAAAATTTTACAAAACATTTTAATTTTCACAACTTTAAAGGTAGGTGTTCGGAACGCGTCATTTTAACAAATTCGGAATTTTCTTAGGGAAATACCAAACACTGTTCACATTTTTATTTTTTCTTTCGTTCAGTCTTTTGTCCATTGAACGACTTAAATATATATTGAAGACTATTTTCTTTTTTGTTTTGAGAAATTCCCTATGCGACATACCTATCTCTATGACTGTGTGTCTATTTAACGCGAACGTGATGTAAATAACATATTTAGTAACTTAGTTTTACCCATGCCAAAATTACAAAAATAATAAATGTAAATGATCCCGTCATGTCAAAGGAAACAACCTCGATAAGCAGTAATAGAAACAATACCTTGATCCCGTCATCTCAAAGGAAACAAGCCCGATAAGCAACAATAGAAAGAACGAATTCGCAGAATGCGGATTGCAGTTAGAATGCGAAGATATTCTGAAAGTTTTAGTTGCTATTACTTCGTGTATTGGAAAACATCATACTAGTTTTTGAATTAGTAATATTATTGTAAAACTGAATTTTATGCTATTTTGACAAACAGCCCTTCTTTATCTTCTAAACATGTCTAGAAGAGGAAATAAAATTTTGAAAAACATAGTCAGTATTAATGAGAAGTGTTCTGGATTTAAAGTGGATAAGACCGAAGTGATTCAAAATGAGAATGAAATTGAGATTTTGGAATCTGATGAAAGTACGCAAACAAGGGAATCCTCAGACAGTGAAAAAGGATGCATATTCTATCCGAGTCTGAGTCTGTAAATGAGACAAGCATTTTATAATTCGAACGAATTCTGTGGAACAGAAATAGCAGTCAATGGAACAATTTGGACGAAATTGGAAGTGGGCAAATCTAGTGATCGACCTCCTGTCAACCAAATTTTCAAAGACGTCACATGGTCTATTACGCAAAACGAAATATGATGGAAGGGAAGGGGAAGGGAACGATAAGCAGTGCTTTTCGTTTGTATGGTGTGGTAGAACAAAATATTGTACCAAAGAAAGAGAAAAGAGTTTGAAACCTTTTAATCACCAAATTACTTGCGTTTATTGGGATTTGGTACGCTCGAGGAGCGTATGAAGTAAATTCGCTATTGGAATGGGGACCGGCAAGCAATAGCCTCTGTAAATTTTATCATTTTAAATTAAAATATTCCAATTTTCTTTTAAAATGGCTATTACTGGTTTTATTGTTGCGCAAGCTTTATCAAATATCCACTCGCTTTACCCGTTATGAGCGTTCCTATAACATGGAAGACACCACGGCTCCATAGGATAAAATGAATCTTCTGCTTATATTATAAACTTTATATACCTTTAGATTCTAAAGTGACCAAACATATGCTTTTGTATTAAGGACCTAATAATCAACAACTCCAGAATATGGGAAAAAGTTTTACAAAAAGTTACGCGTATTTAAGCCCGTCTATTGATAAAACCATCGCAACTTTTTCCTTGACGCAATGTGCATTTGTATTGCATATATTATCAAATGTAAGATTTATCCCTACCGGCGACAAGTATGACAGATATAAAAAGATCGAATGAACAAAATTATTCCCATTTTCCCTTGATAAAGTACCATTATGAATGTATTATTTTTTACCCTAAATCAGTCCTGATATAGCAATAAGGATTGAGAGGAATAATAATGATAAGAGGCTAAGAACATAATGCGTCTTCCTCTAAAACAGGGAAGCCTAACAGCAGATACACAAATGAAAGAAAAAAGTTTAAGAGGATTGCGAATATCCGAGGCACCGAATCATTGTACAAATTTTTGCTTCCTTCTGGAAATATTATTAAATATTTAAAACACCGTTCTGTTCCGTAATTAAGTTTTTACAGAAGAACGGAACCTGGAAATAAGCGTACAAAATTGAAAAGATTCCGCTAAGTTGAGAAATGAATTTATATTTTAATAAAACCATTAGGAAGCCCTCCAAAATCATACTTCTTCTTTGAAGTAACTGTAAAATAATGCAAAAAATAGGAATTTTTCTTTATACGGATACGATAAGAAAATATGGTCTTATTGAAATAACATCTTGCAATAAATATAAGATAGATTTTTATTTTTAGCTTGGATACACACAAATTGCTCATAATATTTAAGGTTCGGCTAATTATTACTTGGTTAATTAATTTATTTAATTATTAAATATAAAATTTCGTTCCGTAAGAAGAGAAGATCCAGCAATATTTTTTATTAGTCTGAACTATGATCGTCGCCTCCGCTTTTAAATGTTCGCTAGCATTTGGAAAAATTGGGTGTATAAATGCAAAAAGTTGAGTGTTTAACAAGTAATATAAAATTACAAAGAAAATGATATTGCTTTGCGCAGATTCGTATGACCAATGCTAAACTGCCGTTAGTCAAAGTGTCTACCAATAAAAGCAGATTCTTCGAATTGAAAAAATTAAATTTAGTTCTGGAACAGTGTTCGTGTGAATTCTATGTAATCTAAAGCATCTTTGATGGGTTGATTAGAGCGGGGTTCAATATACGGTTTCATGCGCTGCACACAATAGTCGGCCATATCCTTGGTAAGATTCTGTAAAGTAAATAAATAAAAATGTAGTGAAAAAATCAAGCTAAAATAATAAAAAGTAAACAAACGCAGTATAATTCCTCCTTGGTAACGTAAGGACGATCGGAGGCAGTAATAGCGCGGAAAGCATTCTCAATTTCTTCGTAAGATTGCACATTTTCGGTTTCCTTCGAAATCATGAAGGCGATGTACTCTTGCAATGACACGTAGCCATCACGGTTCGGATCTACTACGTTAAGTATGGCTTCAAATTCAGGATCAGGTTGACCTTCCTCAACCATAGGTAAATCATAACCCAGTGCGCGTAAACAAGATTTGAATTCCTGATGGTTAAGTTTACCACTCTTATCCTTATCGAAATGTTTGAACATCATTGAGAATTCCTTAAGAGAGTCTTCTGAAACTCCAGAATGATTACGGGCTTGTATCTGCTGCTCCAAATTATGTTGCATACGCATCGACAATTGATCTAATTGATCCCATTGTTGAGCTAAGCCCACAGTAGAGTGTTCTGTGTAACGATTATCTAATATTAAATGTTCCTCCAACAAAGCACCCAGCTCTTCGATCTTCTTTAAATCGACACGACGCGCCCTCACCTCCGTTGCTTTGACGCGAAGTGCTTCTAATTGTTGTTCCAAAGAACCGGAACCTTCCATCATTGACGTTCTGATATTTTAAGCAAAATTTTGAAAGCTAATATTAGTGTTATTTAAAGAGATTAAAAATTTGAGTTTAGTAAAGCAGTGATTAGCTGGTGTTATTATATTATTGTTTAGACAAACAAATGGGTCGAAAGTTATTTTTAGATGTACAATATCTTGCACCTTTCCACATGAGTCCAAAAAAAACCTAGTAGGACAAACAAAAGGCAAAAATTATGCTTAGCATTTCACTTATTAAAAGCTAGCCTAAATTTGACGGGGAGTGGGGTATCGGGCAAGGGCAACGTCCAGGTATATTCCAATTTAATCCCTACATAAAACCATGAACTTGAAATTCTATGCTTTTATTAATTGCGAAATAAAGTCAATGATTTTTTATTCTGTAACTTATTTGATCATGCATTTTTTTTTTTTTTTTGAAAAGCGTACATACAGCGAAATATTACATAAATACGTGTAAGTATAAAAGTAAAAAAAATTTAGTTATGTTTTTGCTCTTGAACCAAAAGTTGAATTTAAATAAGTTAACGGTAACCGCTCAGATTTCTTAGAGGAGAAAAGATGGAAAATCGAATACGTTTTCTCGGTAATGCACGTTATTGTGTATCAATCATATTCAGAGAGTGTAGGCAAACAGTTAGCTGCCAATCGGCTTTAACTTTAATATTAATAACGAATCCAAACGAAGCAACACAGTATTAATAAATAAAATGAAAAAATTCAAGCATTTAATTTGTTTCAAATTAAAAACGAGAATTTAAAATTTGTTTTTTCTTTCTTTGGCTTGTTTGTATTATTACCCTTGACCATTATAACCCAGCATATAAAACCTAAAAAAAACGCATAATAAGAATTTAATTTTCAGTGTCAGAAGGCATTCGCGAAAGAAAGTGCAAAGATGTAATATACACGTATGTTTCGGATACATAGATGTGTGGATGTACCGTTTAACGTCACCCCAGCGTGAAATAAATTTTGAAGCTCTTACCTTGTCTCGGTTAGCCACTGATGGAATAAGTTAGCATGCTTGGCGAATTCTTTACGCAACTTGTCATTTTCCTCTTGACGCTTAGCCTCTTTGGCAAGTTCGCCATCTCGTTCCTCTATGATCTTTTGCAGATTGCGCCATGTCTCTTCAAGAGCTTCCATGGTGAACCAAGTATAAGGATTAGGTCCAACATTGAAGCTCTTGATTTTCTGGTCAAGAGCTGCCAAGGCCTTAAAGTCAGCTTCTGCTGACGATAACGACGCCTGAAACTGGGCGTGGGCATCGCGTAAGGCGCGTATTTCTTCGATCGAATTGCAGCGAACAGGATCAGTAAGATCCTCTTCGGCATTTTCGAACCAAGAATTGAAGGCCGAGGCCTTCTTGGCGAATGTCAAATAGAGTTCTTCGATTTGGCGAAATTGCTCCTGCATGGCGAGAAGCCGTTGTTTGCGTGTCTCGGATGCATCACGCAATTTCTGCCAACGCGAAATCACATCTTCGTGACGTTTAAGAATGGCTCGCGATTGAGCATGACTGGCATTGATAAGTTGATCCTTCAGTGTAGTTATGTTGTGAATACCTTCCTGTTCAAATGCATTAAGACCTAAAACCAAAATACAAATTCACATTTTATTTTGCAATTTAGGACCTAGCTGTGATCTGAACTTACCAGCATCAAATGTCTCTTGTTTAGTTAAAAGAGTCTGTACAGTCGAAAGATCACGTCCATACTCATCCGAACGTACATAATTCTCTTTATCAGCTATCCATGACTCCACGACATCAGCTTTCCACATGAATTGCAAATAGGCGGAATTATCCAACAGAGAACCCTTACGCCTAGCAGCTAAAGCATTCAGATTTTCCAACTTATTACGTAATTGTTGACAGCGTTGACCAATGGAATCCCCATGATGGTTCTTTGCTTCCATCAATGTATTGCCCTGCTCGCAAATTAGAGCGCAACGATCTTTGTGCGCGGCGAAGTCCGTTTCAAAAGCGTCGTGTTTTTTCAACAAACCCTGGACAGCAGCCATTGAATCTCCATAATCGTCGACTGATAAAAGCTGTTGTTTTTCAGTAATCCACGCTTCCTCCTCCTCCACCTGGGCCAGGAATTGCTGATATGTCAAGGATTCATCCAACTTTTGACCGCGAGTAGCCGCCAAATTCTTTAATTCGGCCCATGCTTGATTCAAAGCTTTTAAACGTTGTTCTATTTCAGGAACACCTAAATTGGAAACATCCATTAATTTTTCACCAGCCTCTTGAACTGCTTGTATAGCTGGTTCGTGTGAACCCAATTCGGCTTCTAGGCGTTTGTGCTTCTTTTTCAAATTTTGGACGCCGGTCAGGTCACGACCATAGTCATCAGATCCCACCAACAGTTTTTTCTCTTTAATCCAGCTTTCTTCGTCAGCAATGTCACGGAAAAATTGATGCAATGTTAATGCCTCATTAAGACGAGCTTGGCGATGGGCCGCTAAATTGCAAATACGCTCATAGCGCTCATTAATCGTCTGGCGTTTTTCTTGAATGCCAGCGCTATCGAATTGACCGCTTTCAACCAGCGAATCAGCTTGTTTATTCATATCTTTTATGCGGTCCTGATGAGATATAATATCGGCCTCGACTAATTGGTGTTTCTTCATAAGATTTTGAACCGAAGCCAAATCTTTGCCAGAATCTTCGGTGGTTAATAGACTTTCAACTTCGCCTAACCAGAAGTCTAAATCCTTAACAGCAGCTATATAGGTGCGTTGCTTGTTGGCTTCTTTCAGTTTTAAAGATTTCTCAGTAGTCTTATGAGTGAGATATTCCCATTGATCGGCAATTTGAGTAAGACGTTTTTGCACTGCATCCTCTGAGCCACTGCATTGCTTTTTGTGTATTAGATTTTCACCCATCGCCAGAACACTTTGAATGCGATCAGCATTCGCTGCTAATTCAGCCTCGAAAGCTTGATGTTTCTGATGTTTGGATTGAATGTTTGCCGGATCTTTGTAACTCTCCTCAGTAGCTAATTGCAATTTTTCAGCAATCCAATTCTCGATTTCGTCAGCATCACGGGAAAACTGCTGCAAAGTTTGTTCATCACCCAAACGTGATCGCTTCTCGATTAAGCCTTCTTTCAAATGGCGCCAACGTTCCAAAACTTGTTTGCGTTTACCGTCAATCAAGTCAGAAGCATAATGGTTTTGATTGATTAGGGTATCAGCTAATACTTGTAAAGCAGCGATTTTCTCTTCGTGACCATTGATGGCTTTATCAAAGTCTTCATGTTTCTTTATCAAAGCTTCGACGTTGTCTCCTTTATCGTCGACGTCGTCAGCATTTAGAAAAGCTTCGCGAGCAGACATCCAAGCCTCAGCTAGTTCGCAATCACGCATATACAACTGCAAATCAAGATTCTGCTCCAATTGCAAACGTCTTTCAGTCCAAGCTTTTTCCAATTCTTCGCGAGTCTTACCCAAATCTTCAATCTTGTTCTTAATCTCAGGTGAAGCATAATGATTTGCTTGCAAAAGTTCATTTCCAAATTGTTCGAAAGCAGCAAAGGTGCCAGCACGGGCATCGATTTCAGTTCGGTGCTCCTAATTAATTATGCAAAATAATTTATAGAGATACACAAGACCTCCGAATTCGAGAATTCTGATTTTAAGTTTAGACAACTCATTTGAGAACAGAGAAATTAAGATCGATTAAATTTACATGTGCCTCTTGTGTTAGAACAAAATATACATAAGCATGTATGACACAATTAAGTTTAGCAGTAGATCGTCCTCGGCACGTAACATGTATGGACCTTTGAAATCATTATATTTACGAACTTGAACTATGATGTTTAATACACGCATATGCACAATAACTAAATACACGGATGAAATGAAATTATTTTAGAAAATAACAAAATGACACAAACATAGAAGATGATTGACTGACTGACTGTATTGGTTATGGTAGTACGGTGTACATTTATGTGTGTGAGAATTAATGTGTACTATTACAGATCACAGGTAACTGAATTGAAAGACATAATGCTTAAGTGCAAAAAAATATTTATGGTTGCAGTCCTCGTTATCGCACAAACTCGATATCGAATTTGCATTTTGGATTAGCAAGCACTCGTTAATGAGAATTAGGTTGATGATACTCGATTGCGTATGACTATTTGTAGAGCAAAATAGTTATCGAGCTTCATGTTTAAAGCGAAAACAAAGTAAAAACCCACATATTTGATAAAATCAATGGACATAGGAGGACTACTTAATCTCTGAATTTCCAAAATATTGGCAAGAATAATAAAATAATTATTTCCGGCGCTTTTATCTGTTGATACCATAAAATATAAAAAGGGATAAATCAATATAGAATGAGCAGAAAAATCTCTAGGAACAAAAAGCGAAAATATAGGAATTACTAGAAACTATTTAAAAAATATTGTGGATACGTGATATTTTGGGACCTTTTTTAGACAGAGTTTAGCCGCGCATTTTAATATGACATGCTAGCTTATAAGAGAGGAAGAGTTGGGCAATTTAAATAAACAATGATATAACTTAATTTATTAAACTGTGCTTTATATTTATTTTTTCATAGATTTCAGTTTCATCAATTTCTTTTCCAAATTTTATATTTGATTTCATTTATTTACATATCTTCCTCTTATTTTCACTATTTTATTATACAGACATCAAAAACATCACAAACATTCCATTGCAAATGCAACGAACGAGAAGCTCAACCTGATATGAAAGCAATCGAATACCATAAACCCAAAACGCAATCATATCGTTTTGGTCTTTCGTATGGTACGATAGCTCGATAACAAGAAACGTAAACCAACCCGAGATTTAAAATTAGAAACAAAATGAAAATTATTCAAGTCAATATCAAGACAATTTGTGTAGCATCATTAGTTATACACAGAGAGCATTGATGGGTGATAGTAACTGTATTGGCAGCGGTAGTGCTTTGTATATAAAAGGCTCTGATAGTAAACTTTACAAAAGAAAAAGAAAGTTGGCGGGTGAAAACTACCTCTTTTGATGTTGGGTGGAAGAAGCTTTTTGCGGTACTATTTCCAAACATATATTCGATTTCGGATCGATGACCCTAAAACATATACACACGTAATTCACTGGTTCGGTAACGATAACTTATAAATTAAATAATATGCAAAAATAAGTGTGGCACAATCAAGTGATGATGCGTTCATGTTGGATAGTCTGATTTGTTGTTATGAGAGATGGCACACAACTACACATCGACCGATACGCAACAAGCCAATCATTTGTGCGGGCATGTAATAGTGATGTAGTTACGTTCGAGCATTTTGCCTCAAGCGGAATCATTAAACATTTAAGTCATCCAACGTTAAAAGCCACAAATAAACATTAATGTGTGCATCATCATCATTCAATCACTTTATAGCTGTCAGTCGATAGACATCCATTCCAGTAATTGGGGCTTCCTACATGCCCAATTTAACCAATGCGCAGCCTTATACAAAAAGCAATATTTTCATATTCTTAAAAAAACTAAAAACTTACTTGATGACGTTCAATGAGAGCCTCGGCCCCAGTCACATCACTAGCCAATTCGTCAGATGTTACTAAACTCATCATAGAACTAATCCAAGCTAATAAGTCGCGATAATCGCTAAGGAAACGTTGTAAATCGTATGAATCTAAAAGTTTTTCTTTACGGGCAGTGGCTTTAGTTATGATCTGATTCCACATTTCATTTATTTCTTTTTGCTTAGAATAGGTTTGCTCGGCCGTATCAGGATGTGACTGCATTAATCGGTTGGCAGTCTCGTCCAACTGCCGTATTTTGTCACGCAAAGCAGCTAAATCACGTTCCACACCTTCATGTTTACGCTGCAACGTTTGAACACTTCGTAAATCTTTTCCTAAATCGTCATTGTTGATAGCGTTTTCCTTCTCAGCTATCCAGTCTTTGGTTTCGTCAATGTCGCGATGGAAACGTTGAACTTCGTGAGCTGAACCGAGTTGACTAGCCTTTTCGGCAGTCAACTGTTGTAAATTGTTCCATTTCTCATTGAGATCTTGCATTTGTGTCTGAATTTTCATTGCAGCTTCGGTTTGCCCTAAAGAAGTCAATTGAATTGCAATCTCATTCATGTTAGCTAACCGTACTTCATTAGCCTTTAGATCATCGGTGAAGTCGTCGAATTTCTTTTGGAGTACTTCAACTTCCTCTAAATCTTCGCCAACTACGTCAGCGATTTGGGCATGGTTCTCTTTATCTTTTATCCAATTAGTAAGGTCAGCAGCTTCACGGACTAGCACATAAGCCTTGACGGTTTCATTTAATTTATTTTGACGTTCACGAGCCAATGTTAACAAATTGTCGTACTGTGAGTTAATTTGAGCTTGTCTTTTAGAGATTGAGTGATTGTCTACCAAATTTTGTTGGCTGGCACTTAGACCAGCTTCAATTTTTTTGATGTAAGCAGCCGGCACGAAGCCTTGACGATCGTTTACTTCAACTTTCCACCAATCTTTATTATTAGAATTAAGCAAAGTGAGTACATCACCTTTTTTCATTGAGACTTCCCGCGGCGATTTTTCAGTATAATCATATAAAGCTACCACGCACTCCTTACCGGTTATATCAACAACTGGAGTTTCCTGTTGTCGGCAATTTTTAGCCTGTTCTTGCAACGCTTGAATGGTGTTACCGAAAGCTTCTAAATCGGAAACCAAGGCTTCGTGTTTTTTTAATAACGCTTCAGACGAATCTTCATCTTTGCCATAATCGTTGCTGGTAGCGATAGGCTCCTTTTCGCGCATCCAAGACTCGGCTTCATTTGCATCGGCGAAGTATTGATGAGCTTGCAGTGAATCTTCCAAATCCTGCTTACGTTGGTTGGATTTATCTTTTAAATTATTCCATTGCTCTTGTAAAGCATCTAAACGTTGACGGATATCATCACTAGCAAATGGTTGATCTTTTAGCATATTTTCGCCGGAGCTAATTACGTTGAGTAAGCGTGCTTCGTGGTTATTAATCTCAGCCATAACAGCTTGGTGTTTTTTTATTAGATTTTGCACTCCTATCAAGTCGCGGCCGCGATTAGTAGAAGCAGCAATCGGTTCTTTTTCACGTATCCAAGCTGCTTCGTCTTCTAAATCTCGGAATAATTGCTGAACTTGCAACGAATCCATCAAATGCTGTTTGCGTTCGGCCATCGGAGCAGCCAAAGATGCGTAACGAGATGACAGGTTACTTTCTTTTTGACGTATGTTATCAGCGTCAAAATGACCAGACTCGATAAATTTGTTAGCCGCTACTTTGATGCTTTCTATACGGTCTTGGTGGGCCATTACATCAGCCTCAAGCAAAGCATGTTTCTTTTGCAAATTTTGCACAGAAGTTAAGTCTTTGCCATGATCTTCGGACATCAGTTGACCTTCAATTTCGCTCAACCATAACTCGATGTCCTCGATTGTACGATTGAATTGCTGTTGCTGGCAAGCTTCATGTAACTTGCAACCTTTCTTATCGGATGCTTGTACTAGAGTTTCCCATAAGACCACAATTTCTTGCATACGAGTATTGACTTGATCTGCTGCATAGTGTCCTTTCTCAATCAGTTCAGATCCCACCGTGGTAATGTCCTCAATACGCGATTTATTAGCATTTAATTCATGTTCAAAATTCTGATGCTTCTGCATCTTTCCATTAAGATTTGTGGGATCCAAGTAGCTGTCGTCAGTGGCGAATTTTAATTTTTCACTAATCCAACCTTTAGTCTCATCACAATCGCGTTCAAACTGTTGATAACGGTTGGAATCTTCTAATAGTTGTCGTCGCTTATTTGATTTCTCAAGAAGGGCGGCACGACGCGCAAGTAACATTTGTCGACGCTGTGCTACGTCATCGGCAGCGTAATGTTGCCCATCGATCAGTTTAGTTGCAAAAATATCAAGAGCCTTAATTTTCTCTTCTTGAGCAGCCAAACTCTTTTCAAAGTCCTCATGCTTTTTAATTAGTGCTTCAACCGAGTCTAAAGAATCGCCTAAGTCCTCGTTGGCTAAAAAGGCTTCCTGCTTAGCCATCCAGGTATCAGCTTGCTCCGTGTCGCGGTAAAACAGCTGCAAATCCATACACTGCTCATATAGGATGCGCCTGTCTTCCCACAAAGAAAGCAACGAGCTTTTATCATTCTCTAAAGCAGCTAACTTTTCTTGAATTTCTGCGGCGGCGTAGTGTTCACGCTCTAATAATTTTTGTCCAGATTCAATCGTTAATTTAAAACTGTCTTCACGGGCGTCTATTTCGCCCTTATGTTCTTGATGACGTTCTAAAAGAGCTTCAGCTCCAGCCACATCTTTAGCCAATTCATCGGCTGAGATAATAGCTTTCATGCCATTGATCCAAGAGACCAAATCGCGAAAGTCAGCCAAAAAACGGTGCAAGAAATAGGATTCATCCAATTTTTGCTTTCGTTCGCCAGCTTTAGCTTTTAGGCTTTGCCAATAGTTGGCTATCTCGGCTTGTTTATCCCGGATTTGGTCGCTGTGATCAGCATGAATTGAGCACAATCGTTGAGCTTCAGCACCTAGGGTGGAAACTTTGTCCTCTAAAGCAGCAAGATCACGTTCAACTCCTTCGTGTTTACGTTGTAAAGCTTGCACACTGGCCAAGTCACGACCGTAATCATCGGAAGAGAGAACAACGTCTTTTTCAGCAATCCAAGCGACAGTTTCATCTGCATCCCGATTAAAGCGTTGAATTTCGTGGGCTCCAAATAGCTTTTCTTGACGTACGATAGCAAGTTGCTTAAGGCGTTGCCAAGCCTCATTTAGGTCATCTTTACGTTTTGTAATAGTATCGCGATCAGGGTGAGCATCTTGAATAAGTTTGTCGGCTAATTGATTGACTTCAGTAACGCGATACTCTTGAGAGGCCATATCCTTTTGAAACTCATCGAATTTGCGCTGTAAAACTTCAACGTGTTCCAAATCCTGGCCGAATTCATCTGCCGTCACAAAAGCTTCTTTGTCTTTAATCCAGAACATAACTTCCTCGCATTGACGCAAAAATTGGACCAAAACCAAAGCTTGTTGTAATTTTTGACCTTTTTCAGCCAAACGACTTAATAATAGTTCCCACAAGCGATGCAATTCGTCGAGACGACGACGGATGGTTTCTGATGCAAAATGAGTTTGATTGATCATCTCTTGACCGGTGTTATCCAAAGAGACGATAGCATTGCTATGCGCAGATACTTCAGCTTCAAAAGCTTGATGCTTTTGAATTTTTGCCTGCAAATTAGTAGGATCTCGGTAACTTTCTTCACTAGCTGCCTGCAACTTTTCATTGATCCACGACTCAAGTTCATCAGCATCACGCTTAAAATACTGAAAACGTCTGGAGTCTTCCAGCTTTTCACGTTTTTGACGAGTCTCAATCTTAAATTCATTGTAACGTGACAAAACCTGTTCGCGTCGCTCTTGAATATCCTCAACAGTTTCGAGGATTTTCACCTCTTTCGGGGTAAAATTCTCCATAATCTTTATTTAAAATCTGATCTTCCGTACCACTTTTGCTCTGCTTTTGGAAACGTATCTATATTTATATTGTTATTAGGGTCTGACGATGATATCAATCTTCGCCTTGTTACAGACAATACACGTTTAATACTGTTTGAAATCAGTCGTTAAACGAATGCGATAACCTGCAAAATCATAAAACATAATCAGTATAACAATGAAATCTAATTGGTACAACAAATGGATATGTGAACACCTTCCCGTTCCTACATAAAGGATGTCAAAAATTTTATATTTTCATAGCAATATTATAACCTAGGTAAGCTTAACTATATAAGGGACGCAAGAAAAAATGAAAACAATTGCTTTTTATAAATCTTTATTAATTTTTCATGTAATATTTCATAAAAATTCAGAATCACGTGAGAAATCTGCCAACATTTCCATAAAAAGACTAGATTTTTTATTACCATCATTTCCGTCTTCATCATCACTGATGTAACTACTTTCACTGCATACTAATGTCGTTTCCTTAGCTATGAAACGTAACATTTCTGAAATTTCTGACAAAATGGTCGGATGCCAATCATGCTTGAAAATCGGCACTAACAGTTCATTAGTATAATCAATGGTAATCACATGTTTTTTAATCATGGTAATCAAAACTTGCGCCAGCCTGTCGAAACAGGGACGCCTGGTACCAAGGGACTCAATAAACGGAATTGTTATAAAACTTTCGTAGATGCTTGGCACGGTATTCTCGCTGTAATGAGTGTCTTCCAATTCTTTATCCTTTTTAGTCGTTATTTTTAGAGCAGCTTGCATTTTCGGATGAAGCCACAAATTACAAGCCGCTTCAATGAGTTCATTAGTTACATATTGAGTATGTCGATCGATTAGACGTTGCGTCAACTGTACAGTGCTACTACCCACAACATGAAAGAACAATGCTGGTAGGACATTTTCAAATGCTTCACGTAATAGTTTCAATAATTTAGTTAAAGAGGCAAAATTATCGCTTAAAACATCGAACTGTACTGAGGTACAGTGTAACCATTGCTGCAATCCATCAAGAAGCTGGGAAAGACTGGGAATCGAACGAGTTATTTTTAAATCGCTGGAACCCATATAAGTTTTATTTCTGTTAGCATTGCAAACTTTGGTCACTAATTCATCTAAGTCGTTACAATAAAATTTATTTTTTTCCATATTTACGTGAAACCAATCGTTGACTTTTTGTGCTGCTTCATGCTTAATAATCATAAAATACGTTTCCTGCAAAACGGGATTAGTTTCTGCAGGCAGAAAAGCTTCCAGCGCTTTTTGGATGCGTTCTTTCAACCGTCCCGGTACGGATGTATTCCAATGTTGGGTAGCTTTTTCTTGAGCACTAGAATAAATAGATTCAATTTCTTCGAACACTTTATAATAATCGAAAGATTCTATTCTATTTACTAAAGTATCAGCATCACTTTTTGAGGGCACGAGAATTCTGTAATGCCCATCTTTGACGGCACTCCTGTAACAACGTTCTATGCAGAAACTTATCAGCTGGCGCGTCGAGGCAGTTTGGGCATGAAGGAAAGCTTGAACTAATCGCTTTTGACTAGTTGTTGTCTGCTGATTAGCCGCGAAGAAGTAAACAGCTTTATTGGACGGAGCAGGTGAAGATAAATCCGATAGGCGTGGAGTTATATAACGAAATCGACCGCTACGTGAGGCATATTTGGTTTGAGCATATTTGGCCGGCATAATAGATATGCGGAACTCTGCCAGAAATGGACAAGCAACGTGAAGTAAGTCTTCAAGCATTGGATTGAGATCAAAACTTTGCAATGGCTCTGCTTGCAACCACGTTCGAACAAACTGTAGTTCACTAGGCTGTTCAGCGTTATAGGTATGACATAGTCCACTAAAATCAAAATATTGTTCACTAATAATTTGCTTGTTTTCAAACAACCAACCAAGACAAACGCGAATGATAAAACTAAACGTATTTGATTGATCAATACACCAACCAAGACTTCCATACAAAGCAAACACTAAGCGCAATGTTTTTTCGTAATTATCCAACTGCAAGGTAACCCTATCAAGCATACCAAGGTATTGAACCATCCAAGGCAATGTTATTAGCAGTTTACCCCCCATTAAGCTATCTTGAAGTATTTTAGTAGTATTGAAGTTGGGCTGCATTGAACTTCGCAATGCCATTTGCTTTTTTTCTATAGATACAGGCATCGATAACATGTCACCTCTATTGCCATTATTATTGATCGGGTTTACGAATGGTAAAGCTATCGCAAAACCTAAAAATTTCGCTAACACCAGCATAGACGCCATCAACTTTTGCTTAACAACATATTGTTCGCCACATCCTGCGTATCTATGAAAAGGTGAATGATTCTTGTCGCCTTCATCCTCTTTCGAACTGTTAATGCAAATCTGGTCAAACGAACTATCATTCAGATTTATTAATTCTGAATAAAGTTCCATTTTTAGTTGCTCAGCAAATGCTAATGAGCGGGCTTCAGCTATGAAATCTCGAAAAAAGCTTTGAGTATGAGGAAATTGATAATCCATAGAGAAACTGCTCGGAGTAATTAATCGCTGTGTCAGTTTATTGAATTTCAACAAATCGACCTCGATACCAATATCATCTGGTGAGGTAGAATTAGTAGATGATATTAGCAGTTGTGACACGAAAAGTTTAGCAAAATGTGCCATATTGATTGGACTCTCTGACACCTCAAATATATCTTTTATTCTCGGCGCAATTTCGTTCGAAAACGACCAATTCCGATTCAAGTGATTTAATTCCCAAATGTTGAGGATTTTATAGAAGTGATCACGTTGGGCACGAAAGTTGGCAAATTCCTGCTGAGAACTGAAAAACTGACGTGAATTTTGATCTACTTGGAAATATACATTGACAAACTGTTTTGGTTCATAGCTTTCCACAATATCATTGCTGTTTTTATGCAAGTCCAGTTTTTGTTTACAGCGGTACACTTCTTTCAAATACGACTTAATATCTTCTGGAAGATAATGCCAACGGTCGCTATTCAGTATTACGTTTATTGATTTGTGATCTAATAAAGCAATTGTATGTTTTTGTTTAATTAATGTGATGTAGGCAAAGTAGACAGCTTTTGAAAGATTTTCCAACTGCATCATAGGCAGTTCACATGCCAAGTCTTCAGTATCTTTAAGAGTTAGTTTTTTTAAATGATGGTAAATGTCAGATGAGGACTTTGTGTTCACTATAGAACTGGTGGCATTCAGCAGGTTCACTAGCAAAGAGATTTCATTTAAAACATTCGTAGTGAGGTTTAAATCAATGAGCACTGAGTATAAGTTTGATAACTTATGCAAATGCGTGTTATTCTTAAGACTTTCAAAATCTAATACGAGTTCTCCAGATTGCAATTGTTCAAAATATTTATCTTCAACAAATTCCCCTGCTCTAGTCGCGGAAGTTAAAGAAACTTTTAGTACTTCTTTAGTTATCTCGTCAGGATTTGATTTCAGACTTTTTCTGGCTGCTAGTACTTCACAGTGTTCTTTATTCTCTATCTCTTCATGGACAACATTAGCCATATTGTTTTCAGAACTAAATGAACTCTCCCCAGCAAACACCGACGTCGATGGAGATTCATTTTTTCTGCTAAGGGTCGTAGGTACCACACGTTTCTTAGGATTTTCAACTCTCACTTTACCGCCCTCTGCAATTTGTTGTTGTTGGTGTTGTTGTAATGCTTTCTTTTTGTTCAACCTGCTGCTTGGTGATTGTGAGTTCATAATTATAAAATCACCCAAACAACGGCTCGATCCTAAAGGATTTTTGGTTGATGATGGTATATTGGATAATCTCCGAGAATTCATCAAAAGATTATGTTTGCTCGGTGTCGCATTCGTAGAAAACGTTTGTGAAAAACTAATACGATCAGCCGAGGTACATAAACGTGGTGTTGTGCAGGCAAATTCTTCAAGCGAAGTTTTATTTGATCTTTGCACATCTATTGTGCTTCTATCCATCGAGCTACCTCTAATTGGTGTTCGACATTTAGATACCTCGAAAGCGTTAGACTTTAAATGATTTTCGGTATGTTGTCTCAGATTATTCAGGAAATATAATGCAAATTCCACCAATGTGCAACTATTTTCATTTGTGGTGGCAAACTGCTGAAGCAACCAATGCGCAGAACAATCTTCTTGAATCTCCTCACATTGTAATAGCACCTTCAGTTTATGTGCTGCTTTAGAATTCATCGCCTTCCGTTAAATTTGTTTTCGAAACTATCTCAAAGGTTTTATAATTGTTTCACAAACATGTAAACACTTTTCTCCTTCAACTACCGTTAGAATTCTAGTCTGAAACGGAAGATGAACAGAGAAAAAGACAAAATTTGCTTCAGGTTTTTCATATTGTCGCATTAAGCACAAAATGATGTCACTTTGGCAGCAAATACGGCGCATACACACAATTAATTATCCCTTTTGTAAGCATTACATACTGATATAAACTATAAGTACAAATGTCTGTGAATTTTGAACGAAAAGTAAGATTATTACATCACAAAAAGGTCACACCCATACACTTACAGGACGATGCAGGCTAAATGATTATTTGAAAATACCGCAAAGACAAATCGTACTTTACCTTATAACAAACTTGCAATGAATTCTTTCAATTACTCTTGCTAACAATATAATCGCGAACCGTATTGTCAATTCACTTTATTGTTAGAGAGACACATACAATGCGAATTCACTGATATAAGGGTGACTTGCCTTAATCACCAAACCGGAAGGTATGTCTACGTTAAGTGAATTACGTAATAGTTATGTGAACTATGAATCTAACACTATGTTTTAATGTTAACTAAAAATGCAGAAAATTTTTCCTAGCGTAAAAGCCGTACCAAAGAGCTGTATACGTTCTTTTCTATACAAATGCACATTTTCTGACGATTCATGTTTTATTTTTTTATTTTGCTTGTTACACATAATTCGTTAGAAAAAATAAACATGAAATAAATGTAAAGAAAAAGAAAATATCTAATAGATCATAGTAATGAAGAATACTTCTTTCTGCCTTTATGACAACTTTCGAAGACAAATAAAAAATTATATTAAAGCGAGAACGAATATTTTTGACACCAAAAAACTACCGACAATACGCCAATTTAATCCTTTTCAAATTTCGATATTCAACAAAATGGTTATAAAGCATATAACGTTCCAAAATTTTTCGATAACTTTTATTTATATGAAACGATCTTCAAATACCTGTCTTTACCTTTTTTCTACCTAGTCTAGTTTTCGCGATGCCTATTTCAAGTAGGTTCTCTCTCCTTGTAGATTTGCCACAATCAAAGAAATAAGAACACGAAAGTTGAAATATTTCTTGAGCGTTAAAAAAGTCAAAGTAGAAAAATACGTGTACATAAGAAGCCACAAACTCGGAGAACTCAAATATTTTTCATATTTTTATATATAACTTTTGATCCCGTAAATATTCATATTCAATTCAAAAATTTTCCCTGATTTAACTAATATCTACGTCCACCTTTAACAGCTTACATTGCAGCTTTTGTTGAATGCTTCTTAACACTATAGCTTTTCGTACTTTATAATGTAATTTGAGTAGATGAATTATAACAATTTACCATGAATGATATTTATTTGCGCTTCCTTGTTGCACCTATAATTATGACAAACATATTTCAGAAATAGCTGTTATAGTAGATAAAAATACAAATATATTTATTACATTTATCACAAGTAAAAGATGTTTTATTTCTTTCTCGCAATCGAACTTGACAATTTTTACGGTAATAAGCGTTCTCTTTCAGTCTTTTCAGAGAAAAGCTTTTGGTCGACCTTTTTGGGAAGCGACTTAATTTCTTAAAACAAAAGTTTAACAATGGCAGAGTTAATAAACGTCTACCATTTTTACCAAATGTGCAGACGATTCAGGCAAATATCTGGGTAACAGCTCCGTTTTCTCTTCTTTTTAGTTTCTTTTAGTGCTTTAGTTTCTTATCATTGTGTCATTTTTTAAACTTGGATTTCTTACCCATCAAAAAATATTCGTGCCAAAGACTGGCTTTTTATATTCATATTTGGGATCGTGGCAATTCCACAAAAAGAAGGCCAAATTAATCCTTTCGTAGAAACAATTATATAGGGTCGATGGCTATAATATTTGTAATATTAATGGCCGCCACTTACTTTCTCTGTTGTTTTAAGTAAGTATATATTAAAGAAAGCAACGTTTCTGCCCTTTTTTTCGCGAATGTTCGCTTAAAATGAATCCCAGCGGTCTGCGATAACGTAACAATTTTATTACATACATTTTATATTAATATTGCTCATACAATAACGCCGACTATGGTCAGCTTAGTAAACAAGAGAGTACGGAAAATGGAACACTGACGAGCAAGTCATACCTAAAAACTGGCTAAATCGAATTAGTTTACTAACAACAGAAAATAAATAAGAACAAAACTAATAAGATTGACATTGTCGTTCTAGACATAGTTTGATTACTTTTATAGATATCAAGATTAAATCATGTCCATTGCATGCATGAGCCACGATTTACTCATTACCGAAAAAAAGAGAATGACGTAATTTTTATAAGAAAAATGCACAATTAAATACTCTATAAGCCCACATGTGTACATAAAACAATAACAGTAAAAAAATAAACCAAAGTTTATGTATCACAAACAATTAGTTTCCATCAAGCGGCTATAAGCAGGATATGTATTTTATCTATTTACCAGTATAGGATGAAACTTAATCTTCACTTGCAATTGAAAACATAATATTTTTAAACTAGCAGTTGAACAATTCTAAAATTTAATGCTTTTACGGCAGAATAAAAATTAAAGCGAATAGGAATTCATACGTTGCCCCTATTTCCGAAAAAAAAAACTAATGCATGGAACAACATGTATTAAAGAAATCTTTTGCTTGGCAGGCATAGCGGGAAGCGGTAACGTTTATACACCCACTTTGCCATTTAAGAAATATAGTCCAAAAGTAAATCCAGCTTTAAGTTTCCGCATTTATTTAGAACTAGTTGAATTGCTTTCTTACTTAAATCGCACTTAAAATTTGCAAATTTACAATATGTAGAACTTAGAATTGCGAATGAATTCTTCTTTTAAGTATCTATCTATATTATCAATTTTGATATAAAGGGTGTGGCGGTGATTGAATTTTGTGTAGAGGTCAAAGTAAATATGGTCTCTAAGCCTTCATTTACTTCATAGTTTCAAACGCAAATTTATTTAATTTAATAATTTGATATATAAACACTTACACTTTTTTTTTAAAGTCTTCTTTAAGAATTTCCCGTTTTTGCAAATATTCAAGACTATTTAAGATATTGTTCGATATGTTCGATATCTCCCGTTTCAAGAGCGAAATACAAAATGGTGAATAAAGTATAGTGTTGCCAGTATTGTCAGCTTTGGATTAGGCGATTTTCATTATAGGATAATTAAAGTTGGTTTTTAGGAATTGTGGGAATAAAGTTAACGCTATAAATTGTGTCCTATTTATTTAGCAAACGATAGCAAAAAAAGAAGTGTTGAGAATTCATTTTTTTGGTGCCGCTGTTGTGTTAAAAATATAACTTGCTCCCATCTCACTTTAGACGAAGTAACATTAAAGGCATTACAAGTCTTTCTTTATACGCAGTTAACTCGTTATATATTCATGAATTTTATCCGTGATTATTAAATCGAATTAGCTTTGCTTATTGTTGAACAAAGGCATCATATTTCAATGATTATGAATAGGTTGAGTAACCAAATCGGCTACTTGATTTTAAAAGAAGACGGAGCTGTTCTAGAATCAGGAGGAGAATTAGAAAATGATGAGAGACGAGCAAACATTTTTCAAGGCTTGGTGAATATAACCGAGAAGTAGAATTTGTTATAAAAACGAATCTATTTATAATCAACTCAGTTCTTGTTTTGTTGGTATAGTGTCGATGAAAATTTCATGCCTAACAGTGGCTGTGAACGCATCTCCATTGTCTATGAGGACCATAGCTATAATATTTGCATGTCTAATCGCCGCATTTTCATTGTAAAACTCCGCAATACTATGAGCCATGTTGGCATTACAGGCAGTAGCAATAATGGTAACGTATTCTCGAGCTCTGAAAATGGTGCCGTCCCGACCACAGCTCTGTTAACTTGAGAACCCTCACGGGCTGTCTGTTGTGCCTTTTGCGCGCACAGTATACGCCAGCGCAGCCCGGCGTACCGCACCTACAAAGAAAAGAGCCAATCTACACGTTTTAATTGGAAAACACCTTTTATTTATTTAATAATATTGTTTATTTGTCAAAAAATACATCATCTGTAACCTCTTGGTCAAAAATGCGTTCTGCTTCTGCAGTCACATCCAGCAGCGTAGCCTTTTTGTTAAATATAACCACATAAAATTGGCGCCAATTGCATTGTCTCTTAACAATCCAAAAGTCCGTTGTTGACTTTATTAGTGTCTCTTCAAATTGGGGCATTGCGACATTTTTATTATTTTCTTTGGTTGTTGCCGCCGAATCAATTAATAAATTCACTACATGCAATGGTAACGATTTCTGGCAGACAGCGGATGAAGTTTTTTCGCCTTTGGAATTTCCAATATTGCTTATGTGTTTGAGAGTCTGTTCATTTACAAAAAGGTACCTAGGTATTAACGCTTCCGGCTCAACACTGTTATTAACAAGTGTCAACACCTTACTGTGGGACATTATAAATCGAGCTATGTCGTAAGCCAACAAAGCTAGTTGGGCATCAATATAAGTTTCTAAATCTTCGCGGATTTCTGACGAAAGAATATCGCCCCGTTTAACATACATATATAACGAAGCAGAAGAGGAACAGTGATGATAAATCTTGAATGGCACCAATTCGTTATTCCTGTTTAAGAAGATCTTTTGACTCCCTTCAAATTCAATTCCTTCGGTAAGGCGTTGAGGTCGTCTCAGTATTCGGTTATCCATAATGTAATTGTATATAGTAAACAAAATGGAAGGTTCGAATTTACCACCACTGAATATATAAAATTTTACGTTACATTTATCAAAAAGACGGAACCATTTATATTACCTGACTATTTGATCGTTAAAAAGGAACAAAGTGTCAACTATGGCAGGAAATGTTGCTTGAACCATTTGAATAAAATTATGAACTCTCAGGAATAAGGTTTTACTCAAAGGCAAATATTGCACCGAACGCAAAAATTGGGTTACATCACTTATTGGCAAATTTAACGATTGTACATACTAAATATTTGGAAAAAAATCGATGAAAATCAATTATATACAAATAACATTAAATTTACTTCACTATAGAAAATGTTCAATTTTTCGCGTAGTTTACTTTGAGCATTTGATGATCCATTCTTCGCACTATTTAAAATTGTGTCAAATGATCCGTACTGCAAGCAAAAACGATTATACGATTCTTGCAGCACTTTTCGATAAATTTCGTCATTTATTTCACCATTGCGGTAGTCTTCATATTCTTCGTCTTGTTTGCTGCAGACTGTCTTCGGTACATTTAAAGTCATAACGCACCAAAAACCGTCTTCCGGCTGAAGAAATATCTGAGTTGTTTTTAAAGTATGTAGTATATCGCACCCAGTACCCTCAGCGAAAGTGCTGGAAAAATAATTATCATTTCCCTTTTTCCCCAAACTTCTTTATCACTGAATTTAACACACTTACTCTGTAAAAGTAATTATGGCTTCACTTAAGCCCACGTCTTTAATTTTTGTATTCATTTCTATATCATCTGGGTGGTAAAACAAAATTTTTTTGTGTTCCTGCGGTAATACACAAAAATAAGCTTCTTGCCAAAAGATAACAATACTTATTTACCTGCCCTTCGCGTCCGCCATAGCTAGAATTGAATATGTAAAAACTACGTAGCGACGCCTCAACTCTATGTAGTAAATTTGTCATTATTTTAATATTTAATTGGCTCTTTTTCTTACAAACGATAACATTACTTATACGTGTTAACGCTGCTTTGTATAATTGCCAAACAGCAGTTACCCATTCGCTTTCGGAGAGATTGAGAATTTTGCTCTACACATGTAAAACTCAAACTAAAAAAAAGACCACGCAAACGAAGAGTGTAGCCAGTTAAAAGAAATTTCACATTATTGTTGAAGCAAAAAACAAATATTGAACAAGTAAGAAAATTAAATTCGGTCGGAGCCAAATCTTTTATATCCATCACTGTTTATCCTAAAAAGAAGTAAAAGAACAAAATTCTCATCTGAAGCTTCCTTTTGGGTGTTACACACATAATGCAAAAAAAAAAAAACAAAATAGGTGCAGCCCCATCTTTCAGTGGGTATAAAGAAAGAAATGGAGTCTGCTTTATAAATTTTGGCAACATTCGACACGATTTAAAGATTAGTGCTGTTAATAACGCAATTTTTTTTATAGACGTTGCCAATTCTATATGTCAATCTATATAGGTGCTCTTGTATAATTTTATTTATAGGTTTGTACTGCAAAATACGAGTACAATTCGTCAGAGCCACTTACTAAATTATTTCCAATTTTTTCATTAAAATTGTATTTACATCTTACTTAAATGCGAAGTTTAATGATTTATTATTATTAATTTTCTAACCTTAAATATTTTAAATGATATACAGTCGATATATATATATATATATATATATATATATATATATATGCATACCCATGATTTTTTAATATTAAGAAAAAGACGAGGGAAAGCAAATAAACGCATAAAAGTTAAGAAAACAATATATAAAAAATTCTGTTAATTTTCTTTTAGACTTAGAGCAAGAAACCTAAATTTGCGTTGTTTCGAATTTTCCCATTAGCTGTGCAGAAAGAAAAGTTTGTAAAATAAAATATATAATAATTGTTTTCATTTTTTCGATTACAAAATTAATTCTCGTTATCATTCCGTCAAATTTTTTGGGAAAAGAATGTAAAAGGAAAATATAGAAAGAAAACCGGAAGTTTTCATCAATAGATAAAACATTTTCATATAAAAAGGAACAACAGAAATGATGGAAAAAAATTATGAAAACGCGAAAATGAAAAATTTTTCTTTAACGTTATAAAATTTCCCAACTTACCAAAGACCGAAGCGGTCTTTCAAACTTAATTTTTATTGGCAATTTGAAAAAGGAAAATGAGAACCAGTTTTCCTGATTGCTAACCAGACTGCCATGTCGTCATATGATATGTAGTATGAAAACAAGGTTATAAATAACAATAATACTTTTTTTAATTTAAAAAGCCCTCTAAATCGATCGAATCATCGATCTGAATCATTTTCAATAGCGTTCGTCTTTGGGCCAGAACACGTGTAACATTAATATAAATAAATATTTATTTTGTCCAGACAGTCTCCTAAGGTGTAAAGCTGGAAGGTTTAATAAAAACTATTTTTATTTCATTTTATTTTTTTACATTTTATATAGAATTTACTAAGGTAAAATATGTAAAAGTTACGGGTAAATATATATGATTAAGCATATGTAAGTATGAACATATATTTGAATGTAAACATGTATGTGTATGTAATATTTTAAGGAATAAGAATAATTTGGTATATAAAAATCGTTTATCCATTTGAAATAGTAATTATGAATAGTTGATTGATATTTGATGCACATATTTTTGTTAATCCTTACGTAGATGGTTTATTTAATGTCTCACTAATTTAATAGTGTAATAAATATAGACAAAGAACATAATACCCGTTACCAGTTTCCGTATATCTGCCCCTTTGATACCTTTAAACGAACCCACGACATCACTGCACTATAATAACACGTTTCAACTCTTCTCTATGGGATCTGCCTCTGTTTGTTTCCATTTTTCCATATAAAAATTATCGTATTAACTACTAAGTATGGTGCATATATGCGTAAGAATATGCATCCTGGACAAGCAGTTAAGTCGAATTACACGATTTTTAGAGTAAAGTCTTCCACAATCATCAAAAAAAAATTTCGGGATATACTTATAATTCTTATTTTTACGCAAATTAACATTCATTCGTCCCCTTTTTATTTCTTTTTAAAAACAGGTTATTTTGGAGGAATCATTAATCCGACAAGAACTTTATTCATAAATTGAATTAGTTCAATTTTATCATAAAATTTAAGTTTTATCCGACTTAAAATATTTGTATTTTCTCCAGTTTTAAATGACTTTCAATTACTTATTGAAAACCATCATCAAATAGAAAATGTTTTTCGAAAGATTCGAAAGGTACGATGAAATAATTATTAGATATCCATTAAATTTATATGCAAGCGTAGTTTTCCAATCCTTGTTCTGAATTAGTTCAAATAGAGCATCGATCTGAATTTATTGTGTAAGAATCTCTTAACTACAGGAATTTATTTTGATATTTGCAGAATTATTTTTATTAAATTGAACATAAGAATTTAATGCAGCATTGCGCAATATGGTAGTAAGATAGCGTGTCTATGTATATTCAAAATCCGATTGAACTTGATGAGCGCTCATACATATTTTTGTATCAACAATAAGTTGAAACTTCTGTAATTTTTGCCATTTTATTAGAACATCAAACTTCATCAACTCCAAAACATTGAAAACATACGATAAAAGAGTTGCAAAATTATTGGAGGTTCATTTTCCCGAGTTTTTTTTTTTTGTTAAACTATTTTTTTCCGTACCAATTTTACCACTTTTTCTGCAAAAAATCTTTTCTTTCTGCCCTTTTTTTCCTCACCTTACGTCACCTTGATCTCCCCCTCCTTTTTTTTGTCCGCCTATCATCAGCGACCACTTTTTTAGAACCAACAAGTCGACTTTAGTCTTCCTAGAACTTCACACTTCTTTTTTTCGGTTCAGAGGTGTATTCTTAATTCGACAACAATGAAACGAATAGAATTGTGAAAGAAAAAAATCCTCATATTGCACACGTCAATGTGACGAATTTCAGCAAAACATCTCAAAAATTGTGCCCTATAGTTTGAACATAAGAAAACGAGATGAACAAACAAGCTTAATTAAGGTGGACTTATCTCAAGTGTGTAACGTAGATCCGTACAATCTTAATATACCAAGATAGCACGAGTGAAGTAGAGTATAAAAATACACATGTGATAACGGGAGTTTTAGATTAAATCAGATAGCCCAAAAAGGTCATAAACACTCCACCTATTATTATTCATAGAACATTCTTGATTTTTACCCTTTAATTGTTGCCATAAATTTTGTATTCCTAGAGTGGTAACAATACCCCTAAAGTAATTACGAAATTTTATTAACGGCAGTACTAATTATCTCTAGTTCTTAATCATTGATTTTTTATTTTTTCCGACGCAGTTTTGCAAAAGAATATTTTCGCTGCTGAAAATTGGGAGTTGAAGTTGTAGCGTCTAATTAAAAAAAGTTAAAACAGAATTTTGCGAGCATGGGTGACAATGAACAAAAGGCTTTGCAGCTTATGGCTGAAGCTGAAAGAAAATTGACTCAACAAAAAGGATTTCTTGGTTCCCTTTTCGGGTATGTTCAGATTTTTTAATCACAAGGAATTGTTTCTGGAAATGAAATAAGTAATTTCAAAAACCGTATCGAATCAAGATTACTTGTAGACCTTGTCTTTTTTTTTAAGTGGGTATATATACATATAATGAAAATAAAATAGAACAGGTTGTGCATAGCAGATAGGAAATTGAAACAATAAAAATTTGTTTAAAAGCGTAGACTGAACAAACCATTCTTTTAAAAAATTGAATATAAGTAATACATTTTTAGTACATCTTTCTGTACATTGATGCGCTGTTTTTTTAGTTGCGCATTAAACGCACCCTTCGAAAGGAATTTAAAAAATATATTTTCAGAGGTTCTAACAAAGTTGAAGAGGCGATAGAAAATTATCAGCGGGCTGGAAATATGTTTAAAATGTCAAAGAACTGGACAAAAGCAGGTGAATGTTTTTGCGAGGCAGCTAGCCTGCACTCAAGAGCCGGAAGCCGTCATGACGCTGGTACTTGCTTTGTTGATGCTTCAAATTGCTATAAGAAAGTACGTAAAAGAGCAATGTATGGGATATAGGTTTGTTAAGATATTTGAATTTGCAGGTTGATATCGAAAGCGCAGTATCATGTTTATTAAAAGCCATAGATATTTATACAGATATGGGTCGGTTTACTATGGCTGCTAAACATCATCAAAGCATTGCTGAAATGTATGAGAGTGATCCTAATACTTTGGCTAAAGCAATTCAGCATTATGAACAGGCTGCCGACTATTTTAAAGGAGAAGAGTCAGTTAGCTCAGCTAACAAATGTATGCTAAAGGTAGCACAATATGCCGCCCAATTAGAGGACTATGAAAAGGCAATTTCAATATACGAGCAGGTGAAAATTAATATTTGCAAGTTGGAAATATATTTTACTTGGAGTTTTAAAATTTCTGGTAGGTGGCTACGTCATCGCTTGAAAGTTCGCTACTTAAATATAGTGCGAAGGAGTACTTTTTTCGTGCTGCTCTTTGCCATCTCTGTGTTGATCAATTAAATGCCCAACATGCTATCGAAAAGTATTCCAATCAATATCCAGCATTCCAAGATTCTAGAGAATATAAATTAATAAAGGTAAGATGTTCCATTGAATTTTTTCTCCTCTTCTTTTACATAATTTTGTTACGTTTCAGGCTCTTTGCGAACACCTCGAAGACCAAAATGTTGAGGGCTTCACCGAAGCTGTTAAAGAATATGATAGCATCTCGCGTTTGGATCAGTGGTACACGACAATATTGCACAGAATTAAAAAGGCCGCTAATGATATGCCAAATTTACAATAAATTGTAAATAAGATGCCGTCATTTAGTCTAATTATCCAATTATTCATATGAAATGAATCCAAATGTTATCGATCCAATTAATTACTATTCACGGTCTATTTCAGAGTCTACCCAAGTAATAAGGAACTTTGCTTTTGCATACTAAATATAACTTGAGCTTTACCAAAATAAGTTTTTCAAATGCATGCCAAAACATGCTCAGTGAAATGCTTTAAAATTGGGAAAATACTACTTCACGCTATATTAATTTTATGTAGTAATGAAATTTGGAGAACTCTCGCAATAACTAAACATGATATGATTCATGATTAATTGCAAGTTAATAATCTTGATGCGGTTTATGCTCTAAATATATTACATTTTGAAAATTAAAGCTTTTATCAAATACTAAAATATCACGATAGTTGTAGACATTAAAAGTTTTTCGTAACAATTAATAATATTGAAATATATTAAAGCATATAAAATGATTTATTGTTCTTATATTTAATAATTATGCAATCAGAACAAAACAGAAGCACGCTGTCATCTCTTATTAGAAAGAAATGAATGTTTAACTAAGCAATCACGTTACACTGAAAATTTAAATCACTGGCTTTCATTAATACTTGTCACATACATATACATATAAGAAATCTTCGAGCGCCCATTTGAGAATGAACGGAAGTCGTTTCCAGAACTACAGAGTCGATATAAAAATAATACCTTAGATAATAGTTTTGTGTAATTCCATAAGTTATATGATCAAATAAAAATCATTTACTAACATTATAGATTGCTTATCAAGAATTATTCACCTCGAAAGTTTACTTTTTCAATTCGAACGTTTCGAGTTGTAGTTTGAGGAACCGTCAACTGAATTTTAGAGTTTTATAAGTTAAAAAAAACAACAGCAAAAAAATTTTTAGTAACTTTGATTATTACAAATACCTGTTTTCTTAAGTCCATTATCGGTAAAGATATTGCTATAAGTTACTAAGCATATTTTTTTGCAAAAGGAGTAAATATTCCAACTTCGATAATCATGTATTCAAGCTACCGTATAAAAATATTACGCGTTAGGTGATATTTTCAAGAAATGAAATTGCAGAAGCAATTTAACTTTTATAAGATAGGTGTTTTGTACAAGAGTGACTGAAAACTTAGCCATTCATTTTCTAACTAAGCAATGCTTTAACCATTATAATCGACACATTTTCCTGAAATATGGATCACAATACATTATTACACAATGTACCGGATAAAAAGAAGAGAAGCTCTTTAATTTACAGGTGGAATACTATTAAATTGCTTTGAACACTTAATGTAGCAGCGAAATTCCCAACTTCTACTTGCTCGACTATAAATGATGTTAAGGTAAATGTTGACAACAGACAAAAAAAAAATAAATAAAATAAGAAGCTTCGTAAGACGTGCCGGAATTCTAACTGATACCACTGTTATGCTAAGCTTTAAGAACAATTTTATCATATATATTAACATATAATAACAGATATGCCTGCGAGTATACAGAAAATATATGAAATTTTTGTTTCTATTGAGCGCTGTCAGTGTTTTCGTCGACCAAATTTTACACATAATTTGTACGCTTAAATCATCACTATACATCAATGAATTAATCTTAGATCTTTTTTTAAATTGTATTTTACGTCTAACAAATCTATTACGACTATTTATGCTGTAAATTTTTACGCGACTAGTAAAAACACCGGCCACTAATATGAAGAGAAATATTAAGATACTCTACGGTTTTCATTCGAAAATTACCTTTTTCACTATTATTAAATTGTTTTCATGCAGTTCGGAGGTATCATTAGACTTGATCAGGAAAAAAGAAGAGTGCGAAATATCTGAGCTGACTTAAAACTTCATACTTATGAAGAATGCACTAAGGAATGTTCCGTGTGCATTTTTAAGTGCTGCAAATGATGTCTGTCATGACGATGCAATATGTTAAAGCAAAATATGAAATAGCAACAAAATGTCGTATAGAATTTTGATCTTATAAGAGTGAAAGGAATTGACGTGAGAGGTAGTTTGAAAGAAATTTTAAATTCATTTCGAATTAGAAACTGAAACCCAGGTTTGTGATTCATTAATCAAATCTTATTCAGTGAGAATGAGAAAGCACGCGTCAGTGAGTCAAGCTTAAAAATAAAAAAAGAGATTTAATTATATATAATGTTGTGTTTATATTATCACACCTCTAGTACAAGTCATTCCATTGTTGCGTCGAGTTTATAGATTCTGCGTTTATTCTCCATTCAGTTTAAAGATTTTGTTTTACCTCATTTATTTTTGCAAGGGAATTTCCCATGCAATAAGGTTTGGTTACTAGTACAGATTTGTTGTACTAATTAATTGTTAAGTGTTTGCATACACATATATATTTCAGTATATATATATATAAGTTCAACATATACATAATTATATAAATATTGGCGCAAGGCATCACAAGCAGACTCAATACAAAGTTGAAAATATTTTCAGTAAAGTGCGTGCTTGAAAATGGGGCTTTTTCTGAAAGGTAGAGATGATCTTTAAAATAATTTTTATGCATAATTATTTTTAACAAGAATTCCAGTCAACAGCAGATAGCAGTATCGCTGCCCTGAGAGACTTAAGAATTAAGATTTCAATTTCGAAATATTTACCTTGAATATGTACATACTTTTGTACATACCTTTGCATATTATTGAAGCAGAATAACACCATCAATACATACAAAGGAAAGAACAAATAGTATTCTCACTCTTAAAAGCTGATAACATTTACTTTACTCACGTTGAATAAAGTTAAATTAAATTTATTCTTCCGTTTGTAACACTTATTATAATTTTTCAGAGTCTTATAAATATCATATATTAAATTGTACATTAATCAATGCCAGATTTTGAGTCGTTTTACACTTGACCATCCCTTCTGCAACGAATGAAATTGATTCGAGAAATAGGGACAAAAATACGCTTTAACAATAATTTACGACTTTTATGGCGTCGCAGCTTGTGCGTTTTTTAAATAGCTATTAATTTTATGACATGTTCATATAATTATGCACTTTGTTAAAAGTTTTCTTTACATTTTAGCTTTAGCATGCCTATTAATCACATCAGAATTGTGGTTGCCTTCAAATGGTCAATTGTCAACAGGATCGCGCCCCCTCTTTGGACCGCCTGTATTTCCTTCATCAACTCCAGCAAAAACAAACAAAAATCGAAATGCTTTATTAGAAAATCAAATACGCAGTTTAAAGGGAGCAGAAACATTTGCGTTGAAGTTCTTTGCACAGCTGTCCAATGAGCATTTAAAAGTGCCGAATAGCAATTATATGATTTCTCCCTTTGCTGTGTGGTCGTTACTACTTTTGTTAACCGAAGGCGCGGTAGGCAATACACTTAAGGAACTACGCGACACTCTACATATTGATCATGATCAGCAAGTTATACGTGCGGCGTATCGCCAGATTGCTAGTTATTTAACGTATGTGCAAACTTTTGAATATTCATTCTTATCCATCTCTGAACTTCCAGTGTAAATACCACGACAATAGAAGTGGCATCATTTAACGCATTATTCACAGACGTTAATAAACCAGTTAATCGTGATTATGAAATTGTTGTTGAACGTGTCTATGGTTCAGCATTAATACCAGTAGATTATCAAGATGTTAACAATACCTTCACCAAAATCAACGATGACATTAGTAAAGCTACGAGAGGCTTACTTCCTTATACTGTAACTCCACAAGATTTTAAGGAAGCAAATCTATTGCTGATCTCGTCCCTTTATTTTAAAGGGCAGTGGCGTGTAAGTACGCACATAGTTTAATACATTAACCATTTACATGTTGTGTGTATCATACAATTCATTTTACATTTTAGTATCCTTTTAATTCTGCTGATACTCGTCCCGCAACATTTTACGATGAATTTGGTAATTCATTAGGTTTTGTACAAATGATGACGCAAAACGGAACGTTCGTATATGCAGGCATCCAAGATTTGGAAGCTCACGTTTTGGAATTACCATATGGCACACAAAATAGATTGTCCATGTTGGTAATTTTGCCCAAAAAAGGTAAAAATTAATTTTGAAATCGAAATTGATAAAAGGATCTTACGCAGGTGCTTTTAAAACTTAGGCGTTACTGTAAATAAAGTTGCGAACAATCTACGTGATGTAGGACTAGTCGGAATATTCCGGCAATTACTTTCTGCGGCTGAGGACTTCGAAGGTGAATCTGTGGAAGTGTTTTTACCTAAATTTACAACACAGTCACATTTTTCCTTAAGAACTATTTTGACAAACGTAAGACATTTCTTACCTAACATTTTCTAGTTTTATTTAAAAAGAAATAAGACTTTTTCTATTATTTTTACAGATGGGTATTGCCGACGTTTTTGAACCCGCATTCGCCGATTTGAGTAAACTTTCTAAAAATGTTTTTGTTTCCAGTATATTTCACGCAACTCGCATTATTGTAAATGAAGAAGGAACCGAGGCAGCAGCCATAACGACAGCAGTTCTCGCGAACAAATCTATACCTCCTAAATTCTATGTAGATCGACCATTTCTTTATTTAATTGTAGAGAAGAAGGCGAATCTTTTGCTATTTGCGGGTGAGGTGAAATCTAACGTTTAAATCTTTTACAGGTAGTAGAATAAATGTGTCATACATGAGGTTGCGAAAGTTTATTCAAAGCAAGTAAGAAAATTATATTCGGCGAGGGCCGAATATCGCATATCCACCACTAGGTTTTTCGCATTCTATTCTCCAAATTCTTTTATTTGATACCCATATCGCAAGTATTATTAAGAAAAAAGTGATCGGGCTGTCTAACTTATTGATTTTAAAAGTAACCCCGTTTTAGGCAGATAATATATCTTCATTTAAGGAGAGTACAAAATGGTTGTAAACATTTGGTGTTGTTTGCGTTATGATAAGTAAGCATAAAAACTCAAAAAAGTGAAAAAACAGAATTTAAACAATTATAACTTTTTGTGGGAGTGGCGAATGTTTTCCATTTTCACACATAACGAATGGAGTGTTTCGTAAAGCAAAAATCCAAAAATTTTTGTTAAAAAAAAAGGAGCTGCGTTCAGTTTTTGCTCCACTGCCCGCTTCTGCTACGACCGACCTGGTCATTTTTCAATACCCACATGTGTGCAGAAACTTCCAATGTTTCTACAAAATTTGAAGCTGATATCTTCCTTTTCCGACCAAGAGAGTGTCAACAACACACACCACACAAGCGCACAGGCGGACGGGTATAACTAAATCACCTCAGAATTTCACACTGATTAAGAATATGTATACTTTATAGGGTCTCTGAAGCGTCTTTTTGGGTGCTACATACATTTTGGAAAAAACAGAATGAGTATACCCCCATCTTACAGTGGTGGGTATAAAAAAACTATTGTTAAAATTAAAATAAATAGAAAGTAAAACAACACTACTTTTTGGGTCGTCCAGCAGTCTTTTTTCCGCTCGCAGCTTGTTTGTCCTTATTGGTTTTGCTGGACACAAGTGGATGAATTTCTTAAAAGTTATTTAAAATAAAAAGTACGAAATTCCTTAACGTTTCAAATCTATCACTTACCATCCGTTGGAGCATCTGGTAGATTTATATCATAACTATTAAGTTTTCGTTTTTTGTTGGGAACTGTATCAGTGTAGTCCTGGGAGATACCGGCCGATTCGTTGTCTTTTGTTGCAGTACCTTCTAAGCCGTCCTGAACTGCCCATCCATCCTCGGGGTCTTCAACTTCTGGTGCCATTGGCAAAAATTGTAAAGCATTTTCATCTTCACCTTCCTCGTCAGATGAGCAAAATGCCGCAACTGGTTCAATTTTTAAGACATCTACTTCTATCTCTTCGTCTTGCTTAGCATCTGCATTCAGATCTAATGATTTGTCTTCATCAGTAATGTCGAATTCTGATTCTCGTTCTTCATATTCAACATTCTCATCTAATTCTTTAAAGTCAGGTGCAAATGCTGACCAGTTTTCAACTTGGTTTTGAGCCCAAATCGACACCAAGCCTGAACTAATGCTGGCAATAATAGGTCGTACGGGATGCCATACAACATCAAGTAATAATTCACCTTTTGTGCCATGAAGAATTTTTACTAAGTTTCCAATGGATTTCTCCCAAATGTATAAAGCATGTTGTCGAGCACTTCCAGCGCAAATATATTCTCCGTCGCCAGAAAAACAACATTTTTTCCATGTTGTTCTATAAAAATACACATATTTCATAAATATTTTTATGTACAGTTCGGCACTTACTTGTTAACCAAATCCTGTAGTTTTTGTATGGGTTCGGGTTCGCCATCTTTGCCAAGTGCCAGAACTTCCTTAGAATCATATACTCTTATCACACGGTCAGATGTGTTAACCAAAAATCCACTTTAAGGTTTTGATATATAAATAATATCAAATAGAAATAATCGTTATATCGCAAATACATACTCTCCACGGCGGGCAAATTCAATGCTTTTCACTGCAGTGGCACTAGAAGTTCCAACAATAATCCGAAAACTAGCCACAATATCTAAAGTGTCTACGTCAAGAACCAGAATTTTTCCTTTAGCATTACCAGTATATATATTTTTCCCTCGTCGATCAAATGAAGCTACAATATTTAAGTCCCCCTAAAAGCAGGGTTAACATATAAAATTCTAGTTCGTTACTCCTGACTTTTTAATATACTTTGATTGAGAATATCTCAACCACCAAGCCCATCAGAGCTTAATATCATTGCCAATTTGACATGTCACTGAATGCTTGCAAGGGGTCAAGTTAGTCACAGCAGACTTCAATTTAGCACTCTTCGCTATTTGATGTAACTTATATATTCAATGAGAATTTTCTTCGACGATAAGGAACGATACACCATTTCATTAAAAATTAATGAATAAGTATGCCATAAAGAGCAAACAGACCAACTGACCGATTCGATATATATGAGGTAAGCTTTCATGTTTGTTTTTAATCTATATATACTCACATCTGAATCGAGAGGAAGACATTTATGAGTATCGCCAATGTGTACAAGAACAGCAGCATATCGCATCGGACATACAAGAAATCGTTTGTCGTTTCGAGGATCGAATTGAACTTTAAGGATGGGAGATGGAAACCGATACTTATGTTCACAATCGCCAGATAATACGTCCCAAATGCAAACGTTATTATCCGTAGAAGCTGATAATAACTTGTGCCCATTACGTGTCCAACTTAAGCTACAAACTGGGTGTACATGGGCCGATATAATCTTGGCTATACCTCTCGTCAGAAAGTCCCAAACAACGATTCGACCGTCATTACATCCAACCGCCAATAAAGTGCCATGCTTATTAAATGCGCACGTAACTGCAAAGGATATACAGTCAAGAGTACCATCGAATTCCTCCGGATAATTTTGACCAAATGATTCTATAATGAATAACTGCTTATTTTTTTCTGGCCTGTGACAAATTTTACATTTACCAAGTAACTCTAGATTCATAGCAAAAGTAATTTTAAAACTATTTATACATTTATTTTTTTTGTTTGCTGTAGACGTTTGGAGAAAGGCCTTAAACTTATTTAGTTATCAAATTACTATTCTAAATAATTGAATTTATGTACCCTGTTGTTTATTTGACTTTTGATAAATAATTCTTTTCACCACCGAAATTGTAACCTTTTTCTTCTTCTTCTTCTTCTATTCAGCAAATCAACAACAAAAAATTTGCTGAGATGTGTAAAGAAGGCCTAATGTGAGCAACGAATTCTTTGTTTGAGCTTTAGTAAAGTTGGGGTTTAGATTTGATATATAATATTATAATTTATTTATTTTCATATTTATTTGATTAAAGTTTTTTTAATTTTGCGTGTTACACGTCCGCTACGTTTTTTTTTTAAATTCTTGTTAAAATATGCATATTACTCGTCCGCCAAGTAGAACCTAACCGCAGCGAGTAAATTCCGTTGCGTAAGAGGTAAGGTAGTACAAGAATATAAAGTGTCATATGCAAGAATTGATAAATGCGATAGCGAAAAAGTATAAAAGAGTGTAGGTTCATAATTTGATTGTAAACGCATATATGTTTTGATGACATGATTTAAAAAAAGGAAAGATTGTAATGCCCCACATGTACATAAATGGCTATTCACCAAGTTAATTTTTAACAGATGATCATTACATCTCGTGTGATTAAACATCAGCCTGTTAAGAAGGCTAATAATGTCACGCCTGAGTCCGCAATTGATAAACCTAGGGGCTTTATTTATTTGTGGAAATAGAGAGTATAAGTGACGACCATAAGATGAATTATTCCATCGTTGCTGCCAAGAAAAAACAGGATCTCTTTTATCGATTGCCCTCAAATCTGCAGAAATCACGTCATGATCTTTAAAATGAAATAGTCTGGAAGATGTAATTTTATCCGTAGTGGTGATGCCAAAAATGCCCATGTGACTGGTCACCCATAAAAAATGAAAACAAAATGTATCAGATTTGAGGCTATAAAATAAAGAACTGAGTTCTAATATATAAGGGAGGGTTTTAACTGAAGGAACTGATTGCCAAGTGTTTGATGTTATTAAGTGAAAGTGTGAGTTGAAGTGACTCGAAACGAGAGAAGATAGTGTCGAGGGCAGATTTCAAAGTACGCCTACACAAATCTGGATCAGAGATGGAACTAAAAATTGCAAGATCGTCAGCATAGTCCAAAATTGAGATGTTCTCAGGAAACATACTGAAAATTTTGTTAAATTATCAATTAAAACAAAAAGAACTCAATACAAATACCTGAGAAGAGAGAAAGGGGTTATATAGTAAATTAGAGAATTTGGTAGGGAGATTTAAAGAAAGAATATAATTTAAAATGTTAATATTAACAGAATCAAACGCTAAAGTTATGTCTAGAAAGCAAGCAATGAGAATATGGTTCTTGGCAAATGCTGAGTTGATTGCTGACCACAAAGTGTCAATGTTGTTTTGGGCAGATCTGTAAAGTTTAAAACCAAATTGAAAATTGCTGAGGATACATTTAGATTCGATATATCATTCTAAACTTTCTCGAAAATTTTTCTGAGGGTGGGAAGACAATACATCTGTAGGAAATAAGATTAATTAGCGAGCTACACTTTTTTTTTAAAGCGAAGATTGGGAAGTGATACTTCGAAGAAGGTATATAGCCGGTAATTAGAATATTGTTAAATTCTTTTAGTAAGATTAATCTGTTTTCGATGTTCAACATCTTGAGATTATTGTTACGAATATCATATAAGCCCGGAGATGAGTCTTTTGAGAGACTAATGACTTTATCGAGCCATCTGTTAACTTATTTGTTTTTTTTATACTTATACTTCAGAACTAAAGAAAAGACGTTTTGATCGTAAAAACAAAAATCGTGCACTTGCCTTGACAACATTGTGTTCATTATTGCGATTTTAACGCATCAAGAAGTATCGCCAAAACGATTCCATTATTCATGTTTATTAAAGCGTCTACGGTTTATTCCGCCAAAACGAATGCAATTAGCGTTTTTTTTTTTTAAGTTTTCTGATATGTAATTTTAAACGAAGGCAATACTACATTTTCTTTATTTCAATTCATTAAAATGCTATTAAATAGTAATAATAATAAATTCATATATTATAAAATTAATGATAATGAATACATTAGCTTCTATGTTTGTAGCCATAACAAGTGAAACTATGAGAAATAAGAAGACTCTGATGCTGCCTGTCACCTACTTTTAATTCGAACAAATATATAAACACCTCTACTATCTCTTGCCAATGGGCATTTTTAAATTACTTTTCAGCAGTATTATAAATTCTGAAGCTGATATTGTAAAGATTTAAATATGGCGAAAGAAAACTAGTTCCTTAACAGAGCCACATCTATTTTAGTTAAACGAACAATACGTAATCATACACGCATCTTATAACTAATCTATCTGCCTGGGGGGCCTATTAGGCAACGGATCTAGGCCAACAACTCAATAGTCATATGTTCAAGTCTTAACTACGGTAGAGTTTACAATAAAGCCGATGGCCTTAGATGCTAGTGATTTAAGACTTTAAGGATTTGTTTTTCTGACTAAATTTCGTAGAAACGAAGTAGCACTTTGTGGAAAGTTTAAGACGTAAAAGTGTCAGATGGACAAAGAAATGCATAAATTCACTCTAAACCTTAGGCGGGCCAATACTGTAAATGCGAAGTGTTACCCTTACTCTTGCAGGTAAAGCAACAAATGTATTGATCTCTAGAGTTTTGTTCAGGATAAAATAAATTATCGCTAAAAAAACCACAAATTTGTGGAATTTTATGCAAACGTACGTGACAAGTTCGCCATTTTTTTCGAAGTGTGTAATGTACTGTTGAAAAAAGTTGCCAAATTGCTGTAACTATACTCCTGTCGCCATTCTTTTCAATTTACTGCTACGTAGTAGTTGTGGATAAATTCCTATAGTTTTTATAAAAATTTGTGTTTCTCATAGGAATGTATTTGGTATATAAAAAACAGTTTCTATAAGCGAAAAGAATTTTCTTTTCTATGTTGTTTGTCAAGAAAAGTTCACTTTTTGTCTTTATCTAGCCTAAGGACCAGGTCACTTTCGATTCTTTTTAAATGGAAAAACCGATTCTTATGCGCAACAAGCGCAAAAGTGATGGTGCAATTTCTCCCATAATACACTACTAAAGGAGCAACGCGGGTGGTCCGAAAACTCATCTTTCAACACCTAAACGATGAATCCTGTCAAGTGCTACCTGTGAGATTTCAAATACAAGCGAATTCTCTGAACACATCATCTTACGATGTCATAAATTTGATAGTAATAAAGAATCTTTCAACCTTTTTACATGATATAATAAACATTTTGATCTTTTTGACGCGCGGAATGAGGATTAATTTGAGGAACTAACTTACTTTACCAAAATAGCAAATAACTTTTTTTATATCAGCTGTAATTTTTTTCTATTCTTTACTCCTAATTTTTTATATTAACATCAATCCAACATCAGATTTTTGTTTTTTTTCCTTAAGTAAGGTTTTCTTAACTTTATCTTAAAATGAATCTACTGCAGCCAAATTTTGCAACATTAAGTTTACGTCGTTACGTTTTTGTATATCGCATCAGCCACCGTGATATACAAGACATTAAGTCTTAATCTATTAAAAACAATACGTTCGTCTATTTAAAATACATGAAGATGTTAAATATTTATGGTCAGGCAAGATTATATTTATTGTCGATTAAGATTTAGCGAAAAGAATCTTCTCATATGAATATCACGATGTTCCAGAGCAGATGAGCTTGGAGAAAAGGCTAACACTTCGGTATTTCTAAAAAACCAGTCAATTATCTAACGTTATTATTTATCGTAGCTGAAGAACGAATTTAAGTTTGCTATAAAGTGCTGCAATATTATTTAAATAATATATGCTTTGAAATTTTTACTCACGGCAACACCACTGATTAATCATAAATTTCTTTTTCATCAACGTTGCACATGTATTGAGAAGTCAAAAAATTGCTTCTCCTTGCTGAGTTAAATATTTTCCGTTTTCAATATATAGTTTCACACAACGTTGCACATTAGGCGAGTACGAATTATTTGCATTTGTCCATTTTTATTTAAAATTGTAAATATAAGTTTATATAATAATTACAAAAATTGGTAAATTGTTTGCAATAATTGTTGTAAAAAATTAAACATACAGCATATATAAAAGCACATCAGTGACCTGCTATTTAACAATATAATTCAATTCATAATCACACGTTGCTTTGTTGGTAATCGTGAATGCCACGAACCAACTTATGTGAAAAGTAAAAAAAAAAAGAATAGACGTAGACAAAAAGACGTTTTTGTAACGGTGTAAAATAAAAGAATTTGACGCGATCGTTAGAATAATTGGGCTGACTCTCCCACAAAAATTTTTTGTTAAATTCCAGGTGAAGTTTTATGTATCTACAGATTAGGCGGAAAAAACGTCATCGTAGTGTTAAAAGTCGATTATATTTCAGTTCTTGGCAATAATGTAATGTACATGATTTTTTCTCTTCCGTTGGGGTTATACAAATTTGGTATTTGATATTCGATTTGCATATGTTTTACGCACCCATTGTGTACTATAATTAATTTTTAAGAATAAGTTTTCATCCGTAAAAGAAGATTCTTAAAAAAAAGGTGAAAAGAGCTGCTCTCTGCAGAGAGCAAAAAGAAAAATTATTCAAAATACTAATTTTAACAATGATTGTTTTGCCTCCTATTGTTGACGCTTACATAGGTACAAATTAACCTCAGTTAACACAGCCTTTGGGTTCAATTGTATCTCTTTATAGGGTCACAAAAAACATCGATCAAAGGCAATAGTCGAAAAACAAGGGAGCGTGATTGGTCAGATAGAAAGAAGTACATCAAAAACGCAAAGCGGAGGTAAAGCGTTAAGAAAGACAGATTTCAATATTTCGAAGAACTTAAAGGAGCAACCATGTCTGGGGAAGAAACGTCTGCAGATCGTAATGTTGAAATTTGGAAAATAAAAAAACTCATTAAGAGTCTTGAAATGGCTCGGGGGTAAGTTGTTATCTACACTAGTATCAATTAAGCACATTTGCTCTGAAATTTTTTTAGAAAATAATAGTATCGTTGTACTAAGAAATTATTGGAGATGTTTTTACGAAAACAATTGCAAAAACGACGATAGTCGAATAATCCGTCGAAGAATGTCTTTGTTTATAAATAATTTGCGAACCTTTTAAAACTATTAGCGAAAAATATTTTTTTGCAACATCAAATAAATTCAAACTAATTCATATAATTCTTTTTTAGTAATGGAACCAGCATGATTTCCTTAATAATACCTCCAAAGGATCAAATATCTCGAGTCAGCAAGATGTTGGCCGACGAATTTGGAACGGCATCCAACATTAAGTCGCGCGTAAATCGTTTATCTGTGCTCGGAGCTATTACGTCTGTACAACATAGACTGAAATTGTACACCAAAGGTAGTCAGTTTGCAATTGAATGCCTCTATCAAAGAAAAAAAATGAAAATTTGCGATTACCCTTTTACAGTGCCTCCCAATGGTTTGGTTATTTACTGTGGTACAATTGTAACCGAAGAAGGTAAAGAGAAAAAGGTTAACATTGACTTTGAGCCTTTTAAGCCTATAAATACATCGTTGTACTTGTGTGACAATAAATTTCATACCGAAGCTCTCACTGCACTGCTGGCTGATGATAATAAGTTTGGTTTTATCGTTATGGATGGTAATGGCGCCCTGTTCGGTACATTACAGGGCAACACACGAGAGGTGTTGCATAAATTCACAGTCGACCTACCTAAAAAACATGGTCGTGGTGGTCAATCAGCTCTGCGTTTTGCCCGCTTGCGTATGGAGAAACGTCATAACTACGTGCGTAAAGTTGCGGAGGTGGCAACGCAACTGTTTATTACAAATGACAAACCTAACATCGCGGGGCTAATACTCGCAGGCAGTGCGGACTTCAAAACTGAACTAAGTCAGTCAGATATGTTTGACCCAGTAAGTTGGGACAAAATTTTTGTCCAATTCTAAACACATTTTACAAGCTAATTAATTTCTGCTTAGAGATTACAATCTAAAGTAATTAAACTTGTGGATGTTTCTTATGGTGGAGAAAATGGCTTTAATCAAGCAATCGAGCTGGCAGCTGAATCACTGCAAAATGTAAAATTTATCCAAGAAAAAAAACTAATTGGACGCTACTTTGATGAAATATCTCAGGTTAGCAATAGAGTAGTCGTTAATCCAAATTTAGTTGTTATGCCCACCTCTGAAGAATTAGGATCTATCAACCGTGTATAACACCAAAAGGTACATATCAGAGATCAATTGGTAAAATTATATCCGTCTTTGTTCAAGTCAGAAAAATTGAGATGTATCGTACAACCGATTGTATCGATTCCACAGATCAAATGTCATCGTAAGAAATTACTGTTTCTTTTTGTTTCAAAAATCAGGGTGAAAATTGTGTCGATTGACTGACTTGTAGATGATTAGAATTAACAAAGCGTTTTAGTAACTATATATGGTTGAGGTGGGCGGAGGGTATTGACGATTTGCCTTAAAGTGAATCAGCTATTGTTACATTTCACATTTGTTTAAAGGATACTGGAAAATATTGCTTCGGAGTGGAAGACACCTTGCGTGCTTTGGAATTGGGCTCCGTAGAAACACTGATTTGTTGGGAGAACTTGGACATTCAACGTTATGTTTTAAAGAACCATGCCAACTCAACATCAACCACAGTATTACATCTGACGCCCGAGCAAGAAAAAGACAAAACCCACTTTACAGATAAAGAAGTAAAGTGATATTAAGTCAAAAATAAAAAAAAATTTACTTATATTCTTGCATTGTTATAGACTGGAGTCGAAATGGAACTTATAGAATCGCAGCCATTATTAGAATGGTTGGCGAATAACTATAAATCATTTGGCGCTACACTCGAAATTATTACAGATAAGTCTCAGGAGGGCAGTCAATTTGTAAGAGGATTTGGTGGTATTGGTGGTGAGTTAAAAAGCAAAAAAATAATAAATTAAGAGAAAAAAAAATTTGAACGTAGTTCCTTTTCACGAATTGCTAACTAATTATTTAGTGAAGCTAAATGAATATTTTTCCTTTTCTTCTTTTCGTTATTAATACGCTGCCATATGTTAAACTTATTTTGGGCTTTTACGATTCCATATTATATCACTCTACGAAAATATATGCTACCTTATGTATCAACGCTAGGTATTTTACGCTATAAAGTAGATTTTCAATCATTGCAAGCCGACGAACCGCTGGAAGATGTCGATCTTGATGATTATTAAATGTGTCTATTATGAGAAAAAAGTTCAAATTTATTATACAGTCATACCGTTCATAATATGTTTGATTAGGGATTCACTGTTAAGATTGTAGGAAGAAATTAAAACCAGTGATTTACGTACACGCATTCTTACACACACATATACATACATAAATACACGCTATTCCAAATTACTATTTTCTTCAAAGTTCATAAACTTTGTATTATACGCCACATAATTAGCAGCATTACTTAATCTTGAGCGTAGATAGTGAACGCTTGGACAAAATTGTAAGAAGCATTGTGAATAAATTGAATTATGTTTCATTGCACAATTATTCCATTAACGATAAAAATTTTTTAATTGTGTTTCTTCATTAATTCTTCCAATTCTTTTATAATTATCATTTTTCTCTTTTAAGCATTTTTTTTTATTTTCTTCATAAGATATTTTAAGTTGTTTTATTTCATTTCATTTTATTATTTCTTTCTCATTTTTCGATAGGGATATTGCGTTACAAAGTGGATTTTCAGAGTATGCAGCTGGATGAATTGGACAACGAAGATTTCGATTTAGATGATTATTAGACAATTCCTGTCTTGTACCCACATACCTCATCTATCTATTAATATATCCACCAACCCCACACCCACCTCTCCGAATCCTATCCACACCTCACACATTGCTCAACGTCAGCATCTAAATGAGTCCAATTTTGTGTTTATATTTATCAATGTAGTTAATTATATAACTCATAATTGAAAAGAAAGTGCTGCCTAATATACATCAAGGGTCAGAAGTACACATTTTTATATGAGAGCAATTAAAATCCTGTTCACATTTCAAAACAGTTATAGGAAAAATTGAGGGCAATCCACATGTGTGTAAAGGCTGAAAACGGTCATTACTATTACAAGCCTGTGTTGCAACCAAGGTTTTCCAACAGTTATAAACTTGAATGACTAAATATGCACACATAATAAATAATAATAACGTTGTTTACAAAACCATAATATATTAAAAACAATTAGAAATTATAATTATATTAATAATAAAAATTATAAAAACAACAAATCTGACGAGAATTTTATTTTTGCAAATTGCAAGAATTGCAAGAAGATTTATAAATTGTACATATGGTATGCATGCTGCGATATATACTCTCGAACTAAGATCGCGTAATACACTGCAATACAAATTTAAAATTACTCACAAATATATTTAGTACTATTGTGCATAACGAATAAGAAATTAAATGGTGATCGTGCAGAAATAAATAACTAACACTAAGATTTCAAATTTCGAATGAATTTAGGAGGTTGCAATGGTATTGTAGCTATTGAAAAATATTCTGTTTCGTGTTCGATACACAAATCTAGCAAAATTCATCAAAAGTCTGTGAAAAAACTATCAAAAACTGTAAATGAAATTAAATTGTCATGTTTCCAATAACTTGTAATTTTTAAGGGGACGCAGTCAAAATGTCAGTAAAGTTGAACAAAGGTTTGCTAACGTTATGTGAGCACTGACTATCTGTGAGGTTATTTAGGAGGACATTAACATTTTTACGGTTTATAAGCGGATCATAGCCATCTTTGCAAGTTTGATACTGCACTATGATAAAAACAGCAGAACACTGTTAAGAATAGATGTGTGTAAAACTTCTAGCAGTTTATAAAGAAAATTCATAAGTCTGCTGATAAGGAAATTCGAAACTAAAAAAAATTTGATTAGTGGGTTGACTAGCACTACATTTGCAAATTTTTGTTATTTTTAAAATCTCTCTCTGTCTCTGTCTTTCACTCTCTCTGCATGCAGAAATTGCTTAGATTGTCCAATTGTCTTGTTGGATAAGATATGCCGAAAGAATATAGCGGTAACTGATATGGGAAAAAAACGTTTTTTAAAATATTGAAAGTTTTATTAATTTTTTCTTTCTGAAATTTTTTTAGATCACCTATTCGCCCATCTTTTTGACGGACGCAAGTAAAATTAAACTAGTATGCATCAGCTATAGTAAGCTCCAATCTTACCTGATCTATATATTTTTCAGCAGAAATGTAGTGTGGCTATTTATATTCCCAATAAATTCATTTTCGATATCGAAATCAATTTTTGTTGCATGCGAAAGTCCTACTGACCACGGAACATATAGAGGACATTACAGGCGGAATTGTCATGAATTAAATATCTAACACGTTCCTGATGATTCAACGCTACTATCCTGTTTGTGATAAACAAGCTCTCAGCAATTGCTGATATATGCATCGTTTTCATTCGGCAGTGAAAAGTTCTTCAGCAAGAAGTTCTTATTTTTTGAGGCTTTTTTTTTGAGAAACTTATGTACCCCTGTAATAATACATCCCTTTTAAAAATGTTTAAGCGGGTTTTAATCGTGATCAAAAATACTTACGTAAGTGCATGGAAGAACGAAGTAAAGAAATAACTTAAATAATTTTTTATATATAAACTACATACCTTTTATTTATATTTCAAAAAAAATTGTACATGTGTATAATGTTAGACATGAGTTAAAGGGTAGCTTCTTTTCATACAAAAATATGTATGTACGTAAGTGTATAATGTAAATAATTTGTTAGAAAAGGGATTTGTTTTTAAAAATTACAGAATTAATATAATGTAGATTTTTAAAAATTTGTAAGAGCTCTAATATATTAAAAGTAATAGGGTTTTGATTCGCTAGTATATACAAATCTCTGCTTTCGAAAAAATTGTACTTATTTTAGACGTCTCGTTTTAATTGCGTTGGCAGTATAAAAATATATGGATTTTTAAATGTTACAATGATCCTTTTGAATTGATGTCATTGCCGAAAATGTTGAAAACAGCGTTAAGGTAATCAAATTGACTAATTGATTGTGATTGCTTTAGCGACATACAAAATTCCTCATACATCGAACAAAGTAAGCTTGACCCCTTTACTGGGTTGTCAAACATCTTGAATATTTTTTGTTAATTGTGCGCCTATCAGTCGGTAATGAAACGCCAAACGTACGCTCCATAACTAAAACTTTAAGAAAGCTTGAGTAAATATTGAAATCTCAATTTCGCACTGATTGAGTTTTTTGGATGGTGCAACAACATTCCGTTTGGATCCAAAGCTAGGGCATTCATTTGTCAGATGTTTTTTTTATTTCTTTCTAAGACGACCAAACATTATGTTTAATTATTACATAAGGACAGGCAAGATATATTTGTTTAAATTGTCAGATAACTTTAGGACATTCTTAGTTTATGTTTCCATCGATAGTGTTAAGCAAAATTTCCCGATTAGAAAATATGAATTGCTATAGATTAGCCACAGTTTTTAATCATACTTAAAAACGAAATCCATTGCTTGAGAAGTATAAGGAAATAACTTGGACTACTTTTTTAACACCCGTCACTAATTTAAATGAAAACATTATTGATTTGGTACGATTAAGAATAAATACATAAGAATTATGTTATATATATATATATATATATATATATATATTCACATAAATTTAAAAAAAAGTGTATATATATATATATATCGTATATGTATATATGTATGTTATGCAATATATATTGTATGAATTGTAAGACAAAGCGAAAATCTATTAATACAATGTAATGTACGATACTTATAATCGTATTTTTAACGGCATTTAAAACAAGAAAATATTATCTGCTTGCAAAAATTATGATCAGAGTTTTCTACAGCTAAAAATGACAAAGAAATGGGAAATAACAGGATACCTAACGCTTGAGTTCGATGGTTTTGACTTTCCTCTACACAAAATAATACTTTTCCATTTAATATTATTTATTTATTCAGCATGCGCCGACTCTAATCAAGGAGCGCTCAAAATTCTTCTTCCAAATTCATTACTTTTCTTGTTTACTTCACGAAATCTGCTGCCGAAGTTCATCAAACACGTCTACAGACTTATGACGATACTGCTCTATCATATCCCAGTTGTCAGTTTTGGTTTCAGCAGTTTAGAAGTGACGATATGAATTGATTGAAAATGCCATTTTTTAGGCACTTATTAGAAAAGTTGTCCACGATACACTGTTGTAGCTCCAATGGGAAATTCTGCCACACCCAGTGTACTCATTAGGTATGGTACCTTCTAATTAGCACTTCAGATCGGTGCAGCATGGCTTGGCTGGCAGGTGGGTTCGCGATGTTGAAGAAGTGCGACAACCGGTAGGTGGGCGAATTACTGCCAAACCAATATAAGTTCTTTCGACACGATATCATCATATACGGTAAAATCTTGTAGAAAATGATGACAAATATTTTGGTTAATATACATTGTACCGATTTTTCGCAATAAATGCCTTTTTCAAGTGGAAAAATGATCGAAATTTTTGCAAGCACCTAATATTTAAATGTGAGTCTTAGTTATGTAGAGATTTTAGATAATTTTGATTGCATCTTTGGGCCAGTTAGGGTTATTTTCGAACTTGAAATGCGCGTTTAATAAGGAAACAACGATTATTTTCAATGTCAATTTTTTTGCTAAGACTCATACCTATGATTACATTCAGTTATTTTTCTTTTTTTAAGCGAGAGACCAAATTTGTTCACCTAGAAAGAGATTTGAAATTGTTATGATTTTAAAAAATAAACGTTTCTAAATGGATTCTAATGTTCACGATGATGAAAATACGTAGAGGCGTTTCCGCGTACTCTACTCGCTAGAATTACAATTTATGTCTTGCATTGCGCATAATGAATAACGATGATTTTTAGCAGAAGCTTTTTCCTCATGCCAGGTTCTTGATAATAATTTGATTCTTTTTTCAAATCCATTTCCTCCTAAGACCTAAAATCCCAATATTCGAAATAAGAATTTGAAAAGAAACTTAAATTACATACCAAAGTCTTATGCTTTGTCTTAATTAATATTGAAGACGATAGAAGCGATCCTTTATTTACATTTAGTGAATTTCAGTCACACAACAAAAAGTAAATAAAGAATAACTTTCCTTTTGTTTTCTTTTTGTTTGATATAAAATTAAAAGGAGTCATTTTGAGCGTAGCATGCATGTCCGTATTTAAATTTATAAATATATATAAAATATATCTGTGAATATATATGTAAATAATAGTAGCCTAAAAGCTATCAATGCATTCAATATTAAAACAAGGGGCGGTAAAAAGTAGTAATAATACTTCGTATATAAACTTAAGTACAAGGTTAGTATAAACAACTAAAAGCAGCATTGATATTTATTCCCATTAGAAATAAAGGTTGATTTATTTTTCTTTAAGCTCAAAATGAATCCTTTGAAATATGTCCTAGAAACGATCCTTAGAAGCAGCTGTAAATTCAAGCTCGTTTAAGTTCTGTATTTCCTGAAGTTCTTGAAATTTCTCATGATCGCGTATATGAGCATAATTTGCAGATAAGCACATTAGGTAATGGACCAAGCTAAGAATCACCAGCAACACTGCTAAAGTCGCTAATATAAACATGACCTCGGCGTTTTCAACACCGTCTTTACAAAATGCTTTGATTTCATATTTTTCACAGATTTTTAAATCCTCCTGCTTAATGTTCGCTGGGAAAATGAAATCTAACAAAAGAAAAAAAGAATTGCTTTCAAAAACTCTTTCTCTATTTGCTGTATACGTACGAAATTGAGTCAAATCTATACAACTTAAAGAACGTTCAACGCTCGAGCACATACTCCAAAACATGGTATAAACAAAAGTGCACACCACTAAAAAGCATAATATACATGTCCAGAGAAAGTTTAGCACGTAAGTTAAACCCATAAGCTGTAACATATACAAAAATGAAAAAACTTTCCTTTTACGAACTTCATTTGTTACATACTACTGCGCATGATATACGGCCGCCGACTCGCGAACGCCATGCTCGATAAACTTTGTAACGTGTTGCTCCAGTTGCTAGAAAACCAATGAATAAAATCATAAAACCCAATGCTGCCATACCGGCCGCAATAATTACAAATATCATTTGTACTGCTTCTATCCTGTGGAAAGAAAATAGGCTTATTGCAACTACTTCAAATTTTTTTGCGATTTTATTACTTAGACATTTGTATATATATATATATATATGTGTTTACCATATCAAACGCAAATGGAATACTTGATCCATCATAATAACTGTTAAAGAGGCTCCTCGATACATGGTGCCACAAAATATGCCCACGCCCAGTAAACACATTAGCGTCGCAATAACCGTAGCGTACGGTATACGCGCCATGCATGATCGACAAAAATCTCCTAAAAGCAATCGAAACAAAAAGATCATCAATCTGCTTCTTAATACCATTATATTATTTGCAACTTGGCATACATTTTTTGACGTGGAGCGGTTCTTAAATAAGTGAAAGCATTTGCACGGATTAAATTGGTAAAAAATCAAGGGCATTGATTATCTATTTTATTTAATTTGCCTCAGAGGAGCTGCAATTCATGGCAACTCTCAGGATTGAAAGCAATGTCGAATTATTTTTGTAAAATTAATCAAAGTTACTTCCCTCTAAAATAATTTCATACACAAACAAACAATAATAGAACAGTGAGTAACGACCAAATGACAACATGGTATTAATCAAAGTTACTCACCTAACTCTCTTAATGAATTATTTTGACTTAACATGTTCCCCGAAAACAATTCTATTCACTTTGGCAATTCATCTACAATGCTCTGCTCAACAAACTATACGCGACTAATTTTCAATTTTTAAATGTTTTTGTCTAAATGGTTTTTTTTAAGTTACCTTTTATAGAACTTATCCGTGTAGAAATAAAGTTAGGTAATTTCTATTATATATTATATATAAGGATTTTTGTACTTCTTGCTTTAAAAAGAATTATATTTGTTGCTTAATCTATTCACTTTCTTCCCCGAGCTAAAGCATTACGATAAAATCTTTTTTTAGGAATCGCAAGAAACTGACCTTTCTCTGCAGACTACTTACTGTCCGTAAGCGTTTAGAAGTCGCTACATGTTATCACCATTTAGTTATGCTTCCATGAGCAAGTAATTTGAATAACTGAGAAAAAACTTATGAGTCGAGGATAGTTCACGCATTTAAATCATAAAAAGTTAATAGATATTTATGGATATACATACTTATGTAAGTGAATGGATAGACAAATGTGAATTCTGCATGAATTACAACAAAATAAATTAGACTTAAACAAGTTTATGAGAAATGATTCTCTCTTTATGAAAGCACACAATTTTTATATGATAAAACGTAGAATTCTATTCAACCATACCTTCAGCACCGCGTTTATTATACCGATCCAGAATGTGAGTTGATTGATAAGCACTAGAGCGGTGATTACGAGCAACATTATCTATATTGCTGTTATACGCTCGAGTTGATACTCCACCATCTTCGAAATTCGTTTCAAGTAGAACCTCTTGATGTGGATCCTGCGATCGCTCGTGATAATTATAATTAGATGAAAATGTAGTGGCCATTACAATATTCCAAATTGTGGCAAGCTGGTACTGGAATGTTCAGGTGTGTTCCAAAATATGTGTGTATATAGGATCGCGGTGTTCGTTTTTTTTTCTTCTTTAATTGATTACGACATGTACGTGTTTTTATCAGTTGTGATACATACTTAAAAACGTTCTTTGTTTTGTCAATCGAAGCATGTTTTGCATATTGGAATATTTTAAAACTCCCATAATATAAACATTATATTAATATTAAATTAAATTGTAATCAGGCAAAATTCAATAAAAGTTATATAAATTTGATTTTTTCTTCACCTAAGATGGAGCTCTATTTGTATGTCTTACTAAAAGGAATTGTCTTTAGCATCTATTACACTCCTACCATAAAGAATAGATTACATTGTTCAAATGTTATATTTATGCACGCTTACTTCTTCATATGTTTTCTGTTCGCTGATCCAACGGTTTGCTATCTTAAAAATTTGTTCGAATAAACATGCTTGCCTTTATCAAGTTAAATTTTGAAAAGAAACCGGTTCAACTGGTCAAGTTTAACTTTTCTTTTGCAAATTTACTTCGTGCAGCAAACTGAGGATTGAACTTAGTCTTAACTCTACTGAAATGAAAAAATTGCCGAAATTTTAGAATCAAGTTCAAATCGATTCCAAGATTCCTATTAAAGAATACAAAATATATTGATATGGGTTTTATTCGCAATTACAAATAAATTGCACAAAAGTATGCTCTAATATATCTTGTATTCATGAATCTTCGTTTCTTTATGCAATCAAATAGCGAAGTGCAATTTTGATTTATTCCATATTTATTAAAGTATCATGCTTCAGCACACAACCTACAAATTTTTGTTACATTACATTTTAAATGGCTTAACAAGCAGAAGTCTAGAAAACAGACATGAACCAAGCCGGAAAATTTTCTATTTATGACAGATATAGAAGTTCGTAGATTGTTTAAGTCATACACTCCAGTTCAGCAAGTACATGTAGTTTGTTTGAGTTACCAAATATATGCGCAGAATTTGTAAAGCCTATTACTTGGAGCCATAGATCGCATTATGTTAGTGGGTAAACAAACAATAAACACATAGGCACTTACCCATTATTTACGTATATAGGTAAATTGTAGAGTTGGTTGCTAATTCAGTGCTTACGTAGAATATTTGTGAATTATGCTTTTTTTTTTCTTTTTTTTTTACTAAGATATATTTAAGTAAAATATTATTGCATTTTTCATAGGTCTTTATCAATTTCGCATATATGGCGGAGATTTTTTTGTTATTAATTCTCTTAATCGTAGAGTATAAAATTCTTCTCATCTATTTGAAAGCAAATCTACACTTTTTGCAATGTTATTTTCTAATGCCTTATAATTTAAGAATTTAATTTTTTTTTGTTTTATATTGTGTTAGACGTAGTGAAAAACATAATAAAAGCCTAAACTTTTAATAACACAAATAACACGTATGCAAATTAATTAAATAAATGAGTAACGAGTTGCCGATAGTTTTAATACAGTCCGGTTAGTAGCGAGTGCTAAATACACTGTAAAAAGTAATCATTCTCCGTTTATGAGTAAGAGAATGTGAATGCATCTTAGCAGAGTTTGCATGCGTTAGAGAAATAATTGTTAATAAGAAAATGAGATGGTAGGGAGGAAAGGATTTTACACAAACTCATTTGTATATAGACTGCTTATTTTCATTATTGTTTGCTATGAACTCGAGCGTTTCTTTCCGTTTAACGTCTATGTTGAGAGATATTGTTGTAGAAAAGCGAAGAAAATAATAAAGAACGCGAACCTCGCCTTATTAATAATTACACGAAAACCTTTAGATCAATATTTATTAAAGTTACCGAGTGTTCCCGCAATTATATGCCATAAGTCGAAATGGATTGGAGAATACTCTTTTATAAAATATAAGTTAAGCGAGGACCAATGCTCGCTTGTAACAAAACAGGTTAGGCAGTCCAAGGCGCCCAATTAAGCTTGTTAAAAGAAATCTTCTGGGATGGTTTAATGCTTTACAATATCGCTACTGGATTAGCAATAAACCTAATTGCAGATTAATATTTTATATAAACTTAATTCTGACAAAAAGTAAGCTTACGCTAACTTACTTACGCTAACTTATGACTTACATTACGCGCATAAATAAAAGCGCTATATTGCAATATATCCGGCTGGCGTACAATACTGAATTGCATGCGCGGCTTAGGATTCGTTTAACTTTTGCGCATGGATTGGTAATTCGAATTTACCAGTGTAGATCGTCACCACTAATGCTTGGCATTAAAATCATCCGCCATAATAAATTTTGCACCCAATTACCTAAAGAAATCATTATAATTATTGGATTTTAGTGAAAACCATGTAGGAAAATAAACTACAAATTTTGATATGAAAAATTTTTATATATGAAGGTCAAGTATGCATTTTTTTTTGATGCAAACGCTTTATGTTGCGAAGAATATGCCTGAAGGCTAAGGTGGCTGACATAATAAAACGTCATTCTTATATGGGGGTTTCAAATTTGCCGACTTTTTACAATACTTTATGGAAATTGACAAATCATACGGTTCTGCATATATACACACAACAAACAAAACAAAAAGGAAAGAAACGCACCAGAAGAAAAAGTTATAAATTCTTTTAAATTTTAAGGTTATTTGTCTAACTTAAGTTTATTTTACACTAATCTACACTTTTTTTTATCACGTAAATCGCAATTTTAGTTTTTACCATGCATTATTTCGTAAGAAATGAAAAACAAGCCATAAAGACTATTTATTTTAAAGTTAAAATATATTCACCAAATTGTTTTGTTAGAGAGGGGTGGATGGTAATTTTGAAATTATGGATCAATTAATACACAAAAAGGCTCTCAATGGTATCAACAAATTTAAGCAACAGATTATGAAGATTAATAAAATTGTAATTTTTTAGAAATTTGCTATTTATGCTTAAGTTGATTTCTTTATATTTGGTTCTAAGAGCAAATGTGTTTGTTTACGTTTTCATGTAAAACAATGCGCGGCTGCTCGTTGAGGTTTTTGTGTGAACACCTTCAAAGTTATTTGCGGTTTACTGAAGGTTAAATAATGCCAACGACTAAAACACGAATTGTGTCCAAACTTCACCCCTAAACCATTGAAAAGTCATATAGAGATACAGTTCGCTTTTACTAATTACATTTCTCTGCTTTTTAGCAGTAATCAGTCACGTTGCTCTGTTACTTAGCAGTAATCAGTCACATTGCTCTATTATTTAGCAGTAATCAGTTACATTGCTTTGTTATTTAGCGGTAATAAGTCACATTGCTCTGCTATTTAACAGTCATCAGTTACATCGCAATACAACTTTTTTAATGTCATGTCGATTTGTATTGCAGAGTTTTAGGATATCCTATTATTACTGTTGCTGTTTTTTTGTCGAATGTAGCCACTCTTATATTCTTTATTGGCAGCACATACTTTCGCAATTTATCGATTATTCCACTCTGTGTAATCCTTTTCTTATGTCGTTTGTAAGGCAAGCGCATTGAAATAACGCGTCGCAGTTTTTTTCAATTTGTAACATTTGTCACAATATTATTATTTTATTTTATTATTAATATTATCATATACAACAGTTTGGCAACTCTGCGTCGTGTTGTGGTCGCGTTTTTATTCAGTGCAAGAAATATTTTAATTTTTTAGTGTATTTCTTGCTTTTATGTATATTTTTTGCTTTAATCGTGTTCAATTTTATACTTTCTCTAAAAGAATAAAATGTTAATTTAACGTATATGAATATTATAATCATTTATGTGAAAAAATCATTTTGGTTTTGTGTAAGCAACAATTGAGCTCTTTGTAAAAAGTCTCTTTTTTTTTTTGCCTGTTAATCTTTTGTTTACAGTTCTTTAGCTTTCGCTCTTTATTTACAGTGGGCAAGGTAGTGAGATATTTGCTTTAATTCGTTGCCGGGGAATTTTTTAGTTTTTCTTTTTTCCCTTCATAAGCTACTTTTGTTGTTCCAATTGACATGGATTGCTTATTTACTCCATGTCGTGCGAAAACCGGCCCTGAATCTGAACGATTCATTTCTTGTTGGTTGTGTGATCGCTTTGGACATTCAAAGTGTGCTGGTATTACCGGCCGTGCTGTTGATGCAGTCCTTGACCCTTCTAAAGGTTTACGATGGTCATGTCCTGACTGTAGAAAGCGGGACATTGATTTCTACAAACTCTTCACAGACACGAGAAATTGTTTCTCAGATTTGAGCAAAAATCTCGGCTCTTTGTGGGAGAAGTTTGAATTAATCAAGACTAGGTTTGATGAATGTCGGTATATTGCGCAATCATCTTCCTCTCCAGCTAACAAAGTCTCAACGCGTAGCGTAACGTGGGGTTCGTCACCTCCTAAGTCCGTTTCGTTGGTGCAAGTTAGCGATTCACTAAAGGCTATAAATAATGTTAGCGTTTCTGCTACGGCTGAGTCGGTTGGTAACATAAATGTTACAATTAGGCCGAGAAGTCCTTCTGGCTTGAGCTATGCTGAAGTGGCAAGGGTATCTCCTCCCATAGATGTCACTCAATCTTCTCAGGCGTCATCGCCCAAAACTAATAAGGGTAATAGTAAATCGTCCTCTCCTTCTCGCTGTTCAAGTGTAAATGCTGGTCGCCAAACTGAGCAGGTCGCACAAGCTGCTCGTGTAAGTGTGGGTACCCCCTCTATATTTTCCCCAACTCATAACTCCCCATCCGTTAACCTTGCTGCTCCCAGTACTGATGACATATGCTTGAAGGCAGTTCCCCCCAGAAAAGCAATATTTGTGTCAAGACTGGCACCAGATACTTCTGTTGAAAACATAAGGGGTTATCTGGCAGCGAAAGCCCCTTCTGTCAATTTAAAGCGAGTTAGTATTTTCAAACTGGGTCCTTCTCAATTTAGAGCTATCTCATCTTCTAAAATTCTAGTTCCGACCGAAAATATGGATTTGATTTTAAATAAACCCTTGTGGCCGGTTGGATCCTTAATTAAGGAATTTATCCCTCGGGACCGACCCCGTAATGCGAATGCAGTAGCTCTTTCCCCTTCAAAAAACTAAATATTTCTTCAGCCTCATTTTCTCTCATTTATCAAAATGTTAGGGGCCTAAATTCAAAAATTCGTTCTACCTTCCTAAATTCAGTGAGCACGGAGTTTTCCTGTTTGGTCTTCACTGAAACTTGGTTAAAGCCGGATCTACATTCGTCGGAACTTTTCCATAATTCGTTTCAAGTTTTCAGAAACGATCGTTTGTATCGCAATGGTGGTGGTGTTTTAATTGCCATTTCTTCGGCACTCCCCACCTATTCGTTTCAATTTCCAACTACTCCCGATGTTGAATTTATCGCCATTCGAGTGAAATTTCCTAATAAACACTTATATGTGACCTGCCGTTGTGTTCTTTATTGAATTATTTGATCATAACTTTGTTCAATACAATGATACCCCTAATTGCAATGGTAGATTGCTTGATCTTTGCTTTGCCAATTTTCCTGAGATTTGCGTTAATCGTTGTCTTCCGTTTAGTTTACCTGACGAACCATATCATCCAGCATTGGGTATTTCCTTTCATCACAAGCATGTTGGTTCGGTGAATTTCTATAACGTTCCAAATTCAAATTTTTCATATAAATTTTATGATTTCCATAAAATCAATGTCTCCATGCTAAAACCACATCTTTCTCATATTGTGCTTGATTTTTCGGTGGGAAGTATTGATAGCTTACTGAAGCTATTTCTGCATACGTTCTGATCAAGCAGTCCCGTCCTCGAAGCAAGTGTCCTCCGTGGTTTAATAAAACAATTAAATATTACAAGAATAGGAAAAACAAGCTTTTCAAAAAATTTTCGAAAAGTGGTTCTTCTTTCGACCATTTCGCTTACTCTGTTGCAAGGCATAAATTTAATTCCCTCAACCGCCAATACTACTGCAGATACCTTTAGTTTGTTAAATCCTCCTTGTTTGCTAACCCTAAATACTTTTTTAAGTTCGTTAATTCCAAAAGAAAAATCTCCATAAATCCGTCGTTTGTGTCTTTTAATGGCTCCGAGTCCTCGGATGATTTTGAAACCTCAAATCTCTTTGCGGAATACTTCCGACAGAACTTTTCAACTGCCAATTTTGATTTATCGGTAAACTATCCATATCCGATTTCTAATTCGATTTCAATTCCTAACTTTGTTATATCTGAAAATGACGTTTTTGAAGGATTGAGCTCTCTGAAATATAATTGTTCGCCTGGACCTGATGGGATTCCCTCATGTGTACTTATATCTTGTGCTGGCGAGCTTTGTGATGTTATCTCAAAGATTTGTAATAAGTCTTTGAATTTAGGTGCTTTCCCTTTGTGTCGGAAGACTTCTTTCCTTATTCCTATTCACAAAAGTGGTAGTAGGCAACTTGTAGAGAACTACAGAGGCATTGCCAAGTTGAGTGTCTTACATAAACTGTTCGAGCGAATTGTGGCTCAGCATATAGCCTTTTCCATGAAATTGTATATTTCTCATTTCCAGCATGGTTTTCGAAAGGGAAGATCTACGGTCACCAATCTGTTAGAGTTTACTTCCCATGTTTTCAAGGCTTTTTCTAGTGGTTCTCGCACTGATGTCATTTACACTGACTTTAGCAAAGCGTTTGATATGGTTAATCATAGACTACTTAGATTTAAACTCCAGACCTCTGGCTTTCCTCTCTTCTTAGTGGAATGGTTAAGCTCTTATCTGCATGGTAGATCATTCAGGGTTTTGTTTAACCTCATTACCTCGGATGAATTCCCCGTGACGTCTGGCGTACCTCAAGGTAGCCACTTGGGACCTATTTTATTTAATTTATACATCAATGATTTGCCCTCCGTGATTAAATTCAGTGAGATTTTAATGTATGCTGATGATGTGAAACTGTTTTCTTCTTTTTCCGTAGAATCGCAATCATATCATCTTCAAAGTGATTTGAACAATTTGGTTGCATGGTGCTCTCTCTATCTTCTGAAACTAAATCTATATAAATGTAAGAAGCTGTCTTTCTTAAGAAGGAACTCGTTCAGTACTCAATACTTCATTGATTCGCACAGGTTGGAAGACGTCGATTCGTTCATAGATTTAGGCGTTCTATTCGATTATAGGTTACGTTTCAATTTGCATATTGAGTCCTCGTTAAGCAAAGCTAGGTCCGCGCTTGGTTTTATAAAGAGGTGGTCCAAAGAGCTTGATGATCCTTATATTACGAAAAGGCTTTACACGTGTTTGGTTAGACCTATACTTGAGTATGCCTCCGTTGTGTGGTCTCCTTCGTACAAGTGCTATGTAAACTCAATTAAATCTGTTCAAAAGCAATTCTTGCTGTTTGCCCTTAGAAATTTGGGTTAGGGCCCGATTGCCTCTCTTCCTCCCTATGAAAATAGGTTGCTTCTGTTGTCCTTACCGTCTCTCGAGAAACGTAGATTTGTTCTTGGCGTTTCCTTCGTAATCAAAGTAATAAATGGTGCTATTGATTCGCCTGCATTATTTGGTGAAATAAACTTTAATATCCCCAACCGCTTCTCTAGGCATTTCACCTTGGTTAAGCTTAGTTAATGTATATATAATTATGAGCTGTTTAACCCGCTCAGAGTTGTTTGCAAGAACCTAAATGATGTCTATCACTTATTCTCATTATCGGACTCTTTAAAGTCCATTAAAGCAACATTGCTTAATGCGCGTAATTTACCTATGTCGTACTTAAACTGACTTAACCTTAAATATGTCATTATGAGTCGAAAATTAATTTGTTGTGAACAATTATCGGTTACCAAGCTTATGCATGTTTGCGATGGCTTAGGGGTTCGCTTGCAATTTGGTCCTGTATCGATTGTGGGTGTGGCTCTATGCTAATTGTGTACATGCTTTTTTTTTTTCTTTTTTTTCCTCCTTATTTGTTTTATTGTACTTATACTAAGTTTTATTATTAATTAATTTTAAGATTTACTTAAGAGTCAATTCAACTCGACTGCCATTTTGTTTTAGTTGAGTTTCTTGTATAAGTGGAATAAATAAATAAATAAATAAATAAATAAATAAAAAAAAATAAATTTATTATAGATATACTGATATATGTGTTTCTTACTATTATTAAAGTCACATTTCTTACACGTTACTGTCGAAGAGAAATGACCTTGCTGGCGATATATCAGATACTATTTTTTTCAAGGGAAAAATGTATACTGAGAAGAAGCGTTCGAACTGAGAAGAATAGACATGCATATGAATGCAATAATATATATATGTAGTTTCAATTATAATATCGTTATTATGCATATAGTTATTTGTACAAGCATCGCGATTAAAGTACGAATTTGATCAGAACGCGCCGATTTTGATGCCGCGCAGAGGTTCAAACTTAATTCATTTTTGCTTAAATGAGTTCTTGAGTTAATTCGGCAATAAATTGACGAAAAGTGAGAAAGTAGAAGTAATTTTACACGATTCCGATACAACACTGTACAAAATTTGCGAATAGTATTATACGATTTCAAAAAATTGAATATCTGTTTTTTGCCAATTGACTTCCCCTTTTAGTTTTAACTTATTGTTAATAAGAGAAGGTTGAATTAACTTTAGGAAAAAAAATAGATTAGTTTTTATTTTTGATGACAATTGATTTCATGATCGTCACCATTACTTTTAATTTAAGTAAAAAACCTAGCGATCTCGCTGCAGAAAGATAAAAAATTAATTGTGTTCAACGGTGGTCGCCTATAAACGGACAAAAAAACGAAATAAAAATGATCTCTGATAAAATTCTGAAATTTTTCGAAAATTGATTTACCATAAACCATAACCACAAAGTAAACAGACCACTTATTAGATCTTACAAAAGTTTGAAGTTCTTGACCTAGATGTTTTTACAGTAGATCCAAAAATAAGCAAAAAACAATACCACAAAAGAAATAACCAAGATTGGTGATACTCGAAACGCGAACAACTTTTAAGGAAAGACATGATGAAATATTATAAATATGCAGTGTTTATTTATTTAAAAATTTACAGTAAAATAAAAAACTTTTCCTTCGGTTAATAAACGTATGTTACAAAAAGAAATTCCTGTAATATTATATACACATAAACAAAATTATAGTACCAGTTATAATACAAATTGTTATATAAATGTAATATAAAACAAGTAAGAAAATTATATTCAGCCTCGAATAAATCCTTTATACCTACACCTGTTATTAGTTGTCTTCTTTATCTTTCGAGTAATAAGCAGAGAGCACTAAAAAAGTCGCGTACGCCTTTATGTAGGCGTGACCGATTTTGCCAGATGCTACAGAAGCACCCACATAATATGCATACGAATTCTTATCGTTATATCTGTTGTATTATATTTGTAACGAGCAAAAAATAACTGTTTTTATTTTTAAAAAGAGGTGGTTTCAAATATGATGATCGGTACAAAAAAATAAAAAGCTATTACAAATTATCTCCCCAGCCACATGAGGAGATTAATATTGGAAAAAAAATTAGACAAAAAACAACGTCCCAAAGAAGTAGCTACAGCAACTATAACAAGAATATATTATTTATACTGTTTGTTATTATTTTATATAAACAAATAAGCATTTAAATAACGGCTACCAACTTTTAAAACCAACAAAACGAAATTTCCGCTTCAATATTCTGTTTACTTGCAGATTACAGATAAAAACAAATTAAACGGCCTTACACTCTAGTAGAGAAATGCAGAGAGAGTTGTAAATGAAACGGCTAGTAATTCCAACATCGAGCAACTCGAACGATTGCTCAAAACAAACACGTCTTATTCTAGGAATAATATTATGTATTATAATTATATATTATATATTGCAATTATATATTATAATTACATATATATTGCAATTATTATTGCGGATTTCTAGTAGAATTAGCAAAGCAAAAGTTTATCCAAAGCTTAAAAATTTACATTTCGTAGGGGTTACAATTAAACAGCAAATGGCAAAAGTTAAAATTTTATGTTACAGCTAAATAACAAACGGGGGAAATTAAAAGTGTTTTGTTCATCTGTTTCATAATAATTTATTCTATATTTTAATTATTCCACTAACTACTGCAATATACTGAAAAATATTCGAAGTGTTTCATATCGAAAATTTTATTTATGGCAGCGCTGTTGGTTTCTGCTTGGTTTGAGTCCGAAATACCTTGCTAAAGGTATCAAAGGAAAAATCAAAATGTATATATACAGTCCCCTCTCTAACACATTGACAAATCAACGGTAGTGCAAAGTATTTTTTTTTCCAAAGTTAAGGAGTTCATTCACTGTTGTTGGAATACTTTGCAGTAATGTAAGTTTTTATATGTATTTAATTATATGTGGTGCTATATAGGAAGTGATATTGTCTAAAAAAATTTAATAGTGTTGTAATGTATGGATTTTGTTAAAAATAAGCAAATGAATATGGTAATTAAAATATGATTTTTTTTAATCAACGATTTAGAATAAATGCTGGCGATTGAAGTAGAAGGAGAAAATCAATACAAAAAGCAAACGACAGCAACAACAATAGCTATACTAAAAGCAAATGTATAGTTAAAAAAGAGGAACAGGGACAAAAATTAACAAACAGAAGAACGCTATAAAAATTGCAAATTTTTTATTTATCGAAAAAGTGTATAAAATAGCAGAGACAAGTGCAATCGCAAAATCAGGTAATAATATAAAATTATTATAAATTTATAAATGAAAAGAGAGAAAGAAGGCATTTTTCTACCTCCCCTTATTTAAATCCTTATATCGAACAATAATGTTTAACACTGAGTACTCCATGTATAAATTAGTACAGTCGTTCAAAAAAATCTGTTGACAATTACTTCATTAAAAAGAACAATAATAATTACTAGGAGATCTTTATTTATTATTGCACAAAACTTTTAGTAAACTTTTAAAAAATAGTTTAAAAAAATATTACAAATCGAAAACCAAAAAAAAAAAAAGATACTTGTACACTAGCACTCGAAATGTTTTGAAATTAAAAACAAAAACATTAAGGAGATTTTATTTATTGCTTTTCGATGTGCAACTATTCTACGTCCAACACATTGAATATATTACATATCTTAAAAGTTTTTAATATATTGAAATTGAAAAAACTATCCTTTACTATATCAGTTGAGTTGAGTTGACAAATAGATTCAACCTTAACTGCTTCGGTTATTGGTTCATATAGTTAACAGAAAAAAAAACTTGGATTATTTCCACTTTCCCTTTTTATAATGACCGTAACTTTCCATATGTTTTGCTAAGACATTTCGTCTATGTTTATATTAAATTAATTATTTTATGTATATGCTCGTCGATGCTTATTTTCCCACTATGGTGAAAAAAAACCGCAAAAGGTAGTATTAGAAGTTTTGATTGAAGTTAAGCATCACACTTTTTATTCCTTTATATTAACGGTATTAGAAGTTTTTAGATGGGTTTTATTCTTTTATGGCTGAAAGAACCTCGGAATAAAAAACTATAGAGCAGTAGAAATTTTCAAAGTAATTGCGACATCGTATGCAGTGACAGTACAAGTCAACTAAAACAGATATGAATATAATTCATTGTCTAAATACAAGCACACACACACGCACAACAATTGCTTCAATTTATAGAATATCGCCCAACCCAACCCAATATCGCCCAACGTCAACCAAAATACACATTAATAATTTTACGAAAGAAAACCGTACAAATGGATTCAATTTTTTTTGATTATCAAACAAAAATTTTTTTTTTCCTCTGTAATCATAAAATAAAAGGAAAGATATATACAAAATCTATTTATAATGAAGTTAGTTTGACTTAATTAATTGCATTCAAGTAATAGAGACAAACTTTTAACAAAAATTTTTCCATTTCAGATAAAATGTTATCTTAATTTAATTAGCTTTTTTGAATTCAATTAGAAAGACTGTTGTGCAGTTGAATTGCAAAATTTTTTGATTTGGATATTTGACAATATATGAAATAATAAACAAAAAAGAAAAAAAATTAATGAGCCCTTAAAATTCACGCAAGACAATTTCGCTACGATAAAATTTCAGACAGTAGGTGCAAACGTTAGTGTTAAATATATGAACGTAAATGGATTTTCAAGCGACCCGAATGACGGCAATGGAGATACAAAACTTATATGTTAACTAAGCAGAGCAAAGAGAGGGAAATATGTAAAGAAGAGGAATCCTCATATGGTCGGTTAAGGCATAAGTAAGATTCATGATTCGTAAATAGGGGCAAGTCCAAACTAAATTTTTTTTTTTGTGTTTATTTATTCTCTTATATTGAATTACTGTCCCCTATTCCCAAAAATTTTTCAATTAAATAATAAAAGATCCATGTTAGTTTATATATGTATTTGTATAGAACCTAGTGTCCCTTAGTCTCATATCTCATTGTAATTACCGATAGCACTGAAAAATTGAATTGAACTACTCTTTTTCTAAATAAATTCCTTAAGTGATAGAAATTTGTCAATGGAAATATGGACAACGAACAGCCTCATCAGGAACTAGTTAAATGTGTACTTGTGGGTGATACAGCTGTTGGAAAGACACGTTTGATTTGTGCAAGAGCATGTAATAAACACGTTTCTCTTTCGCAATTATTATCTACACATGTTCCCACAGTATGGGCTATAGATCAGTATCGAATCTATAAGGATGTAAGTAGTAGTCCACTTATATTAATTACTACGTTATTGTTAAATGATCTCTAGGTGCTTGAGCGTTCTTGGGAAGTAGTTGATGGGGTAAATGTATCATTACGTCTCTGGGACACATTTGGAGATCACGACAAAGACAGACGATTCGCTTATGGTCGGTAAGTTTCTACATTCAATAAATATAATGCGCGTTATAATCATAATTGTCATTGCAAATTTTTACTTTGTTTCACCTTTTTCTATTTTAATTTTCCCTTTTTTTTCAAGTTCCGATGTAGTTCTGTTATGTTTCTCAATAGCTAGTCCAATTTCTTTAAGGAATTGTAAAGCAATGTGGTATCCAGAGATAAGACGATTTTGCCCTGATGTCCCGGTAATACTCGTAGGATGTAAAAATGATTTACGTTACATGTACCGCGACGAGACCTATCTTTCATATTTTGGTGAGAGAAGCACATTTGTTAGGTAAGTAAATATACGTACTTGAATAACATCATTAAAAATTTGAGTTATATTTATATTTGCAACAATTGAAACAGAGCTGCTCTTAAAAGTGATCTAGTAATGCCAGATGAGGCTCGAGCAGTTGCCAAGGAATTGGGTATAGCATATTATGAAACTAGTGTTTTTACATATTTTGGAGTAAATGAGGTCTTTGAAAACGCCATACGTTCTGCTTTAATTGCTCGACGGCAGCAACGCTTTTGGATGACAAACCTGAAAAAAGTGCAAAAACCTATATTGCAAGCCCCTTTCCGACCACCCAAACCGCCACCACCAGAGATAACGGTCATGGTGGGAAATTACCGTCAAGACATGTACAACATGTTTCTTGCTCAGACCTACACTGATCTCATACTTGTTATTAGCACGAGTAAATTTCCTGTACATCGATTTATGCTAGCTGCTGCTTCCAACATTTTTTATAGAATATTGAACACGGAGATTCCAGATATGGGCGGACGAAGTAGTAGTGAGTCAAGCATGGTAAAGCCTGTACAAGATTTTTTTCGATAAGTCGGAAATATTTTGTTTATTCATTTTGAAATTCTTGCAGGTTAGTTCTACTTTTGGCGAAGCGACCACAGCAGACTTTAACGATGACACTGAATGTTTGATACGAAATGAATCACGCACACAAAGGTAAAAATTTCCTTATCTAAAGGATAGGGCCTTTTTATCTCTTAATTATACCCACCATCAAGTATGGCATTTCATTTTTAACATTTTGAAGATCGCAGAACCAACGACTAAAATTAATCCTAATAATTTTATAACTGCATCTACACTTTCCCTTAAAAAAATGCATGAATGTTACTGAAAGAAAAACACTTACAAAGAGATGTTAGCACCGATATATATGGAGTGCGACCGGTGATAAGCGATTAGTCTGTCAATCTTAGACGTTGTATGGTTTGTTAGACCCACTTCCAACCAGCTTTTTCATTTTCATACTTTTATATTCTTGAACTTAGCCATGTATACTTTTATTGAATTTTGCATTGTTTAAACAATTCGGATGGAAAAATAAGAAAAGTGGTTTGAACTGTTAATGGCAGTAAACTTCAATTTAAAAATGAATCAGCATCCTTGCATAATAATTTAGCATTAGTTATTCTCTCTTTGTAAATATTGTAGTGAAGAGTGAAAAGAGTGTGAAGGTGGTGGGTATTGACAATTTGAACTTAAACGATTTTAGTTATCTCATTCGTTGTTCAACCAATTTTTCATTAGAATGTGGGAACATCTTAAGCGTAGATCAAGTTACCAAGCACTCCCTTTAATTGAAACTAAAAGACCCAGTGATCTCTACAAAGACCTCCATCATCCATTATTCCAAAGCATACGCATCATACAAGTGGATAATAATCGAAGTAACTCGGTTAATCAGACCATAGTTAACTTGACAAAACTCGTAACATCCCAAGCTTTACATCAGTGCCTGAAATTCGTTTACACTGGTACAATAGAAATAGAAAAGGAGTTAAATAATTTACAGGTACTTAAATTATTGAAAACAAATTTCATTTCGATTTCATATTGAATGCTTTCTTAGGACATTAAACAAGCTGCAGATTTACTGGAACTAACTCAATTATCGCAATTATTATCAAAGCCCCAAACTGTCTTATCCAGCATAAATGATGAACCAAGTCCACATATATGCCTTGTATGTTCCATTAAGTGATGTATACTTTTATATATTATACATTTATGTGGATTTATTTTTTAATAGAGCATTAAAGAAAATATGGAAAAGCATTGCATTGGTGATGGTTGCTTTAGTGATATTATTTTTGAGTTAGACGATGGCCAAATGAAGGCGCATCGCGCAATTTTAGTTGCTCGTTGTGACGTTATGCGAGCTATGTTAACTGGAGACTTTCGAGAGGCTCATTCCAATGTGGTAAACATAATCAGTCATAAATTATGTGTACACAAATTAATCAAAACTATTAATGATAATTTCAGATTGTGTTTCCTGGTGTTACTTTATACACATTTCATAAATTACTATGCTACTTGTACACCGACGAAGTCCCGGCGATTTCCGCTGATAAATGCCTCAATTTACTGGAATTGGCAAACCGTTTATGTCTACCGCGCCTATTAAATTTAGTAGAATGCCGCGTTATTGAGGATCTGACATTGATATCTCAAAATGAAACCAATGAAACGGTGGATCATTGTCTTAAACTTTTGGAGCCGGTAAAAGTTAGTCTTCTCATCTATATATATCAGTATCAACATTTCGATTAGAAAAAATCCTTAATTATTCCAGCTGCATAACGCCCATCAATTGGCTGAATGGTGTATGTCCTATCTGTGCGTCAACTATAACATAATATGTAAATATTCCATTAAAGGGCTTAAAGCTTTACATCAAGACAATCAGGAATATCTTCGAGAGCATCGATGGCCGCCAGTCTGGTATTTAAAAGACTATGATTACTATCAACGCTGCATTAATGAAATGAATAAGGAGTTAAAGAACTCTCGTCGCGACTCACGTAGCGATGAAGAAGTCTGCCTCTGCTTTACTGGTGGTAAGTAATGCTTTTAATTTATTAATTACTTACGACCTATTATTTACACTTTTTTTGTAACACGCTTAAATTTAATAACATAAACCAAGTTTATATAATGAGAATATGCATACATTTAAATCAGGCGATTAAATTCATATTCATATTTTCATTTTAATTCATATTTATTTTTTTCATTATACATACCTACAAGTATATGGTTTGTATTTGCATTCTTATCAATTATCAATAATAATTCGTTAAAATAGCCTACAAAATATGTGATGAGAAGGTTACAAATATATGCGCATATGCGTATTTTTATATTCAAATCGAGAACTAATTATATATAATGTATAGAATATATAGTTCTTTCAATATATTTCTTATTTAAATTTATACATGCATAATCCCATTGCGATTGTTTTTCATTCACATTTTGATTTATTAACGTATGACGTTTCGAAAAGTATTTTCTTGGCTATTAGGAAAATCAAAACAGAGACTTGCATCCGGGGTTAACAGTGGCGAAAGTTCAAATGAAAATCAAATATTTAATAGCACAGTGAACTCGATGAACAACATTGATTTGGAGGCAGATGTTGACTTAAATCTCTGACATCCAGCTTTGAGGCACCGAAGGTTTATATATATATATACGCAAACAGATCTGAATGTCTTTCAATTTTTTTTTTTTTTACAATCCTTATTATTATAGATCGCTGCGCTTCATTGTGATCTTGCCCGTGTTAATTTGTTTTATTTGCACCATTTTAAGTATTCTCATACTTTTTCAAATCTACACATAACGGTTGCAACATTGTGACACCATGCCAACTCGAAAAAAGTTACTTGTATTTCATCATCTTCCAAATGTCGTCATAGCATACCAACAAATTCAAAAAATGATAGGGAACTGTGTCTAACCATTGTAGCTTGTAAGCTTTATACATATATAAGTGCATTTATCATATGTAGTAATTTTAGGTATTTATTTCTCCTTCTAATGCAAATAATTTCCTGTTTTTGTTCTGGAAATATGTGAGAGTATGCATACACCCAACAAAAGGACTTTAATTGTCGATCGACTTTAAAATTCAATTAATACGTACTGAGTGTGCCGGCTAATAATACGGGCTTTGTAATCAAACCAAAATAGGAACAATAAAATTACTTCAATTGAATCCATCGCCAGCGTGCACATATTCCAATATTATCTCAACAAAATTTTTTTAATTTTGTCTTGTGGCATTGAGAGACGCATTTTTCACTCAGTTCACTGTACACTTGCTGCGCTTAGAAAAAGCTTTTGCAAGAATTCGTCAACCGCAGCAAAAATTTCGGATGAGAACATTGGGTTGATTATTATATGCAATTGTTCTTTTTCCTTTATCCCTTATCTTTATCTATTCTAGTCTAGTTTACGGTTAAAACATTATTTAAATTGGTCCATTTATTGCAGAAATCGGCCAGTATTAATAGTTTCATTATGTCTTTGAAGTTGAAGATTTTATTGGTTTTCGAGAACGCAAGTTATGATTTTCATAAAACGCGACTCTCAAAGAAAATATATTGTTTATATATTGGTACACTTTCAAAAAAACCAATTATAGCTTGGGCAAATGCGCTTCTGCTCAGTATAAATTTTTAAAACTTTTCATATTTAACATTGACATCGTATTCAGGAATGCTTAATGTATGGATTTTCAAGCGTGCAAAATATTGGCGTTAATTACACGGCACACCCTACATACTCCACATCAAAATCTAAGATTAATTGTAGCTGCGATTTGCTTTATCCCTAACTTTGTTCAAATGAAGCTTACATATGCATGTACATACAATTATTTAAACTGGAAGCACAATTAAATATAAAAAATGTGTTCAATTGAAAAAATTTAAAAAAAAAACGAAATTCATTTCGAACCTATGGACGTTTAATTGGCTTATTTTATATTTTAAGGTTTTTTTTTTAAACTTTTGCTTTTTTTGTTTATTTATTTCAAAAAAAAAACGTCAATTGTACATAAAAAAAGAACATATTTGCATACAATAAGCATGACTTTGTATACCGAATGGGACTGTTTTATTATCAAAGGCAAACTATGATTAGTGCATAGAATTGATTTTCATTACACATTTTTGCTACATGTTTCAGAGCATTTAATCTTTTTTACAAGACCTAGAAGCCCTAAAAATTTAGAATATATTCTAGATAAATGTAAATTTTTTTTGAATTGCCTCAATTCGTAATCAAACTTGTATTAGATCATGTGCAATGTCAATGATATTTTTCGAAACCCATAAGTTTTGCGTCCACTATCGAGAAATAGTTTCAAGTACATTAATTTCGGAAACTGGTTTTTTAATGGGACCCATTTTATGATGAATTACTTTTCGTGTTGGACACGTACAATTTGTCCTAAGGCGAATAAAATTTTTCTTGATTAGCTTAAAACGGGTCAAGGGAATTATATGTTGATTGGGGCTTATCGCAATTGTTTATAGTCGAAAAATTTGCTGTAAGCTTAATATTATCACAGGTCATGTACACAATAATAAATTTATTTCTTTTATTATTTACACTAAAATCGAACAAATAAATTGTTATATTAAATGTAAAACACTCACGTGTATAAAGAACACAAATATGCTTTCGCTCTTCAACCAATCCTTTTTATATTAAAATATTAATAACAATGATAATTTAATAAAAATAAATATATTATAACAATTGTTTGAATTTTTTTTCTTTTTTTTTTTTTTAATAAAGTAATTGTACTTTTAACTCATTACAAAGCACAGGTGTGGTTAGCGATATCAAATTTACACACCCCCAGGCACATAAAATATTATATATAAAAATAACACAAAAAATACGCTTGAATATCTGCTGAAGGCAAGAGTATTTATTCCCGTAATATTGAGACAATCTCAAGTAAGGAAAAGGCAAAATTTCCGCAACACTTCTTTCCAGACGTCTGTTAGATCTACAAATTAATATCGTGTTATGTATAGTATAGTCAGTCATAATTGCATAACGATTACATTTGCTTTTTGTGCCCACCACAGGAGCATGGTGGCATACACATTTTGTTTTTTTTTATAATGCGTGTCACACTCAAAAGGGAACTTCAGAGACCCTGTAATATCAGTATATATTCTTAATCAACGTGAAATTCTGAATTGATTAAGCCATGTCTGGCTGTCTGGGCGTCTGTGTGGTGTTTATCGTTGGCACTCTCCTGAAGATATCGACTTCAAATTTGGTAGACGCCTTGGAAATTTTTGCGCGCAGGTTGACATTGACAATGTGCCAAGTTAGTCAAAGCAGAAATCCGCAGCGGCGCATAAATTCCGTTTCGTTAACAAAAATTTGTAGATTTTTGCTCATTACTCAGAAATTATAAAATTTAGAGAAGTTAGAATTTCCACATTTACTTTACGAAACGTTGTATTTTATGGGTATTAAATAAAATAACTTAAGAAGCAGAATACGAAAAGCATAGTGGGGGGTATACGAAATTCGGCCCCCGCCGAACATAACTTTACTTTTTTTTTTTTTTTCTGATACTTTTACTATTTCGCCTTTCGCTCGTAATTTGTTGCAAATTCGCCTTGCATAAAGGATTCCCTGCAAATTTGTTTCTTAAAGTATTCCAAACGCAAAAAAATGATAAATTTCATAAAAGCAATTTCAAAACACATCTGATAAAAACAAAAGATGTTAAAGACCGTAGGATAGAGAAAGAACTGAAATGAAAACATTTGCTGGCATTTTTACGACAAGTATGCATAGGCCTGTACTATGAACATGTGTGTCCTATACTAGGACATTTTGATTAGACCTTCGCGCGAGTGATTCGCGCTAAAGCAAAAGTGCAGCAGAGATGTAGTTGTGGGTATGTTTGCTTAAGCAATTATATTAAACGCACCCTCAAAATTTTTCAACTTTTGAGTTTTTCGTGCTTGGCTGTTTTTATTTTTGGTATGTTCATTTTTTTATGAATAAATTTTTTTGGATTTTTTTTTTGAATAATTGCCATTATTTTTCTGTATATTGCTAAAAAAATTTCATTACAATTATTCTTACTATACATATATTTCCTATTACTGTTATTGAAAGCAAAGTGTTATCATATTATTTTTTATTTATTATTATTATAGTATTTTTCCTAGTCTCTGCTATACTTATTTTTTCTATCTATTGGGCACCACCCCTGAGGCATTGCACCAGGCGCGATAGCAAGCATTTTAAATAGCTGCTTCCCCGAAAATATTTCACGCCTATGTAGCACTACTATGTTACTGCTATACTAACTCAATACTAAGACTAATCTCACCGTATTATTAGAATATTCATAAAGTACAACTACTTCTAAAAAATAGTCAATATATAATACGATAAGATACATAAGAGAGAATATGATAAAATACATAAAGAACAATGTATTAGTATAATAATGATAAAACAAACTTTAAAAGAAAAATTATTATAAATATATTATTATGTCAAATGTTCTGCATTGATTTTTTTATGTTTTGTCTCTTCCTGATTCTACCATCGACTACCAAACTGTCGGATGAAAATTTCACGTTGTTAAACACCTTAACTAAACTATCTAAATAACTAAGGCGACGCTTTTTGCAGTCGTAGTCCACCACAAATCAAGAAAAGTCATTTTCCGTTTGTTTTTAGGATTGTCTGAGTGATTAAATATCTAACCTAGTAGTATAAATATCCTTGCTCTATTATCAAATCTGCATTTCTACGATCGAACTGCTACAAAAAGCAAATTCCTAATTCGATGAAATTATGTCGAGAAGAAATTACTTTGCAGATCAGACATCAGGGTGCATTTTTCCATGCAAATTTTTAAAAGTGCACTAAAAGCTGTATATTAAGCAAAAATATTTAGATTAAATAAAATAATAGCGCATATGAACCATACATAACAGTTTCAACCACAAGAACATATATCACCATGGTGGTGCGGGTGGCATACGTCCGCGGTTGAAGCGTGAATTTAGTTTTAGTGTTGAGTTCGACTCCGCTCTGCATCATGCTCAAATTATTTTTGTTTAAATTTTTATTCGAAGAATATTGATGAAAATGTAGAAATTGGAAATAGTTATAATAACACTATGCTTTTAATAACAGTAACAGGAAATACATTTATAGTAAAAATTAGTAAGAATAATTGTAATAAAATCTTTTCGCAAATATAGAATGGCAATTATTAAAAATAAAGCCAAAAAAAAATTTATTTATAAAAAAATGAACATACCAAAAATAAAAACAGCCAAAAAAATCAAAAGTTGAAAAATTTTGTATTGTGCACATACAATTGCTTAAGCAAACATACCCACAACGGCATTTCTGCTGTATTTCTGCTTTAGCGCGAGTCACTAACGCACAGGTGTATTCAAAACGTCATAGTATAGGACACACATGTTCGTAGTATAGGCCTATGAATACTTGTCACACAAATTCCAGTAAATGGTCTCATTTCAGTTCTTTTACTCTTTCTTACGATCTTTAATATCGTTTGTTGTTATCGGATGCCTTAGGCTAGTACTTAATAATTTTGCTCCAGAAGTTGCTAGCGAAATATCCTATCTTATATATGTAACATTTTTGCTCGAATACACTTTAATACATACTGTGAGGGCATAAGTCGCCCGTTCTCTGGGGCTGCGGTAGCTCTTCGGCCCAGATCATCTTTAACAAAAAATTTATGGTTTCGTTTCATCACTTTATTTCAATATTTCCTTTTACTTCAAAAAAATAATAAAATATTTACAGCGAGCGAGGCGTTTCGTCGCTCTTTCTACTCGCGACCGACTCCCCTAGACTAACTTACTTTTCTCTAACTTAGTCTATCTTAGTTTGCTCTTATCCTACTCTTAGTCCTAGTCGTATCTCTCTAACTTATTCTCTAACTTATTGTCTAACTCATCCTTTACCTTAAGCTAGTACTCTCCCCCACCAGACACTGAAAAACTGTGAAGCGAAAACGAGGTGCGACTTTGTCTCCTCACAAATCCTCCGTTCTCCAGGGTTGACCTGTCGGTGACGGCTTCGGTGTGGCGGGTACTGATCGTTGTTGCAGTTGATGTAGTCTTGAGTAATGCTGCTATGATTCGCATGGCGTTAGCTAGCAGTGGTTGTTGCTTCAAGATGGGCGCAGTGCCTATTGCCTATGCAGAGCAGGGTGCTATTGTCTCGAGATGGGTGCAGTGCCTGTTGCCTATGCAAAGCAGGTTTCTATTGTTTCAAGGTGGGCGCAGTGCCAGCGGGCGTGGCACTCGCCTCTTATCGGTGGAGTGTCGTACGAACACTCTTGTATCATTGGCTTTCCGACATCGGAGTGTCGGATCGTTGGCCGGAGATCCCATCAGCTCTCATGTATACCTGGCTGTCCGTGATTAGGATGCCGGACTATTGGCCAGAGAGGTACGGGTTGTGTCAACGTTGGCCACTATGGGCTTGCCCTTGGCTGTGGGTGGAGATTTATGATGGACGTTACCTCTGCGAAATCGTTCGCAGGTTGTCCCATTCGTGGATTTAGATGACTGTTGTTGGTATTGTTGTTGCATAGGGATAGTACGCAGAATTGTCGATGGTAATAACCATGACCTTTCACGGATTGTCGTTGTTGTTCTGAATTTTGTCGTTGTCTGTTGTTGCTGTAGTTGTTGCTCTTGTCGAAGTAACAGCGGCTTCCAAAAATATTGACGGCGGCGATTGCAATGTTACCGTAGCAGTTGATATAAGAGTAGTTAATTGCGGCTGTGATTATTGTTGTGTTACAATTTTAGGCTGAATTTGTTGAGGCAGTGGTATCTGCTAATGGCGATAGCCACCTGTTGCCGTTGATGTTGCGTTTGTAAATGTTAATGATGTTATTTATGTAGGCTGGGCTGCCTCCGTGCCGGTCATCACATACAGCTTCCCGTCTACCCATAGATTTCTTTCAATGCGCGATATTTCATGATCTTATGAGCGGGTTCGTTGGATAACGAAAGACCTTTGCGTTATAGCGCTGTTTGTTGTTGTTGTTGCTGCTACTGTTGTTTCACATTGTTAATAAGGAAGCAGTGCGGTAATTGTTGGGGTATGTAGTCCGTTCGCCGTTGATGGTTTTCGTTGTTGCTGTGCGTTTAGAATTATTATTAACGCTGCAGTTCGATAATTGTTGCTTCAGGATGGGCGTCGTGCCATCGGACGTGGCATTCGGCTCTTGTTGTTTGAGAGTCTTACTAGCACTCTGGTACCTTTGGCTTTCCGACACCGAAATGGCGGTGTGGGTTGTAGTAAGAGGCATGGCGCCGTTGACTTCCCTGAGGACGATTGTTTGTAGGCCCGGATAATGCGTTTGTATCTTCGCGGGCTTGATTGCATGGAAGGCATAGGTTTCGGTGGGTTGGAGGACTTTGCTTCGTCTCGCTGAGTAATGGGGCATCTAAAATTTCCTTGCTGGGAGGTGGATAGCCGCAATTAACTTTCAGCGTAAAAGAAGGGCATTGCGTTGGCAAATCGTAATTTTCGTTTCTGTAGGTTGTTGTAAGATGATTTCGATGACTCAGCTGGGTAACGTAGTAATTGGCCCTGGCTTAACAATGAACCTATCATGGGATGTTCCGCATTGTAGGCATGATGGCTCGGAGGGACAGGTACGTCTCGCTATTGGCAGCAGTTGACGGTTCGTACGCCTTTTCGGCCGCAGATCCAGCAGTGTAAGACCTATGGGTTCGGACAATTAAACTGGTGGCGTCCGCTCCGGGTACATCGTCGGCATGCCGTGGTCGCATTTGTTCACTTCTTTTCGGGCATTGGGTCCGGTGCACACGTTCTTTTGTTCGGCAGATCGCGCCGTCGGGCCACTGGCTGAAATTCTCGGTGTGTCTCACAGGGGGCTTCACGTGGCATGTTACCCGTTGGAATTGCCTCAAAATCGCCGGCGAGTTCCATGAGTTCGTCTATATTGGTGAAATCTCGGCGCCGTATGTACCACGTGTAATCGAGTTGCCCATTCGTATAGATGCGTTCCAACTTCTGCTCTTCTGTTATTGTGGTATGGCGCATCAGTTCCTGCAAGGCCAACACATGGTCTTGAAATTTCTCCTTCGGTCCGTCGGCTCCTTTTGGGTGTGCCGGCAAATGTCATCTTCAAGCCGGGTGAAGTATCGCGGTGGCACAAAGAATTTTGGAAATTCGACCTTGAAATTCTCCCAGGTCGCCCACCGCTCGTTGTTAAGGCCGGTCGCGTAGTATCACCATCATGTTGGCTGGGAAACGGTTTTTGTCTACGCTGTATGCTTCTGCTAGCTTTTCGATCCATTCAGTGAAGGCAAGCGGCTCGCTATGGCCGATAAAGTTGAGCTCCCATTTGCTGACTACTTCGATGACGGGTCTCGTGTTGACCGCTGTCGGAAAACCTCCGTGTGCTCCGCTAATCGGGGCGGCGAGCTGGATGATTTTGCTGGGGTTGTTGATTGATGTCGAGATATTGGGGTAGGATCCCGATGCCATTTTGGTATTTGGTGAGATGCTGGAGAGCGATAATCGAAACAATATTGGGCCAACCTTGAAGTTGTGATGGCGCTGCGGCCGCTTCCGGATGGAGTTTAGTAATACGCGGGCTTAACTTAAATTAGTAATAAGGGCAATACACAATTAATTTCCCTGGGCGTCCTGATACGATTCTTTATTATTTTCTCTTTTTCTTTTTTTTTTCTTTTTCTTTTCCATTGGTGTACTATCTTTTACTCTTTTTTTCGAAAATACTTTCTTCTTTCTTTTTTTCCGTTTACTTTTTTTTCTTCTTCTTTTTCTTTCAATATATCTTCAGTAGCCTTTATAAATTTCTAAAGGGTGGTTAGTAGCTTATGCCGATATGTTTATTTTGCTCGCTTTTGTCGAAAATACTTTGCTTTCTTGACTAATTACACCTCTACCATAAATTTCATATCATCATTTCAATTTTATGGTATCTTTAAATTATGAATACCGAGTTGCATTACTTATTTGAAAAAAATAAATTTATTTTTTTAACTTTTGGTAATTTTCGGTCAATGTATTGACCGACCATATCTGCAATGTTATGTTTGTACATCGGAAACTTTTACACGATCTTCAAGATCGCACTATTACAGGAAAGTTTCCATCAAATTTTGAACAATGGTATAATATCCTACTAGGTGGTTATCGCTTCCTCACCTGTATTTTAGTTTTCGAAATTTTGGAAATAATTACAGGGCTTGTTACAATTTCGTGTTATAACAGAGGCCATTCGCCCATTACATTCCTTAGGATTCGTAACCGGAAACTCTTTCAAAATTTTATGTATTTCCAAGTCTTTTCTTCTTTTAAAAAAAAAAAAAAAACGAAGAAGCGATTATATTTTGAGACAGGTATTATTTAATTTTTTATTCAAAGGGAAGGGGACTTCGCTATCTTTGTAATTTGTGTTTTTTTCTTTGCGAACGAAAAATGTTTTCAAGTGATCTGGCTGCGTTTTGCTTTGGTTTATATCTTTAAGTATTGTGACTGCATAGCTTTACGAATGTTTTGGTTTTTTTACTTTCTTCTTTAAATCAAAATTTTATTATTAATGGAAGCAATTCTGGTTTAGCCTACTGTTTATCATTGAATGGTTGTCCATATTTGTTCCTCATAGTAGTACTATTATTTTGTTTATTTTATAACTCAGTGCTGTTATCTAAATTTTGTTGGATTTTTGGAATTTCAATTTTCGCGATTCATTCAAAATTTGGTCGTTTCGTAGCTATTATATAGTTTTCTTCTTTTTTTTCAAAAATCTACCTGCTCGGCAAATATAAAGAAAAAAGTTTAAGAAAAAAACTATTCTTTTTTCCCCTTCTTTAAATTAAAGGACAATTGTTTATATGTAAACGAAAGAAACAAAATACAACACAGACACACACCGTAATTGAGTGGTGTTGTGTAGGGTGTTAACTAGCTTTGGGTAACTATAAAAGTAATCATATATCGGATTAGCTGCACGTCGGGCACCTTAGCCACTAACGAGAAAATTGAGTTCCAGTAGCAGATGCTTTAGTGTACATATACACACGTTGCTTGCTTACTGACCTGTACTCACACCCTGTTGTTGCTGCTTTGTTTTTTTGCTGTTGTTCTTATTATTACAAAAATTAATTAATAAATCTTCAATGTCGTGCTAGTAAATGGAGATTTAAAATAGATTTTAGCAGCAATTACCATATAAACGACATGAGGAAGTCGAAAATGTTCTACCAGTCAGTACACGGGACTTGTCTGAACTCAAACCTTGTTGTTGCTGCTTTGTTGTTGGTGGTATCGGGATTCGAATTTTTTCTTTCTAAGATCTGTAAAGGAGGAGATGGTTAATAGAGTTCTTTTGTTTAATTTAATTATTTCAATCCGCAATTTTAATAAATTGAACCTCTTTTAACGTCCAGAATTTTTACAGCAAGGGACCCTTAGGAGCTTTTATCTGCTTGTAAACCCTCTAATACTTCTAGAATTTAATGCATTCTTCGAACCAAAAAAAGAGGTATCATAAATTTGACACGACAGTCGCCGCAATGAATGAAACCTCCAGCAATGATATTCACTTTTCTCGTTAAAACTCTTAATTGAAGTCTTTTAAATTTTTCTTGTTTTCGTTTTTATTAATTTGTCGGATATTAGTTTATTCTCGGTTTTGTTTAATGTAATTCTCTCCCGTTTTGGTTTTTCCTTATTTTATTTTACTTTAATGTGGACTTTTGAAATATTTTCTCGGCTTTGTTAGTTTTTGTGTTTTTTATTTATTTTATTTTTTTCTCGCAATTGTCCGCGATCACTTATTATCTCGTTGGTATCTGAAGAAGAATGTCATTTCGCCTTATCTTATGCAGACCATCCGGCAAAGTTGTTATTACCAATTCGCCTTATTATGCGTGGTGGTTCCGCAAACACTTTGCGGTATTTTAGTTTACGTGGGTTCTTATGGGCATTCAAATTCCCGTCATTGTTGTTGCGTGCTCGCAACAAGCACATTAGGCGGTTACGTTTTCTTGGTTGCTTGTTGGCATCTTCTATTTATTATACCTTTTGCATACAAATCATACAAATACTCGTTTCATCCCTTATTCATATGATTTCCTTCGGTGATTTCAACAACATTTACGACAATGAGTGAAGAGTTTTACTATATATTATCTTGTTTTTTTTTTTTATGTGTTTCGAAAGTTATTGATATCATTTTCTTTTTTTTCCGACGCTTAATAAAGATTTTATTAACACCTCATAATTAAATTTTCTTGTGATTTCTTCTCTCCGTATTCGTTCAATAATTATTCCTATATTTTTTTATTTTTTTTTTTTTTTTTGTAAAAGTCCCTGCTCGGCCGTCACCTGTGAGGGCATAACTTTCCCGTTTTCTGAGGCTGGGGTAGCTTAGCGGCCCAGGTCCCATTTCACAAGAAATTTATAGTTCCGTTTGTTACAACAATTTATCACTTTATTTAAATATTTTCCTTTACTTCAAAAAAATTATAAAATCCGTATTTACAGCGAGCGAGGCGTCTCGTCGCTCTAGCTGCTCGCAACCGACTCCTCTAAACTAATTTACTTTTCTCTATTTTAGCCTACTTTTATCCTATTTTCATCTCCCTAACTTATTCTCTAACTTATCCTCTACCTTAACTTAGCATTCTCCTCCCAACATAGACGGAGAAACTGTGACGCCAAACCGAGGTCTGACTTTGGCTCCTCACAATACATATACATAACCTGCAAACCTATAAGACGATCTTTTTTATACGCTTAAATAGAACAAAAACAGAAACATCTAACATGAACGTAAACTTACAATGTCAGCATAGAATGATTGAATTTCCTTAAGCGAATTTCATTAATTTTAGTTTTAAAGAAATTATCGCAAAACTATTAAATTTTGAATATATCTAAAATTTTCGAATATATACGTATATATATGTACTCTAACTAAAATAAAATATATTGTCTAGTTGTGGAGATATCAGCATCAATTGCATTCACCATATGATTTCAAGGAATTTAATGAATATGTATGAATTAAATGCAAGCGAACATTTCAGACGAGTTAACTAACTACATTGATTAAGCGAAATGAGCGTTCTTCTGACAATCAGTTTGACTTATATTCTGGTATTGCTGGTAAAGCCGATGAATTCAGTCGAATACAAAATGTACTTCACGACGGCAGATTGAATGTTTCCAAGTGGCCGTCAATTAGTATCAATATTATCGACTTCAATAACATTCACGTGCGTATGTGCTCGCAAATCTTGGGCAACGATACGGTTGATGATACCATTTGTCCGGAAAGCAGCCGACAGAACATCACCGTCGACTTATTTCTTAGAGGCTACTGTTGTCTAATAATATCACTTTTAATCGCGTAGACACACAGCATATGAATATTTACCTTGATAGATAGTCAAAAGGGCAAGATCCGCCCACAACGAAAAATGTCGAAAGGCATTCACCAGCCCACGAATTGAGTACTATAACTTCTGCATCGAGAAATTGGTGAAATTTGCCAAGAAATTCCTATTTTTCACAGTGTAAATTAAATCAAATGCTCCTATACCTAGGGTGTTACACCGAGAAAGACTTATTACGATTGCTTTAAATTAGTTGTGCTGTCCTTATTAACGCATTTTAAAAACCATACTATAAACAATCTGAACCATACTCCAGCAACAGAGCCATTATCCTAAATACCTGCAATGGTCAAGTAATCAAATTGTTTTCATTTTCCCTGCATTGATGACAATGCGGACGTTCACTTTGATAATACTACATACAGAGCATATATGAATAATTAAAGAAAGGCCTAACTGCTTAATTTTAAGGGTATTTCCTGGTTTTTGATGGGGTTTTCTTGTTCAATCTCCAATCCCTCCAACGTATTTACAACTAATTCATCCACTAGCAACATTGTTTCAAATTTCATTGTGTTGACGTTCTTTAGTTCCGGAACTGATCTTGTGTCTGCGATTATTTTGCTATTATCTTTCATGATTGGCGAAAGTTCGCCTTCTTATTCGTCATCGTCATTTAACGCCGTGTATTACGAATTCCATTACTGAGGGCATTTTATACTTTTTTATAGGTTTCTATTGCTTCGCGAACATCAGTAATGATTTCTTCAACATTGTCGTACTTAAGATTTGAAGCATCCAAAATATTGCGCAAGGCTTTTAATCCGTATTTATATGCACCTAAAATGATGACATTGTGCTTCGCTTCCTCTACGCTTTATAACAGTGTTTCAATATTGCGCGATAAAAAGACTTCACTTCCCTTGAAATATATGATAAACTTTGAATTATACAAACGTTACAGTCAGTTTTATACTAACTATAAATACTTTCTAGTAAGTGTTTCTTTTGTAACTGAGATTTGGCTATTTGCAGTTTGTTTTCCTGAATATGTTGGCAAACTTTCTACGTGCTCCCTGCAAACTTTTTTCAATTTGAAATTTTTTTCATTGCATTCTTTCGAACTATGTTTATGTCATGCACAGCCAAGTCGCTTTCGGTAGTGTTGAGGTCCGATTCATCTTCAGAAACTGCAACATATATATATGATTTGTACACAATTGCTATCATAAAATATATATTTTGGCACGTACCAGGTACTTTAATTAGTTGTATACGATTTTCAATGTTTCTCAATTTATATGACAAACCGATTTTATATTTATAATTCAAGCTTTCAGCTCACATTTTAATCAGAAAGAACCATTCTCCTTAAAACATCTTTCGTAAACATTTCAAACGTTTGCACTTTTCCCAAAAACAGTGGTTTCTTCAATATTTCATGTAATTGTTTATAAAAACTCTAAACAACATCAGAAATTTTTTCATTATATTGAACTTTTACAAATTCACAACGTAAACACTGTATTAAGCATACAACCAAAGATTGCGTGGTGTTGCCACGAGAAGCGAATTCAACAACTTATTTTCCTTTCTATGGAATGATGATAAGAACTTGTAAACAAAAATATATTGTTAATTGGGACTTCAATGTATGTTCCTTTTTTTAATAAAGGAAGTACACGTTTTGGGCCTGCCTTACCACATCATTCTGTAAGAAAAACTTTGGAAATTACTTTCTAATATAATACACTTTAATAAAACAATTTCACAAGTATATTTTAAATTAATTATTAACCACCTTTATTATTATTTATTTATTTTTTTTAAATCGTTTATAGTCAAAATTGCAATCCCGTATTATATAATGAAAAAAATAACTAAAGTAATGTGATATGAAATACAAAATTAGATAAATAGCTTTGAAGTTCCTAATAAGTCGTTTTATTTCTTCTATTTTTTTCTTTTTGTTTTATTGGTTTGTATACATATAAAACCATATGATCGTGTACGGAATGAAGCTTCGCTTATATTGTCATGTCTGATGAAGACATTCAATTTATATATTTTATAAATTTTGCAAGTGAAGTTATGAAGTTATGTATCTATAATTTAAAAGTCTCCTTTAATACCGGGAATATAAGTGCCCTTTGAATAAAAAGTATCAAATGGCAGACATAACTACAAAGAGGACACAGAATAACTTGTATTGCACATAGTAACTCCTAATAAACAAGTGTATCCGATTATTAGAACACATCAAGATTCACCAACAGAACAGCTTTGCTGCCTGGTCCTGATATGGTAATTAATGTAAAGGTATTTTGGTAACTTAATACGATATTGGTTTATCATTTACTTATTTAAAAATTGTATATACTTAAGTCCGATGTTTTGCCTACAAAGTTTAGCATGTCAGATTCAAGTTATTGCACGTTTTACATTTTATCGTGTTATATGGAATAGGTAACAGATGTTATTATTTTACAATATGCATCCACCTCTTTTTGTACACAGTAGATACGTTCCTTAGAAAACCGTGTACAAAGTATCTTCAAAAAAATAAATGAGACATATCGTAAATTTGAGATGTTCCACAATTAAAAAAAATCGTATAAGATGAAAAATAAATATCATCCCAAAAAACCGCACGAAAAGAGCAATAATGAAATCCATATTACATGTTTATAAATCAAAAAAAATTAAAAAAAAAATTATAATTAGTGCACAGAGACAATTCAGTTCATAAGTACAAACTTAAGAATTTTAAAATGAAATTAGGAATAAAAATCAATTTCATAAATCTTCATCGTAACAAATCTGCGCGGTTTGAACTCTCTATTACATAAAACAAAATATTGTATTCAATTTACTAACACGTGTGGACATAGACCGACAGACTTCTGATCACGGTTTGCCCCCAATAACATTTTGTTGATATATAGATTTTTGTAAGACACTATCGAAATTGTAATTAAAAGAAAATTTGTTATGGGATCCGTGCTAGAACAAAAATTCATATAATACATCTCTTTGCAAGCTCTCTTTGTTTTTTTTTTTGGTGAATCGTATTATTTCAAAATCATGTAAAAGAAGACTATGCAAAAAAAAGAGGTGGGTGTACCACATTAAAATATTTTGTTTTTTCTTGGAACAGCCGGGATGGACCAGAATCTCCTCGGGCTGGGCAGTAGGTGAGTACTGCTTCCCGTTCGTATTCAGGAGACTATTATAGTATCAATTTATTCACATGCATATAAAATTCGTGTCAAAATTAACACACTGCTTCATTCAGCTCTGTGTCATATGATATCGCGATATTCTACTTGAATATTGTCAAATTCCGTATAATTCACTTTGCTGCTGTATTGCAATTGACAATTAAAATATAGTTTCAAAATTATTTGCAGTGATACACTCGCACTATTACAATTGTCAGTGTATCGTAAGACTGTAATCGAACAAGTGACTGAAAATTCCAATATATAAGCACTATATTTTGTTTGCTTATATTGTCATTATAAGCTTTAAAGAATATGCAATATTATTATTATAATTTACTTTTGTTCATTTTATAAAATTCGAAATAGCTATGTGTACTACTTGTACGTTTATATACATAAAAATTATGATAAATAAACGAGCTAGCGACATTTCTAGGGAATGTAAACAAAAATTAGAATATTCACCTATAAACACATACGATACTACTTTTACAGTAACAAAATCTATACACACAAAATAGTGGTTTTTTTTATCAACAGCTGAACACTCAGGGAGAAGAAGAAGAATAATTTTCTAAAGAATGCGCTGCATAATTATAGATGAAAGTGTATCTGAAAATGGAAAAGTAGCTGCGTAAAAAGAAAGAATTAGAGTTAATGATATTTTTACAATTGGAATTAGGGATACGAATATTTATTCAATTATTAAACTGATATTATAATGAATGTAATAAACAAAAGATTTTAAAATTACAAATAAAGAATATAACACGTGGACGAAAGATAATATCACAGCAGAACGATTGGATTTGCAAACATTCCAAACATCTTATTCTCCACATCGTTAATGTTGCCTTTTGCTAGCACTTAAGTTTTACTTGTGATTGTCTAAGGTAAACGCCAATTCATATATTATTGTAAATGCAGTAATTCACTAATTGTCCACTAATCAGACTTGCCGGAAAGGAAATATAAATAAGGTGACACAATGCAAGAAGATTCAAAACAGCAACTAGCCAAGGGTAAGTGTGTGAGAAAATTTTGTTTACTTCTCTATAAAAATATATTATAAAATATTTCCACTTTCAAGTCGTACCAATCGAGGGTAAAATACATATATGATCACAATGATGATCAAATAATATAATAGAGCAAAATATGGGAAATTAATTTATAATCGAACGGGAAAAAATCGAAGTAAAAAATAATCACACATGTTGCAACATTTCGTAAAAATTTAGAAATAAACAGAGCGCGAAAATATGTATACATAATCACTTATTTGTTGAATCCAGTGCACATTGAAGTATCTTCTTCCTACGTTATTGTTAATACGGCGTTCACAAAAACTAGTTTTTGTCTTTTCTATATCGTATGCTGCCAATAACATAGATCATATTAACTTTGTAATTTTGAAGAGTAATTCGGATTTCATGAAAACTGTTCCATGAAAATGTAGCTAGTGTTCATGTATCAAACATAGTCTTTAAACTTTTATAAGATGCAATATACATGTGTTCTTGAGAACACATGAAAACACAGAAGAAAATATTTTTAAACATACAAATTTTTTAAACATATCTGCTTGTTCGGTTATAATTTTTTCTTTTTTGAAAGCCATCACTCGATCAGGCCATATCCAATAAAATATTTTGCAAATACATATAAAATTTGATCAGCTTAGTAGAAATATCTCAGTAATTAAGATTAGCAATAATAATAAAAAAGAGAAACTTAGAAACAAGGACATTGCGTATATCTTGGAATAGATAAAGAATGTGTGTCATATTAACTAGGGTTTTAGTGATTGTAAGTATGTCAGTAAAATGATGGCAACAGTTCTAACTGTTCATTGTGCAGAATGTATGAATTAATAAATTTGTAATAAATATTTAATTATAGTCTTATATGACTACCTGCCGCTTGCAACAGAAATATGACGAATTTATAGTAAAAACTTTGTCCCGTATTAGAAAAGCTATAAAGTATTTATATTCTTGATCAGCACGGATAACGTAGACAATTTAAGCATATTCATCAGCCTATTGTTAGATCCTTATATAGCAAATAAACTTAACCCTACTTTTTTTCTTTAACTCTCTGAAATTCTAAAATTAGTTTAACCTGACACCCGCGCGTGATTATTAAAAAACTGATCATTTCTTTACATCTTAGTTTGGGATCTCAACTTGTTTAAGACACTAAATTTCAAATCTGACGAATATGACGAATATCAGCTAAATCACTCTTAAGAGTTCACTCATTAATCTTTCAAAACGACACGTAATTAAGTAAGTAAGTTAGACCACAGTGCGAAATGCTGTTGTATAAAATAATAATGAACATATAGTTATAAAGGTATATCATATCGCTGGATTACTGGATAGGTGCAATATTTATGCGCACACTGACCCGTGCGATAGTGCTTTACATTTCAAGAACTAACTGATCATGTTACAGTAATCGCGACCTGAACGTGGGTTCGAAGTAATCGTTACAAAACCGTCGTTCAAATATTTTCGCAAATTATACGATCAATTATTCTCAATATCAATATTCTCAATACTCAGATTGTATAGACTATTGACTCTTTTTTTTCTATTTTTCATTAGCATATGCAAATATTACAGTAAAACTCTCTCGAGGAAGAAAAAACAAAACAATACATTTATTGCCACTTCCTTAAATTTAGATTAAATTTAATATACATTATCAGCGCAATGTAAATTTTGCGAGTTGTAACAATCAACTGCTATAGGTCTTAAGTAGAACTTGCTTTCAGTAAAACTCTTTCAGTCAGTTTCTCATTTGCCTATCGTTACACATCTATTTTTTGTTTTTCTTTTTTGTTAATTACAATTTCTTGTTTTTTATTTCTTATTTTTCACCCCGTCAAATTATTTCACGATTAAGAGCTCAAGCGATTTTTATATTGTATTCGACAAGCAATCTTTAAATGAAACATTAAACATTAAATTAATAAAAGTTTTAATTTTCTTCAAGTAATTTTACTAAACTTACTGAAATGAAGGTACGAACGTGTAATCACTCAACTTTTAATCTGAAAAACTACAAATTTCAAGCAGTCAGCGGTAATATAAACGGAATTGGAAAAAAACCCAATGGTCTAGCAGCAGTACATTATAATAATAATAGTAAACGTAAATTTTTACGGCCTTCCCTAAAAATTGTAAATCCCGAAAAAAACAACTCAGAAACTAAAATTGCTAAAGAAAGTAAATACAAAGGTAATATGGTGGAAATAAACGTTTTTCCTAATACAAGACAACAATTAGAACATGAAATACGCACTAAAGCGTCTGCTGTGATAGAGGATGAACTTCTCATGTGTAAGTTAATTAAAACGCAAGCGACAATATGAAATTCTTTTTACATGAATCAACTATTTTTCATTCTTATAATGTAATGAAACTTTAGAAAACAAAAAAAAAAAATATATATATATATATATATATAATAAGCATTGAATTAAGTAAATTATGAGCGTTTTTAATCCAGAATATGCAAATGGGATGAAATATGCAGTACCAAACAAAGTACAAAATCTATTTCAAAGACCTTACACAAATTACATTATATATACACACATATAAATATGTTTTTAATTTTAATTATAGCAATGCCTTGGTTTGGAATGGATATTGGTGGCACTCTAACAAAACTTGTGTATTTTGAACCTAAGGATATTACGCCTGACGAACAAGATCAAGAAGCGGAAAGCTTACGAAGTATTCGACGTTATTTAACAAAGAATTCTGCTTATGGTAAAACAGGCCACCGTGATACTCATTTACAGGTATGTAAACGAGAGATGAATCAATCTTAGCTAGTGCTAAAGATTAAAAAAATCGCACAACCAACCTATTCGCACACGTATAAATGTAGCTAAATGTGCTTCCATTATTAAATATTTTAAATCCGTTTTTTTCTTGTCCTTGTTTTTCCGCTTCGTTCCTTTTATACTATTTCTTACAAAGTAAAATTAAACAAAATATACATTCGTCTTGCAACCCACCCATAGCTTGAATGGTGGGTAACCGAATTTCGACTTCGATCGAGTAGCGAATGCCATTCTTGTTTGCTCTATTCTGTTTATTCTGTCGTCAAGTCGAATGTATATAGTATTACCGAAATGAATTTGTAATTTTTTTTTTGTTTAATAATGAGTTACGGCTGTTCTCTGTTTGTTTGCCCGTACTTGTATTACAGCACCCATACGTCAATCACATGATAATTATTAATCGAAATCTTTTATTTACTATACAAATATACAAATTTTTTACTTACGTGGCAGATATTTTCCATAGATGGCTAATTATTGCCAAATTATTTATATTAACAAAAATGTATATGTATATTTTACAAATAGGGCATCAAGCCATGGATAAGAAAAATGGCACTTTCTTCAATTATGTTCTAAAATGAGAGGAAATTTTGTAATAAATTTTGATCTTTATGCTAACGGGGAAATATGTGCTATTTATATGTGTTTTCTGCCCCGTTTCGATCGAGTCATTTTGTCTTAATTAATCATTTCATATCGTTCAAATGTTTTTCATATTTATGTATTTGTTATTTGAAAGTATAAGTTCTTCGCAAATTTTTTTTTCAGCCGAACTTCAAATATAGTCATAAGAAATGACGTGTTTTTTCAAGTCTGCAATATTTCTTTCAAAATTGTTGTTATAAATCTTTGTCTGTATGTAACAATTATGTTAAATTATTTTGAATAATTTTTTCAAAGTTAACGGGGTAATGCGTTTTATTTATCCACATTGCAGATAAGAAAAGAAAGAAAAATTCGATATAATTTCTATCGTAATTATATGAGCCATGCTCACCCAATAAGTCGTAAGTTACATTTGGCAAATTTCCATGCGTTTATATCCGTTCCAAAACCTATATTGTTCATATCTACCCAGAGCATAAAAGTTGAAATTTTGTCTCTCTACACCAATTTTTGCGATCATAAAAGTTAATGGAGGTTTACTTACCCTTTTCATTGGATTTTAAAAAAGAAAACAAAAACATTTTTGTTTACCGATATATGACACCACCATGTTCAAGTAGTTATATAAGCATAACGGCAAACGTAAACATTTGCAAATGAACCATAACATATATTAGGCATGAACAACCTGCAAATGAACTATCGTCAATGCCGTCTCAACTGTGCAGCTATCAAATATAAATGTGATATAAAAATTAATGCAGGATGCTGCTTTCTTGATAATAGCACAACACGGTTCTGGCCCCGTCGCAATATGAAAATTAAAATTTTGGTCCGTTAATGAAAAAAGTTGTCCACCCTTGTTGTTCAATTGCTCCTTTCATCAGACCTGTAACCAAATCAAATTTATGAAGAATATAGGAGAAACTTTTCCTGTTTTACGAGCTCACGAGTGGGTCGATCAATGTAACATTCGCCTCCCATTGTTAGCTTAATAAATGTAATTGAAAATCTTAACAATTACAGAAAATAATTTCATTTTCAAAATGTTTAATGTTCACATCTGCAGCCCTAGAAACTGTATACTTAAGAAAAAATTTTTAGATGGATAACGTGGAAATACGACAGCGCCGTGGGTCCCTGCATTTCATACGATTTCAAACAACAGATATGGGTAATTTTCTATCATTAGCAAAACAAAAAGGCATGGCGGAATTGGTGACAACAGTATGCGCGACAGGCGGAGGGGCATTTAAATTTGAAAATGATTTTCGTGAGGTATGCTTATATTCAAATTCAGTATTTATAGATTTAGAGAAACATATATAGTTTATTCTATGTTTAAGCAAGTGAATATGAAATTGGCGAAATTCGATGAACTAGATACGTTGATCAAAGGTATTTTGTTTTCCGAAGTTCAAAACCGGACGGAATGTTATTATTACGAAAATGCTCGAGACATAACGTAAGTTTTGAGAGTGTGAAAACATTTCACTACATCGACGTTTTGTTCGTATATTTTTATTGCAGAAAAAGTGAGAAGCGAGTTTACGATTTCTCCCAACCGTATCCGTTCATTTTGGTAAATGTTGGATCTGGCGTATCAATATTGGCCGTTTATGGACCCGATAATTACAAACGCGTCTCCGGTACAAGGTAAAATGTAAAAGATGTAAATTTAAATTTAAATAAAAAACTTGAATGCATTTCTAGTTTGGGTGGTGGTACATTTTTGGGTTTGTGTTGCCTTCTGACTGGCTGCAATACATTTGAAGAAGCAATACAGTTAGCCACTAAAGGCGATAACCGAAAAGTAGATAAACTAGTGCGTGATATCTACGGCGGTGATTACGATCGTTTCGGTTTGACGGGTGATTTAGTAGCTTCTAGGTAAACATATTTTAGATAAATTCTTAAAAATCTTATTACCTTGCTTTCATGTAGTTTTGGTCAAATGCACATCAGAGATAAACGTGCATCGGTTTCGCGCGAAGATCTTGCGAACGCGACTTTAGTTACTATTACCAATAACATTGGTTTAATTGCCCGCATGTGTGCTCTCAATGAGAAAATGGATAAAGTATGATATATGTTTTAAATCTCCCTAAATTATTGTAACACAAATGTTTTTCAGGTTGTATTTGTTGGAAACTTTTTACGAGTTAACCCGATTGCTATGAAATTGCTAGCGTACGCCATGGAATTCTGGTCAAATGGGACGCTCAAAGGTTTATTTTTGGAACACGAAGGTTATTTTGGAGCTCTAGGTTGTTTGTTACAATTTAATGGGGAAATAGCTGCAGCTCTTAATGAAACTTCCGATAAAACTGCAGTGAATAATCCACCGCCGTCAGCACTTTTTTCGCAGTCGGCTCCCCAAAGATAGTTACAAGGCGTAATGAAACCTATTATTTCGTTTAAAAATAAGAATTTTTTTTTTTTAATTGATTATAACACTTATTCTTGTAAGTTGATGGTGCAGTTTATATAAATTCGCTTTCAATGCAATCGAAAGTAAATTTCCTATGTCATGGAAGGGACTGTAGCACAATTTTGGTGCTTCCGAAACAAAATGCACATTCAAAACGGGCCAATATATTTTGTAGTAATATCATTTAAACGATTTGGTTTGGGTACATATATATAAGTGACGGTTGACAAAATGCATATTAAAAATCTATCAATTAACTGAGACGTCGAATGAAGCCTACTGTTTGTCATCGAATTTTTTTTCGTAAAATGCCCTTTTTTGTAGCATTTGTATGACTTGGATTCCAAAGGCGAAACCACTCGGTCTTAATTTATTCTTCTGTTTGTTTTCGCTTTTTTTCTTTTAACTTTTATAGTCTAAATACACCTAATCCTCTCCCAAAATGACCGCGTCCATGCACAAATTCCGTTACAAATCTTCAACAGCGTCTGTAATTGTCTTTGCTTTCTCGCATAATACAGCGATAGTCAAAACGAGTATGAAATTTATACGGGCATGTTGCGAATCTACTCTTAGAGTTCTTTAGCGTAAAACAAATTTACTTATATTTTCAACATGGGAGAAAAAGCTACGTACATTTAATTATAAAAATTCATAATAAAACGAAACCTTTTAAAATTGTATGATTTCTACTATAGGTCTTTGTATAGATTTATTACTTTTCTAGTATAACTAACAGATCTTAACTAAAACTTAGATTGGGCATTATGTGTTGACCATTTACTATCGAACTGGATTGGAAAGTATAAAAATATTTCACTCAAGGTAAACTTGTGAAAACAACATTATGGTATAACTGTTGTTATTTAACTATCAAATAATTTGTGTAAGCTGTATTAATTACCAATCGTAATTAATCTTAAACTTAATCTAAAACTTTAATTTAGGGTAATAAGTTCATTTTTGAATCGAAAATTCACTGGACAAGACGATTCTTTTGGAAATACTGTTTGGCGTAGGGCGTTTCATTCAAAAAATCCTAAGAACATTTAAAATATCTGTAACGGGTCTTCTTGGGCACGGTATACTCAGCCAATCCAGGACTCTTTCCAAGACAATTTATAGAATAAAATTTACTTGGACTTTCGAGTTTGTTCTTAGTTGCTATTTACTTATTTACGGGGAGATTATAATATTCAAGCGAATTTTAAGAGACGTAGGAAGGAAAAACCAGCGTGGTGATGCGACCTTAACGTTTTAGTACTTCTTATTCATTCCCGATTATTACTGGACTTTCTCGTTCACGTTTCCGTACCGCGAGATTCTGTAAAGAGAAGAGCACGCCGCGAGTGTCATAGTAACCAACCTGGGCCTACAGTGCCCCACTTCAGTTCCTAACCGATTCACCTCGCAAGACTTGAGTGTTCATTGGTTATTCAGGGATGACCGCGAAGCCACACCTGTCATCCCCTATCCGTAATGGTCAATAAAAACCCTGTCAGTAAAAGTTAACCAGTTAAGTCCTTGACCGCTTACCTTCGGCTGCTATGACACAATTGAAAGGCTAAGCGTAGTGCGACACGCTCTTTTATAGTCGCGATCACCATCGCTATCCCGTTACATGTATGTTCTAGGCTATACTCACTTCCATGTGTATGCGATGATATTCTTATCCATCTAAGTTGGCGTATGCTATTTTAGGTTTGATCGAGCAGGTTTGCCTGCCTCTATATTATAACCTCAGCTCCGACTTGTATGAAGATACTTCTCTTATATATATCTTAGCGCTAATACTACCTTACGCACCAACTCGTGTGACTTATTACCTGTTATGTACAATGCATGGTTTTTCAGAACCTTCATGTATAACTTATGACTATCCTATTGCTATCGTATGCTTTTATAACGCCGAGTATGCATTCATGTGCTTATGCATGTTTGGATATGTTTGCGTTTATAATTTTGAATACATTTTCCTTTTATGGCGATTTATACATTTGGATGTTTTGTACGGTTTATCTATTTTACAACGTTTGTGCATTTGTGTTCCTTTTAGTTTAAAGTTTGTACATTGGTGTACATTTTAGCGAGTTTATGCATTTGATTCCTATATTTTACAAAGTTGTACATTCGTATGCGGTTCAAACGTTTGTATACGTTTCCTAGCTAGGTATATTCTCTGAAGCTGTAATATGTAGTAAGTGGCATATATAATTTCTCTTCTTACGTCGTCTTATAAACATTGGCTTGCACGGTGTGTGCGGAAGACGGCTGATCTGTGCTGACGTAGAGAAAGGAGATCTTTAAGTGGTATTCCTTCTCTCGTGCGGACGGACAACCCAGACTGACTGTTTTTGGCAAGTATTTGGGCGGACTTGTTACCAGTAAGGAAACAAAACGCTCCTTACATATCTTTATAGAAAGTTATTCATTTAACAAATTTCCAAAAAAAACTTCTGATAGCATTAATCTCAACAAGTATCCAGATAATACGTTAATTTTTGAAATTACTTTTTTTTTTCTATTATCTTCAAAAAATTATACAAAAGCCGTTTAATAGAACATTCCACAATATGAAAGGCAAAATTTAACAAATAAAAAGTAGGATTCTTTACAAAATTTTTCTAAAACATATTCGTATGGTTCAAAAATATTTTTTGAGAGTTGGTTATAAAACATCTTTCAGCACCTTGTCAAATTCGAAAACTACTAAAAGACTTAAAAAAGAAAATCCTAGAAGTTACAAAAAAAAAAATTTCGAAAAAAACTTTATTTTAGTTTACTTTTTTTTTACCTTGCGGGAAGTTTCTCGAGACTTGAACAAAGTGTATTTGACAACTGTACTTAATTCAACACGTTCCCAGAGTAGTTTTAGAATTTGTCATCAGGGTTGATCTGCTTTCATATTCGGTACATTTCTTGAAATATATTGCGATAATCTTTTGTAGCCGCGCAGCTAACCTTGAAATCTAAAACGTGTAAAGTGCGATCTGTAGCTATGAATAGATAACGGCTATCACAGGCAAGACTATACACTGGCGATGATTTGAGATCGTCCCGCCGTCTAGGCTCCACGCGAGGGAAATATAATTGCATATACTTGTTAGGGACTCTGATGTCGTAAAGATTAACTCGACTATGGTATTTAGTTCCGCAAAGTACTGCATAAAGACCGTCATAATCTAAGCAATAAAATGATGAGTCGAAGGGATCTTCCCAAACGCATTCGTCCTTATCCGTACGCCGATCGTATAAACGGAAACTTGTGTCGAAATTAGCCGTAAATATTATGTTGTCATCTTTTAATTTAAGATCATATACTGATATGGTTTTAGAATTCAAAATTCTTTGAAACTCACTGTAAGTGAAATCGTCTATATGTTATGAAAAATAAGAAGACGTAATTTTAACCCTACAGACCTTTCCATGTCGATTTCACGCAGAGCACGCCTATTGACTGATGTGTACATTCCACCATATAATTTTTTACCATCAGTATTGAATTGCAAAGCTTTAAACGATTCATTGAATTCCATGATTTGATCTAGGTGTAGTAAACCAAGTTCTTCTGTCCTCTGCCATAATCTGGAACAATTGTCTGTACTTGTAGCGTATATTCCGCCAAAAAAGTTTACGCACCGCAAATATTCTTTTGGATTGTGGAGCTGTTGCTCTGTAGCGTACTCTTCTTCGTATATGAAACAACTGCCAGAAACGCGCCCCGCGAAAATAGTATCGTTTCTCTTCACGAAATCAGCTAAATCCGCTTTATTCCCGGTAGTAATTTCACAAAAATAGCGACGCTGGAGTGGTTCAATTTTAAGACGCCGATGTTTACTTAGGTAGCATCCAAATGTCAGATAAAGCCAGTCTCGTTCTAAGACTAACTTTGTTGCAAACATTTTCGAACGGCGAAAATACTGCTGCTCTCTATACCGTCCACTTAGCCAGTTTGCTGCGACCTTCACACGATCCTCGAACGACATAATAATATGGGTTCTAATATATCACACAAATATTGATGAATGGTTTTCCATTGCTCACAAAAACTCTCTCCTACCTGTCTATAATCTTTGGAAAATTGCGGTGACCACACATGAGCAAGTCAAGACTTTGAAGTTGAAATATATGCATTTCGATCACATTGCGTAAAAAGCTGTGCACACGACATAAATTAAATAGATCGGATTCACTACAGAAACTAAAAATTTTCAGCAGACAATCAATGTTCAAGTCGGTAAATTCCATAATGTATTTGAAATTCTTATTAGGTTTTTTTTTATTTACTAATACAATTCATTTTCCTTTTTCAAACATCTGTTAACAGAAAGCGGCGAGAGCTGCCATCATCAAATATGGCTTTAAACGACTATAATATCAGCAAATCTTCTGCAAACCAGCGAATCAATAATCGAAAATTCGAAGTTCTGTATAAACTGGTATAGTTTTACCATAAATTAAAGGGATTAGTTTTAACATATTTTTCGAATTGCTTTATGGCAAACGCTTTCTGGATCTCGTGAAAGGGAGTTGTTATAAAGAGAAGATATATACTATTTTCAAGTTACAGTTAATTGACATAAATGTATTCCTATCTAACGTAACGGTACTTAAACGTGCGCGTACGTAAAAGATCGCGACTTTAACAGTCGACATACCAAGGTAAGTTACACCACAACCTCACTAAGAGGAGTAGTTAATTATCTCGAGTATAAGAATTAGTTATCAAAAATCTATTTAAAAAAGCCCAGAAAATGAAGATTGACCCATAATCCTATCTACCTGTATCTGTCTATTATTTACCCTTTAAGGCTATGCTAAACAACCTTAACTTAAAAAAAAAACGGCCTATATAGATACAATTAAAAACCTTGAATAAATCTCGTGATGAGGAAAAACTGAGAGAGAGTTGTTTTGTTTTCTAGACTTTGACGATTCTTGTTTTCCAGTAAACACATTTCGTCAAATCTGCTTTCGTAGGTGCTGCAAAGTAAATAAAGGATAATTCTCTTTTACATACTCACAGCTACCGTCATATTACTCGTGATATATACGGTATTCTAATGTAAACAACAAAACAGTGACTAGGATTGTCATACCTGGTAGCTCTTCTACAATAACGAATACGGGTTTTCTTGGGAAATATTCCACTTTAACTTTAGCTGGGCGTTCTCAATGTATTTGGCTTACGATAATAAGAAAGACTGGACGGTAGCGGTATTAATTTAATTGCTCAATAGTAACTTTCGAAAATAATTCAAAAGCGTTTAACAATGAACTAATAGGGCATTAGGCATGTTTCGAAGTAGAATTTTAAGTATTCAAACTCAACATGGAAAATTACACCTTGTATAATAGTAGAAAGGGCGAGTATGCAATTTAAATTGATGGAGATCCGCAATCAATCAACGCCTCACTCAAATTCGGAATTTTTTTAACGATTACACGTGAACATTCTAACTTTTAGATTTCCCAATTTCCTACCGCTTTTTATGATAGTGAATTTGTGTGCATCCAAGTATATTTTGTTATAGAAATCTATCGCAAGACGCTATAATTTTTTTTTTTAAATAAACAAACAATCAGATGGTTGTTTCCTAATGTTGTAACACGATAATGGGTAGAAGCAAATGCGGAAACAGATGTAGAGGGAGCGACCGCAGTATCGTGGGTTATGCTTTTATGAACATAGTACTCATGTATGCCAAGTATGCTCAACCGCACTAAGTCTTGAACGTGTAAACACTAATAACTGCGGGTAACACAGCCGCTCCAGCATTTGCCACAGGTTCTTGTAACTGATATATCGCAACTGAAGTTATGTACGGGTATTACATTATATTATAACCATATTAATTTTCTGACGGTAATCCATAACGACTTGTTTGATATGAGCTAATTGTTCAGGTAAAAAATCAAATTGTTTCTTGTCACGATTAATGCTCTCGCTATTACTAATGAGGAAGTCTAAAAACAAATTGGGAAGTTATTAACCACCAATGTCGATGGAAAATGTTTTTTCTTTTTTTTTTTTGGATTACGTTAAATTGAGACAAGAACGGTACTAATTGTTTCTTCCGAATTTATTCTCGTAGCTTGGCACTTTGCTTATTTAAGTTCGCTGTTTATTATTTTACCCATAACACCATAATTTACATCATAATGGAAAGTAACGTGCTTTATTGTTCAAAAAGGGATTAAAACTAATAAAAGTTTCTTCGTAATATACAATTAGAAAAAAAGCAATAAACATAATCAGATCACTATATAGAGTTGCCATTCCAACATTCATAGCTCGACACAATCGCGCAGCCCCATTGAATTGCACAATATAAATGAGTAAAGTAATCGAATTCTCTTAATATATTAACTGGGCTATAAAACAAACAAAAAATTACTTTGTACAAATTTATCTATAAAAAAAAATTATTCAGTGATTTTGTAAATAAAATATGTAACGAAAAAATGCAGCAGTTGATACGATTACGGTTAGCAATGCGAAAAAAATTCGCAATATCTAGCCATTGAAACTTAGACCGTTCGTACTATATAAACGTATTGAAAGAAGTAAAAAATATTAACAATATATCGGGCACTTTTATCTTATCATATATCATGAATCACAAACGCTTTAGTCCATATGATTTTATCATATTACATACACTTGCAGTGTGGTAGTAGTGTTGCCTTGTATACGATATAAAATACTTCACTTTTATTTTGGAATCAAAAAATTCGTTTGAGACTTAAATTCCTCATTCTTCACATATGAGGCAAATATCGATGATCTCTTGACGAAAGAAAAGAATGTAACCAAGTCATCGCGCCAGCGAGTTTAACTTAGTATACTCACATTTGTTTTGTCGTCGCAATTTTATTATTTTGTAATGAAAATGTAACTATCAACCCATTTCAGCGAATAATTCACAATTGCTATTGAGCGCCTTACTCGAATGATCTAATAGCCGTACGCCACAATTATCATCCAGGTCTGTTTTATTGGTGTCCTCATCTACGAAGTCCTCTTCAACACGAATATACATATAAAAGGGACGTTGTTCTTTTAGCCAAGGTGAGAGAAAGATATAATCAACTGGCATACGTTTAACAAAATCTTTACATAATAAGCCCAGCAAAAGTTTACGCACTGAATGTGTAAAATAGCTTGGTATCTGAACTTGAGTATGTCGAATAATGGTGATGAGATTACAATTACCCTTCTCGTAGAAAGGGTATTGACCAACAAGCATAGTATACAGTATTACACCGAGAGACCAAATATCAGCTGGTTTTCCTTGATAAGTAGGGTTGGGACAAAGTAACTCGGGCGCCGTGTACATGGGACACCCAATCTTGTCGCTTAAAGTATCATCATTCAGGTTATGAAGAATCATCGAGCCTTCAAGTGATTCATATTGGAGCATTGTTCTAGAGCAAATAGAAAAAATATTTTTTTTAATCCAAAATACATAAGTAACAAACAATTCTTTATATTTATTTTCTCAGTTTCAAACAGTTTGATACCAAAAAAAACGGGAAATGCATATATCTTGATCTGACCCTGACGTTAATAATCTTGCAAGAGTGTACAGTAAGTATATTTTTCTGCAGCTGCGAAGACATATGAAAAAATAAAGAAAATAGTAACTATACATATATATTAATTCTGCTACTTCGCTGGGAGAAACTCCTATATGTACTCAAAGGAGTTTTGAAAAATATTACAAACATACTGAATTTTAATGCATTAATAAGTCAGTTACCTGCCACCGTCAAGTATTGATGTCGACATATGATGCAAAAAATGGGCACTTCCATGCCCACAATCACAATTAGTTTGAACTGTTTAAATCATAGATTATTATAGTTGTTTCGAGCAAATATACGTCAGTGAATTGATCAGAAACACGTCTTCCGACTGTTTTAAAAAAGAATAACAAACTTACTTTTGCGAATTTTAGGACTACATGTTGAACAAGTAAAAAATAACTTGTCATGTCGACAACCCATTTCCAAATTCCCGTGTGAATTCCACCAGATGTTATGGAAAGAAAGCTTTCAATAAACTAATTCAATCGCTCCCAGATATATATATATATATATATATATATATATATACTTTATATGTGTATAAGTATTTAGAGAATTACGGTATTTGATTGCAAAATTAAGCATAATACATCCCTAGAAAATTGGTTATTGGACAGACGTTTTCTCACCATCGTCATCACTTCTTTATTGGGAATTACGCCGGGCTGATGTAATTTTTCAGTTTCGTTTATAAGCGCTTTTTAATTTCGATAAATCATCGGCTCGATTTATCTGATTTCCGAAACATATGTGAAGATTTTTGTAACAAAATTTTTAGAATAAGCTTAACACTTTAACGACAAAAGGCATTAATTTTAACTAGTAAAAAGAATATTTAAATTTGAAATCGAATTCCCTTTTCTACATCAGACTTAATTATCACAATTAAGCAGATAAATAAGCCTTAATATATTCTAATATCCATACTGATCAAGAGTACATACTTTAACGCACCAACAGGTATCTCTACGCGTGACAAGCCTAGTTTATCTGAAGATGAATATAGTTCTTTTAATAGTAAATTTATGTGCTTGTTTCGCAGCAACTAAAAATATTTTTAACGTTGTTTCTGAGGCATAATGAAAACAATTATTCGGAAACCAGTTGGTAAATAAAAGACACCAATTATTTATTGTCGAAAAAAAAAAAAAAAGAAAAAACAAAAAAGAGTATAAAGGACGTGATATTTCCCCAATATATTCGAAGAAACAAAAATTAGATGAGGATCGTGTACAGTGCGTAAAAAATCTATAAGCTGTACAGCTGCATATAGCAGCTTTTGTAAGTACTAACGTAGTTGACCCCCAAATTTTTTTCAATGTGACTTTGTGTTGATAGCAAATACAATTTTTTGATCTTTATATATCCGTGTGCATGTATATATATATATATATATATATATATATAACAGTTAATTTCAAAATTACAAATATGTACTTGCATTATACACATATATATCTATATATGTGAGAGCGCGCTCAATGTTATTTTATATATAAACCCTCAAGTCGAATTCATTTCCTTTTTTTTTAATTGTGGACGTTGTTATTAGCAACGCCGAGCTAGTCATGCACATGTGTGATGTAAAAATCTGCTTGAAAATTTATGTATGCATACACTTGTGTGCCTGCCGATACAAAACGAAGGTATACACAGGTCATTCAGTATTACTACTCAGCGATAGGAGCGGTTGCTAGAATAATACAATTGATAAAAATTTCAATAGCTTATAAAAATACATACACCAATACACAATTTTCTATGATGCAATACATATTTTGATATTGACAATGTACAAAATCAGTATACGCGGATACATCCTCGATAAAAATATGCAAAAATAACATTAAAACCACATTTTTTAAATATTTGAATCATCACAAAAATAAATTTAGAAATCATTAAATTTCGAAAAAGAGAAGGATTATTAGTATTTTACTTATCTATTTATATGCTACTTCACAAGATTAATATAAAATAATTTTAAAGCGTTAACATTTAATTAAGTTTATACTTTCAGAATAAGATTGCAGTTTGGCTAAAGTCGAATATTTCAGTATCAACAACACATCTATGAAACCCATATTTTGCAAGAATTATACTTTTTGTTGCTTACCTAGCATTATTAACAAAATAAAAACGTTTCAATTTTAAATCGCGTAATATAACACCGTTGTGATGACAAGTCCGCACGGTTTCGCAAATTTGATAAAAAAGCGCTCGTGCTTCTTTCTCACACAGGCGTCGTTTATTTCTAATATATGTATGCAGATCTTCATAGACAAGTTTTGAAGATAAAATCACGTACGTACGTTGATTATTTAAAGGTAAAATATCCTTTACAGGACGGATAAGTTGATGGCCGTAAAGATAACTTTGACATTGTTGATTTTTTTGATGCTGCAGCGCAAAATATGCCTTCTGAACTTTATCAAGTGGTTCATTAATGATTTTGCATAGATATTGTTCACCTGAAAATACATCTGTGCACTTTAAATTCGTGGTCAAGTCAATTAAGTGCCTGTACGTTGGTGTATTTGAATTTGCAGGAACTGTTTCTTTGGCTGGTTGAGTATAAATTATATAACGATCTTTGATGAAATTAACATTTGTTACATCCCCCTCGTGATCCAAATGCAATGATTGCAACTCGCACGTTTTTCCTGGCGTGCTGAGTTTTTGGTGAATGGACTGTAACATTGCAGGATCGAGAGTACTTTTCTTAGGGGTCGAAAGTGGAGATGTTTCTAAATTGTGACATGACGTAGGACCACGGATGGCATCTGATGTTGAACGACTAGTTGGAGAAGAAGCAACAATCTCAACGCCAACAGATGTTATCACAGAAGTCGATGAAGATAATTCCTTTTTGTTTACTGTTACTGTACTTGTGGAAGACGAAGATTCTGAATTAACAGACGGTATCACGTTTGAAGTATTTGCAGCATCCATCTTTTCTCCATTTAATACAACTGCAATTCGTTTATTATCCATTCAATTGCTTTTACTTCCTTTTAGGCACATGGGATACAGTTGCGACCTTCTCTTGTATTTGCAAAAATTATTTTACTTCTCCGCACTTATTTCTGAATTCGAGGATAAAGTCTAATGAAAAATGAAAATATTCTTACGAAATCATCAAAGCACTTGAAAAAGCAACACGCGGATACCTCTGCACAAATCAGTTTTACGAACACAACCACACAACAAGAAAGAAACAAATATATAGGCAAAAATACTACTGCTACTTCAGTAAAGAAAGCGATAAAGATACCGTGCGTACGCATTTAAAAGGCGTAAATTTTAACTTTTCTTAAATATATTGCTACTAATTGCTGTTTTATTGTTGTTGCTTTTAAGACGCTCGCTTTTATTGTAATTTAATTTTATACTTTAATTAATTATATGTAAAAGTACTTATTATGTGTTAATAGTTTTCTTTTCAGTATGTACGTATATTATTCCACACAAACTCTCGCTGTAAAAAATTTACATCACTTATTAGTATTCAAAGCACACTGAGCGGGAACTCTGCAAAATTCGTTTTTGATTCTCTTGCGCTTTGGGCTCATTTCATAAGAAATACGCAGCAAAGTAAATTGTAATCTCGAAAATAGATTTTTAGTTTCTCCGACCACTTTTATAGATAAGAAATACTGCTTTTGTAGATAAAAATGTTGCTCTTTTAGATGGGAAATGCTGATTTCATAGATAAATTGTTTGAACTAATATACATATACAATTTTTCATTAACTAATTGAAACAACGTCATTTATATACATATATATATATTTTTGGTATGTTGAATGGAGATGGACTAAGTCAATAGATTTGTGGCTTATATGTCCAGATAATAAACTGTCGTAATTTTTGGTCACAATTATGTACAAAACGTAACAAAAAAAAAGGGCGGCAGTAATAACTGGAGCCAGCATGTTAAGTATAATTGTGTGTGTGCGTAATTGTGCTTGTTGAGTGCTTGAAAGTCAAACAGTGTTGCAAACTTTGGCTGAAAACGAAAAGGAATGCTATGGTAATAGAAGATGATTGAACGCAAAAAAAAAAAGAAAGAAAAGGAAAATGGAATGGCGTAAATTTTTTGCTGCAAAAAGATCGAGGAGACAGCCATATAACTTGAAGAAGCTAAAGGAATCTCTAATGCCATCAAGCCTGTGACATCTGAAGATTAGATGCTCAGCAGACTCAACAACATTGCAAACTTTGCAAACATCACATGGTATAGCACGATTCATTTTTAAATAAACTTTGTCATAAGTGTGACCACTCATGAGTCCATAGAGAATTTTGATTTCTCAGGAATTAAAAGAAGATACAGAAAAGGATTTGAATTGAAATGTGGGATTTAATTTATAGAAAAGGCGATTGGATTAACGCGCGCGATCTCTTTAATTTCGTCGTTTAGCAGTTGAAGGATGTGGTTGCGAATTGTCCGAATTGCTTAATTGGGAGTGTATTTAATGGACAAAATTGTCCCATCAACACAAGCTCGCCCTGCATGAAGGTCGGCGTTTACATTAAAAAAAAAGCCGCAGGCCGCAGTGGCCAGGTACCCAAACGAGGTGACAGTCAACCACTTGACATGCAACATTTTATGAATATCAAACATATTGAGTCTCCGCATCTCTTTTATTTATTAGAAGTATAGCTAACCTGCTGTCAGAAAAAATAACAAATCTTCTGATACCATCGGAGATTACAACCTTACTAGCATGTTGAATGGCGAGCAACTCAATAAAAGTTGAGGAAAGATCCTCCGCCACTTTGACTCGATGTACTGTTTTAGATAGATGTTTCACGACCGAGAAGCCAGATACATTATGTCCGACGGAACCGTCGGTGGCACATATATCGTAGCCGTTGTTGTAATAAAAAACGACCTTTTCTTGGCATAACATCCTCATACAAGAGAAGTTGACATTTTGTTTTGAGGTAGAGATCGATTCGAGAATGTTTATGAAGACTCTGCATTTGCTGGTAATGAAATTCAAGGGAGGAATTGAATCTAACTTATCAAAAATATGACGAAGTTTTTGATAGCAAAAAGTATAGCTGCAAGTGACAGTATTACTGAGATATATAATAATTTCCTGAAAAAAGAAAGGATTTATCATCTTGACTTTAATTAACTCTTTGGCAGTGCAAAAAAAGTGCTCTTTCGGAAACCGGCCATTCACTAGATATGACATTGAGAATATGTTGAGGAGTTGAGGGGGTCAGTCCAGTAAAACGCTTCAACATTCGGTTTTCAAATGCTTATATACGTTTCTCGATATATGTTGGGAAACTGCAACATGTGGAATGTGCAAATTCAATTTTGGACCTGACTAGAGATTTGTAAACGGTCAAAGCATTTTTGGGAGGCAAGACTGCCTGATTGTTTGTCATGAGTTTGATGATGTTGCATCCAGACTGACAGTCTTAGAACGCCTTCTCATAATGCCCACGAAGGGTTAAGCTGTCATTTAAAATTCTCCCAAGAAATCGAAGAGATTTCACCTGATTAACTAGGGTACATTTGATAAGAAGTCTGATTTCACGTTTAGAACCTTTGGCAAAATAAGTAGTATTTGTTTTGCTGGGGTTAAAATATAAATTAAGATCAGCGCATGCATCGAAAAACAAGTTCGCTTTCATCGAGAGGTTATTGACAGCAGCTGAAAAAGGTGAGTCCGCAGATGCAATTAGGAAATCATCTGCATATTGAAAAATATGAGTTTTGTCATCTTGAAGATCATGCAAAGAAGCTGCGTATAAATTGAAGAGTATGGGGCTTAAACGACTGCCTTGTGAGATACCACCACATATTTCAACTTTTTCGGTACCCATCACCAACACACGCTTGGATAAAAAATTAAGTATCCACAGCCGCATTTGAAGAGGAATCGAAAAGTTTAAGAGAACTCTACCAAGCGTAATCAAGTTGACACAATCATAGGGTTTGCTGATGTCCAGGGAGAGCAGGACAACCATATTCCCTGCTCTTTTTAAGCTGACTATGAGAAAACACAGTTCATTAACGCACATATTCGTAGATTTGCGATTTTGATAGGCGTAAGAATGAGCTGGAATAATGTTCTCAGTTTTCAGGAAAGCAGTTAGTCTCTCCTTAACCATGAGGTTGGTAGTTTTTATGAATACAGATATCAGTGAAATTGGTCTGAAGCTATTTAAATCATTAAACTCTTTATCTGGCTTAGGAATGGGAACTATTTTGATGCATCGCAAATCTGAGGGTATAAAGTTGATGGACCAGCAGTTGTTAACTGCATGCAAAAGAATACTGAGGCTTCCTCCAGACAGCGCTCTGAGCATGTCATACTTGACTCCATCACAACCTGCAACAGTAGCTCTCTTTCTGGAATGTAAAACATACATTAGCTCATGCAATGAAAAGGGTGTGTTGCTGAGACTCCTAAAAGTAATTGAAGGTATTGTAATCGGATTGACACTTGGAATGTAGCCTTTGAGCATATCCAAATATTTTTTATTATCATGGTCATTTCATACAGCACAACCGCTTAATTTTCGACTAGAATGTCGATGACCATTGATATAATTCCAGAAAGAACGTGGGTTGCCGTTATCACATAAATCTTTAATCGCGATAGCTCTATGTGTCCTTTTCGCCTTTCTAACTGCAGACCTCCATTCTTTCAGTGTCTTCATATACTCAATGTAGTTGGCTGGATTGGCATATTTACTCATTTCTTTCTTGCAGCTTGGTATTTGCGGAAATGTACTGACAGGGAAGATTTACACCAAGGTTTAGGTGAGAGGGACTCAATGTCAAGAAAGTTGGATCTAGCAGACCTGATCACAGACTGAAAGGCACTTTGAATTGATGATAAATCAGAAGGAAGATCAACTTTAGACACGCCGTCCATAAGGGAGTTGCGTGAAATGAAATTTTCTGTTTTCTTAACGGAAAAAATGGGAGAATGATGACCAATGGAAACGTTGGACGTGTTTCAGTTGAAAGATAAAATGGTTGAATTTGAGAAAATTAGATCCAAGACACTGCTCGCCGTGCGACCACTCCGGTTACAGTGAAAGGTAGTATTGACATCATATAAGATACTGAAACTGCTTGAACTGATGGCATTTACAAGGATCTTGCCTTTGTTGGTCGAGAATTCACCGCCATACAAGCAATGTCTTGCACTGAAATCTCCAGCTTGAATCGCATTTTGTTCACCGTCAAGAAAGTCACATAATCTCTGAATCTCATCACGAAAGCTTTGCACATCGAGACTGGGTGGAAAGTAGCATGATGCTATGAGAAGAAACGCTTTCAGGTTCATGGTTTTGATGATGACAATGTCAACAGCAGAGTTTTAGGGAATACGTTTGAAATTGACACCTTTCTTAACTAATATACTAACACCGCCATAGCCATCATTTCGGCACTTGGTAGCTGACGCATAATTCGAAACTTTAACTTCAAAACAATTTTCATCTTTCAGAAAAACTTCACTTAAGATGCAGAAATCAACCTTTTTTGAGTTTAAGTAAAAATCCAAAACGATAGGTTACGTCGGACACTTCGAATATTATATTGTAAAAAGGATATCATGTTAAAACTTGAGAAAGAACCCCGGCGGATTTCCTCGTAGTACTGGGTGCTTGAACGTGGCAAGAAATGGCACAAACAGACATTTTTTCTTCAAATTCTTTTAAAAGATTATGAGGGATCATTGGACGGATACTTTCTTGAATCGCGAGAATTAATCTTTCAAGTTCTGAGGACCGCAAATAGTTGTTTCAAATTATCGGACGCCGAAGACTTGTTCCAGACGGCTTGGGCGGTGAATTGAGAGAAGGTGGGTGAACTGAGAGGAGATTTGGAAGGAACCGGTTTCCTTTTGACGACAGCATTATATTTATTGGGCGAAATTGCAGACGTGTTCGCAAGTGGAGGGAAATTGCCGTCATAGGTGATATCATCGAGACATTCGAAATAATTTGCGGAAAAATTCTCTTTTACCTCTTTATACGAGAGATTTTTAATTGCCATGATCCTGTTGATATTTGATTCGAGGTCCCTGTTATGGCAACAACTATTGAGAGTGTTGTGCTCACCTGAACTACAGGACAAGCACTTCAGCGTCTCACAGTTCACACACTTCGGGGACAGTTAAGGCACCTGCTCTCTTTAGCTTTGAAGAATTTTGACACGTGACCATATCTATCGCACTTAAAGCATTGCTTTAAAGTGGATACAAAGTACTCAACCGACAAATAACAATAATTATATACAACAATTTTGATGCTGGTCATGGGAATAAACTCATCTTTGTTGTTGGGATTTCTTCTTTGAAAACGGACAGCGGACTTAATCGGAATATCGCATACAGCGTTTTTAATTATATCATCGACGCTGTATGTGCATGAGATGTTTCAAATGACTCCAAATCTCCCAGTGAAGGACCTCGGTATGTACGCCTTTAAATTCTTTTTAGTCAATTCATTATTCGTAACAAAACTGTTGGCATTGGCAGCAGAGTTGCAAAGCAGTTTGGTTCTGCCCCTGCTGACAACTTTTAATTCTTGTAAGCCGTACATGTTGAAGTCCTTCAAGTAATCATAAAAATAGAGATTTGAGTTAATATTGATGCGATTTCCTTCTGTGTCTGCGCACATTTGGACAAAAATGGCGAAATTCCACTTCGAAAGGCAATCGTACAAATTGATCTCATTTGGGTTGGCCCTAGCACCCAAATCAGAGGGTTTGTCGAATGCCGGTTTACTAGGCCTAATTGAAACATTTGCGTTATCCTCTCCATTGGGAGATGAAAGAAGGTTATTCTCACCCATCCTCGATCTCTTGGTGCGCCCAGTGGTATTCATATAAAAATCTTAAAAACAGTCTCTATTTGTAGTTATAAGATCAGACCCAGTCTCCATAGAGCGATGGGCTGATGTTGTTTTGGTTGTTATCACCGGGAACACCAAAAAAAAGAAAAGATCACAACGAAAAAACAAAAAAATTAATATGCATATATTGCTTTTTAATTTTTCTCTCACGAGAGACTCCTCTTCCTTCCCTCCTTTTCTTCCTTTAAATTGTTTTCTTTGGTTATTTTATTACTTTATTAAATCCCTTTTTTATTTTTTTTCACTAACACCGATAAAACACAAAACTTATCCAGCTGCCGTTTGCAGAGATGACGTGTTGTATGAAGTGTGAATGAAATGCAAATGACGTCATTTATATACATAAATAGAATAATAATAGTATCTATAAGGACGGTTATATTGTTCATATATAAAAAATTGTATTTTCTCTTTTAACCTTAAAAATTTTGATTTTGATTTCTGAACTTGCAATAACTAAATATATCCATGTAGAAAAAGCTTTATATTAGTGCTACCAGATCGTATTATAGTAAGTGTTTTATCAACAAAGCGCTACTAACTTGTCATTTACATCATTCAATGATAGATTTAGTTTAAAAAAAATTTATTTACAACTTGTGAAACCTATGTTTATGCACATATAAACCTTTTAGATAGAATGTTTGAAGAGCATTCAGATAAAGAATATAAATGCGTGAATTTCGATGAAAGGTTGAATAAACGAAAGATTAAAATCAATGATTGTGAGCATTTGCAAATGAAACAAAAGTTTACGTTTATTATCTGAACATATAAGCCACAAATCTATTGGCTTAGTCCATCTCCGTTCAACATACCAAAAAAAAAAAAAAAAGTTTATGTAGAAAGCGAGCGTTTTAACTTCATTAAAAATTTATTTAAATAATGTTTAATTTTTAATTATAACCAAGTAACAAAAGGAGGAGAAATTAGCGACCGGCAATCTACAACCGCTCATGTGTTTATATACCAATCCGGCGTAATTTTGTTGTCAACGAAAAAATAAGAGACAATGGCATTGTCTTCGACACAAGCAGAGTTCATGTCATTAATCGCTGCTATCCAAGAATCGGTTTGTAGAAACGCGTGGACACTTAATGTGACCCTAAAAATAAAAAAAGTATGCTGTTAAATCGCGGCAGCAAGACCGCTTTACACGTTGCTCTCAATAATAATTATTCATCAAAAACGAAACACGTGGGTATTAAAGCCAAATTTATTCGAAAGAAAATCGATATTAAAGAAGTGGCTCTCAACTTAAACTAAGAAATAAATGGATTTTATACAAGAGTATCCTCCAACCTATTTGGACTTACCGTTTACAATTTGATCGATCTAAGACTTTCCATCTCCTTGTTAATAACCCATGCTTTGTTAGCAAAAAGATTACTCATGGTCACCTGGAAATTCAACGCATTTCTTCAAAATATCTTGTTAGACTGAGTAAAAGTATAAATCTGTCGATAATATCTCTTATAGATGAATCCAATAAGATAAGAAGGTTGAAAAGATTTTATAACGTTTGGTTGTATATTGTAATATTTCTTACAGATACAACCCTGCAGTTGTGGTATTGTAATTTTAATTGTTAAAGAAATGATTGTGTTGTGATTTTTTTCTTGTCCGAGAAGGGGAGGAGAGAGAGTGATGGCGAATCTTTAAAGAAAAGTTGGTCGGACTTATTCTTAAATTCTAAGGTGAACAGAAAATTTTATACAAGTAAAAATAATATACTGTTACATATAAATGAAGATATTGGGATAAATATAATTGTGAAATTCAAAGAAAATCGCATTCGTTTGAATCTTTATACATACATACATTGCAGCGATCTATGTAAAAAAACACAAAAAAAAAAAAAATATATATATATATATTTGCCCTCTTCAATAAATTACAATAAAAAGACATTAGTTAGGAAACATTCAGTATATAAAAAAAGGATAGGCGAACGTTAACGAGACAAGTGCTGAGGTACACGACGAGTTTAAAACATCTAAAAGTCATGACATGCATTTAAATATTTTTAATAAAAATACTGCTATTTGAACGCTTGTTTGCTGCGAGAAATTTTAGCTATTTTAAAACAAAAAATGGGCTTTAAATGTAAAGCATAAGAAACTGTAAATGAACGCTAACGTTAATCTCCACGTTTATTTAAAATTAAATGTAAAGCGTAATGTTAAAATAAGAAGTATTTGTGTAAACACATCTCGTAGCCACGCAAAGTGACTACCAATTACGTACCTACACATATATTCATACTTCTGATAATAGAGAGGAAAGAAAAAAAGTATAAAGTATGTTGTATGATAATATCGAAAGCAAGAGATTAAAAAGATGGTTGCCAGAGTTTTGAAAAGGAACCTTAACTCTGCAAAAACAATTCCTGCAACGATTATAAGTGGTAAATCACTTCTAATTGTTGTAACATAAGAGACTCTTGAATAAATCAGTTGATTTCATTTGTCATGGTGACATCTTCAACTATATACAGCATATTCATCATCCATAATATCAAAATTTCAGCAACACACAGCTGACATGTTAGGTTTTTGTTTTTATTGTATTTATTTTAAACATATATCGTGCATATATATAATTTGTTTAATACATAAGTAATCATATATGTACACTTGCAAGTTATTTTTTGAGCTCCCTTCTTATTATTATATTGTCATTAATATATTTTCTGTGCTATTAAAAGCAATATGAATTAAACAAAATAAATACAAAATGTATTCAAGTTTTTAGTTCGGGTCTTCCCATTACAAATCGTGGGGCGAAGGAGGGTAGAGGTCGGATAGGGTTTAGAATGGCCCACAGCTTATGATCTGTCCGTTCGGTAAGATTCATCCGTCCGTTTATTCCTACAAAGGCGTAGTACGTGTATTTCTTTTAGATGTATCCGCCAGGGTTGTGTCCGAGAAAAGTTTAAAATACCCCATATCTCATGAAAGAGCTAGCTCAGTAAAGATACGTGCCCCCATCTCTATAACCTCCAATCCTCTTAAAGTGGCACCTAAATGTGGCCCTATAAATAATTAAGTCCGTCCGTAATCAAGTTAGACAAACTGCGAGGGCTTACAGACTTACAATATTACAACATCGTATACTGGATTTCCTATTTTAATATTAATTTACTTTTGTTCCTCAAATTGTAACATTGAATTTTCTAAATGTATAAAGTTTCCTTCTACTTAAGCACCGTATCTATTATTTGTTTTATTACTCCCACCTTGGTATAATATTTATTTATTACCTTCATGGGTATATTGTAAATTAAATATATAGTAAAAACAATTATTGTGGTAATTTGCTTAGCTTTTCACATAACTCTTTCATATATTGTGTCAATTCAAAATTCGTGTATTATTTACTTACAAATATTGAAAAATAATAATCCGCTTTATAACACATTACTTGAAGTAAGTATTGAAAGACAGTTATTCTGCTTATAACACGGCAAGTTCGTTCGAGATTGTACGAAAATGCTCGTACAACGTGCTCGTATGACCCTATATAACGCGTTATCTTTTTGTTATTTTGTTTACTTAAGAACATATCTCTTTGTTCGTATGTATTAATTGAAATTTCAAGCCAAAGGTACTCCCTTTTTAAGCCTGCGTTATCGTCGTTTACTTCTTACCAATAATATTTCTAAACAAAAACTATCATCAATTTCCGAAATTCTTAAAATTGCATACTTGGGGAGGAGTAACCGTTTTGATTTTTTTTTGTGAATCACTTACAGCTAATTACTGTTTTACGTTATTTCGATATGCAATGCTAAAATTCTTGTACATGGCAACGCTAAATATATTTGCTTCTCAAAAACTGGGAATAAACATTTCTCTGTATGCTAAGACGTGCAATTAACGTGATCAAGGTTCAACACAAATTCAAATTAAAGGCAAACTGTCAAATGTTAAAATTTAAGTTATTCAAAAAATGATAAACCTATCTCCAAGATACCAATTGCTGATAAGGGTACAGTAGTGGACTGCAAACAAATGCAAAAAAAAATGTGAACAGTATCGATCGCAGTTTCCTTGTTGATTATCGCAATTCCGTATCGCTCGCCGTTTGCTCTTCCTTATTATGAACGCGTTGTTGCGTTTGTTTGTTTTTTTTTTTGATCCACTCGGTATAGGTCGAAAAGTTTTCGTACGCCCAACAGTAAGATTTGCTTTAAAGATTTATGACAAATTTAAAGTAAAAGCCGATGAGAAAGTAAATACAGTGCGAGAGCTAATTTTACGTTTAGGTCTTATAGCATTCGCTGTTGTCTTAATAATATGGACAGCCGTATTTATGTATGTGGCATTCTATTATGCTTACATGCCTCCGATCTCTCATACACGCCCCGTGTACATGCAGTTCAAGTAAAGTGATTAAATTTGCTTTCTTCCTTATCTTATCTCTTTTTTTCATTTTTTAAAGGACATGTATAGACACAAGTACACCATGCACATTCCCTCATGCACACGTTTCGCTAACTAAGAAGCAACAATTGTTGATGGTGGGGCAAGCGTATCGTGTACTTATTAACATTGATATGCCCGAATCTCCGCAAAATCTCGATTTGGGCATGTTTATGGTATGTGCCGAAGTGCGTGACTTTGAATCGATGCTACGAGGTCATTCCTGTCGTTCAGCTATGTTAAGATATCGTTCTCCACTTATACGCACCATTTCTACTTGGGCACTAAGTCCACTGTTTGTGCTGGGTCTAAAAGAAGAATATCAACAAGTATCAGTTGAGATATTTCCACAATATCTAGAGCAGCATCAACATCCAATTACTGACGTCTACGTGGAAATACAATCCCAGAAAATAGAATTCTACGCAGTGTCTCTCCATATTATAGCAGACTTCGCGGGCATCCGCTATATAATGTACAATTGGCCTATCTTCTCAGCTATTATCGGTAAGTAAATAAAAGTGTATGTTTTCTCTTAACTTCGTTTTGTCCTTTTTTTTCAGCCATTAGCACAAACTTATTTTTCATATTGATGATATTTCTGCTTAGTTGGTATCATTGGTCAGATGCCAGATGGTTGCGGAGCTTGCAACTCAAATATAATGGGATCACCGCTACTTTACAGCACTCTGCCAGCAAAGCTTTGTTATCATCGAAAAGTGTAAGTTTGCAGGATGAAGAAGAACTTGGCTTTCCCGACGACGACAAGTCGCATATATCAGATATCGATGAATATAACGATAAAGAAGAAGAAAAGGAGACATTCTTAGGCCGAAAAGATATATCTAAAGAGTCATTTTGAGATCACCAATAAAATCCTTAACTAGCAACTGAAGATTACAGAGTTCAAGAAGAAAAAAAGAGTGCAAACATGTATAAGTAATCTAGAAATAACTTAAATAACTATAAAACAAATATTTACGCACAAATGATAATTTATATAAAATTTTCTTTTCACCATCAGTTGCGTTATCAAACTAACCATCGAGTTAGCAAATGTCTTATAGAAACATTTATTAGCAATAAACCATAATTGACTGATGTCATTGTAAAACAGTTATTTTAAAGTTGGATTATGAACTTTATAAATCACTCACGTGTATCAAGTCTAAAGCATCATTAATTTTTTCAGTTTGCAACAAATTCATATACCTGACTCATGTATTCCTCTACCAATCGAGACACATCTAATGGTAAAGGCAAAGCCCACAACAACCAAAGTCCTAGCCCTTGTAGGTAACCTGCATCGTTCGTCAGCCTTTATAAAAGCGTGTAATTATAGCTTTATATTTCTTCACATTGATACCAACTTTCATCATCGTTTCACTATTCAATAAATCATTGGGCGAAACATGCGAAGCGTTAAAATGATTTTTGAAAACCATTTTAAACCAAATCGAGTTTAGTAGTCATACGTACTGAAGAAGAAGAGTACTTGGGTGCATGGGCCGCTTTCCAACACATTTTCCATATGTCACCGAAAGCCCAAGGCTCTTCAATTTGTATGCCAATTCATTATTTAGATTCCCCAAAATCGGTTATACCTTCATTCATTGTCTTTATATAAAAACAGTGAGGTGAACTACATAAGATGGCCGCTCCCAAAGACTATCCTCTACGCACTTGGCTAATGGAATCATATGACAACCTTAAAAAAATTCACAAATTCGACTTGAATGAAGCCATAGGCACTTTTAGATATTTTCTCACGATGTTTTGCAGCATCTCTTCTTAAGAGTAATAGTACAATTTACTCAAAGAATTTGAAGAGTTGTACGACAATAACTGTCTGGGCAATATGGACATTTCAAGATATTTATGCACTTTGAAATCGCAATTATTATACATTATGACAATTCCAGCTAGTCAAACTGCAGATATAGTTAAAAATTGAATGGGTGGCAAATATCTACAATAACTTTCAAACACATTATACTCAATTATATTGATTACGTCAGAAAGTAACCTAGAGCAAAACAAAAGTTTTAGACAAATTCTTCATTTTTCGTCGATATGAAATTTACACATAGAGAATTTTTTAGAGCAATAGGAAAATGCCAACCGAACTGATTTTGATTACGGTTCGCCAAAGAACAATGCAACTTTCCTGTACTTTGTTACAAACATAACAAAAAAAATATATAATCACTTGTTAATGTTCTACATAAGATAATCTATAATGCTTTGGTATTGTCACACTTCAAAAATACAGTTCAACTGATAGGTTATGTAGACAGACTTTATTCATAAAAATAAGTCAAGGAAAAAGTCAGAAGAGGAGGCGATAGTTGAGCATCACATGTCCTTTGAAGCTACACTGCAACTTTTTTGACTTTTTTGTATAATTAAAAAAACAGTTGAGATATTAAAACTTGCAAATAATTCGTTTTACTTTAGAATATCACATCGATCAAGACGAGGCATCTTCGCAGGCTTATCAAAAAATTCCAGGTAGTTGTGATACAGATGCTGTATCAAAGTCGACGGCGCGCAAGTGATTTTTCCGTTTCCGATCCAAATTACGGTATTAATGACGCAACCTGTTCTGACAAAATTTTTTAACAAATTTTGAAAAATCGACACACCGACACACTTTGATTAAGGAACAGTTTTGAACTGTATATAGAAGACTGAAGTTAAAGACAAGCTTCATACACGAGTATAGCATGAATTAGCATTAACAAAATTAATGCATCGGATTTCCAAATCCGATTTTTTACACATATTTAGAATGCCAGAATATACAATGACGTTTGTCGGGAGATTCCGAAAAAGTAAATAGAAATCGTCGTAAGTTTCGTCACAATATTACGAAAGCTAGCATGTTGCACACAAGAATACAAACAAGACAAACAAGATGTTGGGAAGGCTTAAAAGGTTTTTCTTGAATTGACCCGTATAATAAGGCGAGAATCTATGCCAAGGCCACCTGGCTATTGTATACGTCCGCACAAACTTAATATACTTGATATATTTTTGCCACAAGTGATGTAGGATATAAATGTAGTGTACATTTATTTTTATTTGAACATTTCCCTTTATAATGCTGTAGTTTGTTTTGAGCAAGATGAACGTTGACAATATTGAATAATGGCTGTGAACGTTTCCGCATATTTCAGAAACTAAAATTTCAGTACGTACTTCTCTAGATTAAGAATTTATTAGAGTTTAACTCAACAAATGGTAATCTACGACAGAAAACTGTACGCATCAGAGTATATAAATACACATACGTACTTACATATACATATATATACAATTTTAATGTATTTGCAATCGCGTCATTCGCGTTGTCTCAGTATGCTAGTTATGAAAAATTCGCCTGCTTTATAAGAACTGCGCACTAGCGGTCCGCTGGCTGTATAAAGAAAACCTAACACATTACCTCGTTCTTCCCAGTGTTTAAACTTTTCTGGTGTTACGTATTCGATCACTTTTAGGTGCCTCCTCGTGGGTTGCATATATTGTCCAAGTGTTAAGCACTCAACGCCAGCCTCACGTAAATCTTGCATCGTTTGTTCTATTTCTTCGTCCGTTTCTCCTAGCCCTAACATTATGGAACTTTTTGTGATGAGGTTTTTATTAAATCGTTTAGCCTCCTTCAACACATGCAGCGTTTGACGATAATTCGCTCGTCTGTCTCGTACATAGGGTGTCAACTTTTCCACTGTTTCAATGTTATGCGCATAAACATCTAAACCTGAGTTGGCTATAATTTCTACGCAGCGCAATTCCCCTCTAAAATCAGGTACTAAACATTCCACAAAAATGTTAGGGTTGCTGCAGAAAACAACGTTATTACGCATATGCTTTCACATTAATTTACATATGGCAATTCCAACCGTAATTTTATTTCCTTTACAGTTTCAGCAATATGTTGGGACCCACCGTCTGATAAATCATCCCGATCGACAGAAGTTAGAACAATATAATCTAATCCCCAAGACGCTATCGCTTTCGCCGTGTTTGTAGGTTCTAAAGGATCAAGTGGCTGAGGATTTCTTGAAGTTTTCACTGAACAAAACCGACAACCACGTGTGCATGTATCACCCATTAACTGATAAATAACTACATAACAATGACGGAAGATTAGGATATCTCGTTTACATACGTACCATAATTGTGGCTGTTTGTGTACCATGTTCTCCGCCACCCCAACATTCACCGATATTAGGACAACGTGCTTCTTCACAAACTGTTGCTAATTTTAATTCTTGCAATTGATTTTTTATTTTAGCAAAATTTTTGCCCATTGGTATCGTTGTTTTCAACCAAGGGGGCAAGCGCAAACGTCCATTTTCTCCTTTTTGTCGACGCAAATCACCGTCATATTCTTTCCATTCTTCCTTTGGTAGATCCGAATTTTGTACAAAATCTTGAAATGACGGACCTTTTGCTAGACGCTGGCGAATTTCCTCAATTTTATCCGGAGCAGCAACATTGAAGCTATGGCGCACGTTTAATAAAATATGTTGCTAAAATTTTACTACGTAAATACAGTTTAAGATATATGCAAAATAAAAAGATACCGTAACGACTGAATATTTTAGATCTTTTCCTCTAATCATGACACTCTCAAAACTTCAATTACTCTCTTATGAAATTTTTCTATAAGTACAGAAATCAACAAATATTCGAGACTTAATTCGAGACTAATATTCTAATTATCTGACAATTAGTAAAGTTATGACGATTGATCAGCTGTTTCATTATCAGATACGACAAAGTAGAGTTAGTTTTTATTTCAAGAGAAAAATGGCAGTACTGCCGTAGTGCTGTATTTAATATGTACAAGTTTTCATAATTAACCGGGATTGAATGTATTCTTTTCTTTTCAACACATTAGGTTCTTTATTTTTAATTTCACTAAAAAAATATATTATTTGCGATACAGAAAACAGCTAATCTATGTTTGGGTCTTTGGTACCGAGGTCTTTTATAATACATATGTTATTCAAACAAACATTATATAACTAAGATTATGACGAAAAGGTTGACAAATAAAAAATCCTTCTCACGAATATGAGGGTTTTAATGAAAACTAAGCATTCACATGAAAACAAGGTATTCTTTATTATTATTATGAAAATGGATGAAGAAGGGTATAGAGACGATTACAATAGTGATAACTTAAACTTTGTCGTTACGTAAATCTTTATTTTTTATGAGGATCGTGTAGGTGATGGTGTCCAAAATTATAGATGAACTTGAACCAAATTTCGCGTAATTTTTATATTCCATTGTTTTTAACGACTTATTTTCTTTATAAAAAAGGCTTACTGTTCGTGTGCACCCTTTGTAAGGCCGGTATGCAAAAAATATACCTACTTGTCCCGTGTTTGATACAGTTAAAGTTTAAAAGTTTTAAAGTTTAAATTACCGCTATGGATTAATTTTTGTGTGCGAAATTGTTCAAAAAATTGCTTCATCCTTTCAAATTTTTCCGTCACTTTAGTATAACGAAATGTTACTAGTGGTCACAAAAAAGGTGAGATCTTATCCATTTTGATGGCTTTCGTCTAGACGTCACAACATGTCAATGTAACAAGTTTTGTCAAAATATTATAAAAAATACAACGTCTAGGTTGGACGTAAAAATACACGGATAGGTATCAAATGGGCAGGCAAGTTTAGATAGATTCAGAATGCTTTTTATACACAAAATCTTTGAAAATCTTCTCTTTATACCGTTGCAATCTATATAATCTGTTATTATGAGCAGAAATGTCTAGTGATCTGCTCAAGCGTAGAGAATTAATATGTCGACCTGTTTGTAGTTACCAAATTTACAATTAAACGCCAGAAAACAAAAAACAAAACTTATCTTGTTGTCTCGCAGAAACATACGATTAATGATGCCCCAACTGCGTCGATCAAAATACGTTAATCTCACTCATTCATTTTATTGCATACGTTGATCTTCATTTCGATTTGCATTGATTGTCCGTCTCCCAATTTCCTAATTTATTTCGATGTGACCGTTGTTCTTGAGATTGATTTTCTCGTACTTTTCAGTATTGTCGAGTGTGTACTTCGACTTGTTGAACTAATATTTGGTTGTAGTTCTTGTGGCAATTTAAATCAATATAAATGAAAATTATTTATGTGATGAATGCTGCTAACTTATTTCTAATATTTTTCATAATTTATTTAATTATTTATTAACGATATTATTTTTCAAACTATAATAATCTTCCCGCTCATCGTTAGTAAATAAAACAAATTGTTAATATGTTAATATAATAGTACAATTTTCCAACAACTTTCTTCCTCATCTTGAAATTTCAGTGAGTCAACAAAAGATGATTTATTGATTAGTAGAGAATTTGCAACAAATTGGGGACTTTTGTCGACGGCTTTGCAATTAACATAGAGTATTACGTTCTAGCTGTAAATAAGCATAGAGTATTGCCATCATAAGATATTTTGCTAAAGCTCAATATAATAAAAAATTTTACTTCTGGCAGCACGAATAAAAATGGAAATTATTACATTTTATTATTATTAAATTATTTATGTAGCTAAGATGAATATTGTATGTAGCGGCATCAATCGAAACATAATAACTTTACCCATTTTCCTTGATTATTAGGTACAAGTCTCACTTTAATCGAATGCATAGATTCGTTGTTTTTGAATGATACGAGTTAGAATATACGGCAACCTATTCATTAAGCATAATAGCTTTTAGAAGCTATCAAGTTCTAGTAGTAAGTTTAAGCGATTGAAGTTTAAAACTGTAATAAAGAAAAATATATATATAGATAAAGTTTTTGATAAATCTGAAGTGATGGCTTTTCTGTAGCTATAAAAAATTTAACAAATCCGCTTTATCCACAAGATGCTCCCGCAAGGGTTTATTTTAAACTAGAAAGCATAAATGAGGTGAAAATCGTTTAGTACTAAAACCTGAAATCTAAATCAAAGCATTTTGCTGCAGGCAGCTTTGTTTATATAATGTTTGGAATGTAAGCTTTCAGTTATTATTATAATGCTAGATAAAACGCAGACACAATGATATAGTATAAAAAAAAATGGGAACGAAAATATTTCCTATCCACATTTTTATTACAACTTTTGTATATACCTTAAAATTAATTTTGTGGAAAGTTCGATAAATCCTTATTAATTTGTGTACAGAATTTTCCGTTAACAAATTAAAAATTCAAATTCAATTAGTGATGATAAGTTTACAATGCTTGCCAAAAGAAAAATTACATTATGACCAGTTGTCGTTCCATATAAAGATTGCAGGAATTACTTGTTATTTAACTTTATTTACTTTTGAGAGGAGATTGCGGTGACTTTGTCGTTGGATTTTTTAGAGACACAATGTATTTGAGTAGGTTCCTTTTCAGATATTAAAATTGGATGGACGTTGGCTCTATGTAAAGCCGTGCATAAATATTTTCTTTTTGGTTTTGTCTATTATGATCTATTATTCTGATTATAACAATTTTTTAGAATAATGAAATAAATTCTCAAATTAAAAAGAAAGAATTGAGCACTAGCAGCATAGACTATCAGTTCTATTATTTTATTGAAAAGAAAAGTAGATGTTGAGCCTAATAATTTTAATAAAGTAATATAATAAATTCTGTGAGAGAGACGCTGAGACATATTGTGTTCTGTAGTTGATTTCAGGATGTCAATAGGATTAGTTGTTCCGATGCGATTCTTCTAATAAAGGAAAAGTGCAGGCAGTCATCAAGAATGTGCTATATTGTGAAAATTTGTCCACAATTTAGAAAGAAGACTTCTTTAAAATCCATTCGTGTATTGAAATCATACCAAGGCGAATTCTCGAAAATATTTTTAATATTTATTTTCCTATTATTTGTTGGATATAATGGGGGAGTTAACAGAGGGATAGTGTTCACGATACTATTGTAGATTTGCTCCCATAATTTTCTTTTTAGCTTTTCTTCCACTGTATCCAACTTTTCCATGGTATTGTCTATAATTAGAGGTTTAGAAGCAACAAACTGCGCTGATCGATCAGCTTGCTCATTTTCTAATTAATTGATATGACTTTGGGCACAAAGCAAGTATGAGCAAGGTTCATAGTGTGAAGGAAAGCTCTGGCCTCGGTTGCGAAATTTGAAGCACTTTCGTGAAGCATATCATTAAGAAGAACTTGTTTTGAAGCACCTACCACGACGTAGGCAAATAGCTGATCATCAGATAGTCAGGTTTAAAGCCATTTTTATATAGGCGATGCCATTTTAAAGAATATGTGATTTTTTTTTACAGATTTAAATGTGAATTGAAGTATCGTAAATTGCCATATAAAACGGATATAGATATGTGAAAACTAAAGTATAATGCAAGGATCAGTAAAGGATACGAAATCTTTAAGAAAAGTGACAGCACAAGATCGTTTTTTGCTTGACGAGAAAAAATTGTGTTAGTTCTTAAGCTGTGTTATAATACGTACTGTGTTATAATACGGCTCATGTATTTTTTGCATTGGACTTTAATTTGTTAAAATTATCTTTTAATATACATTCGTGAAAGCTTTTTTAGCTTTTGATTTTTATTATTATTATTATTTTTAATTTTAGACTAATGAAATGAATTCTTAGACTAAAAAAAAGACATTGAGCACTAGCAACACAGGCTATCGGCTCTAATTAAAAAAAAAAATAAATAAAAAAAAAAATAAAATGTACATTAGATAGTGAGTTTTGTAGTATTAATAAAGTAATGTATAGAATTGATATTCTGTTCTGAAGCTGATTGCAAAATGTTCAAAGGGTTAATCGTTCCAAATGCAATACTTCTAGCCAAGGAAAAGTTGAGGCAGTCGCAGAGAATGTGCTTTATACTAAGAGTTTGTCCACAACAGCAGATTGGGGAAGAAGACTTCTTCAGGATTCATTGGTGAGTTGCAATTGTATGACCAAGGCGAATTCTCGAGAATGTTTGGATCTTGGTTTTCTCAACATTTGTTGGATATAGAGGTGGAGTTAATTGAGGGTTAATGCAAGAGTAGTGTTGATGATGGTATTGTAAATTTCCTTCTGCAATTTTCTCTATAACTTTTCTGCCAATGTATCTTTGAAGATCCAACTTTTTTATGACATCATCCATAATTAGAGGAGCAGAAGCAGCATACTTTGCCGCTCGATCAGCCTGCTCATTTCCCAGTAAACGGATGTGACTTGGTACCCATAACATTTTAATTTTTCCGTCGGGTGTAGTGATTATATTCCTTAATTTGTTGATGGTGCTCCATCTCGAAGTCGAAGGGTTCCGAGTAGCTTGTAATATAAACAAACTGTCGGTAACAATGACGGTTTTGAGTTTGTTTTTATGGGCAAGGTTGGCAGCGTGAAGGATAGCTCTGGCTTCGGTTATGAAAGTTAAAGTACTTTCGTGAAATATGTGGTTGAGAAGAACCCGTCCTGTAGCATCTACCACCGCACAAGCAGGAGGCAGACCAGGAGATTTTGAGCCGTCTGTGTACAAAAGATTCCAACCAGTACTGTCCAATACTTGGGTTTTTTCAGCTATTAGATTCCTGAAGACGTAATTTGGAGTATCTTCTTTCTTGTGCATAGACAGTGAGATGTCAAAAGAGCAGTCTTTCAAAATCCAGGGAGTTTTAACACCAAAAGAGCGGGAAATTTTTAAGGGAATGTTGCGATGCATAACCAATGGTCAATTGCAGATGGTGACTTTGGAAT